TTGATATGCGCTTTTGGTCAATTTCATTGTCAACTTACATAGGTCATGAGGTGTGGATATTTTGTCAGATTCTATTCTAGGAGTATCTGTGAGATTAACATTTGAATTGGTAGGCTGAGCAAAGCAGATTAACACCTAATATGAGTGGGCTTTATCCAGTAAATTGAGAGCCACAGCCCACTTCCACCCCTAGCAAGTCAAAATTCCTCTTGTCTTACCACCTCTCAACTGGGAAATTCATTTTTTTCCCTGATGTTGGACCAAAACATCAGCTCTTCTGAACTTTAGCCTGCTGTAGTCAGACTGAAACGCCACCATCATGTGTCTCTAGCTTACCAACTGTAGGTCTTGAAATTATCAGTCTAGAAATTGTGTGAGATAATAATAAAAAAAAATTGTGTGAGTTAATTCCTTATAATAAATATATGTTGGCCAGGGATATAGTTCAGTTGCACAATGTCTTCCTGGCAAAAGTGAAGTGCTGGCTGAGTTCAATTTCCAGCACAGAAAAAAACCTCTCTCTTCTCTGAGCAATCTAGCTCTTCGCTTTACAGGTGCAGCCCCTTGTGTACCCCTTAGCCTTAAAAAGAGGTGATGTCCTGTCGATGGATCTTAACCCTAAGTCTTGTTTAACTAAAATGTTGCTCTTTCAGTGATCTGATAGATGCTGACAGCAATTAGCAGGGGGAGAAATTTCTGTGTGCCAAATTACAAAAATTGGATGACCGCTAAATCTGTTTATGGCTCTGGAAAGAGTTTGTAAGATAGAAAAGAATGCTTTTTAGATGCTGATCTAAACATCCACGTAGGTTTTCAGATAAAGCATGTTTACTAAAAGACTCAGTATCTTTTCCTACAAGACTTCTTTGTTCTACTTACTGGCTAATGGCAGTAGCAATATTGATTGCTATATATCTCTTTATTCTTTTTTTTTTCCCCTGAAAATTTAGTTTATTTTCAGTGTTGTGCACAGATCCAGGCAGCATGATCCATTTTTCTGTATGTGTAGTAATTTGTCAAAAGAGTTTTTCCACAAGACTCTTTTTCATCAACTCTGAAAATCCTGGTCTAGCAACATACCCAAATACAGTTTTTGAAAGTCATCCTTTAAAATTTGGAAGAAAGTGTGGTGAAGTCTGTCCTACAACATGTAATACACTACAAATAACTAAAGAGTAATTTATGTTTTAAAAGGTAACTAGTACAACAGATGAATTCAGGAAATTAATGTTTCAGAGCACTTTGCTCTGGTTTTAGCAAACATGCTTTATTTTCCTTTCTGCTGGTTTGGTGTTTTTTTTTTTTTTTTTTTTTAACAGGAATTGAACTAATGACCTTGTGCTTGTCAGGCAGACACTGTGCTGCTGAGCTATATCTCTGGCCTTTCTGCTGTTTTGTTTTCAATTTTAAGACAAGTTCTTGCTATGTAGCTCGGGCTGGCCTTGAACTCACAGTGATGCTCCTGCTTCAGCCTCCTGAGTATCAGTGCTAGGATTACAAGCATGTACTACCATACCTGGCTTTTGTATTTTGAGGAATGAGGTGGGGAAGCACATAGTGATTTGAAGATTTTCACTGTTTGAGAAGGATATAACTCTGCAAACAAAACAATATAAACTGTCTTTTTTCTTAAGACCTGGACATTTTAAGACAGAAACACTACAACACATTACATAATTTTTAATTATTAAATTAGAAAAATCTCATTTGTTTCATTGTAACATTCTAGTCAAAGAAAAGCTGCAATAATGAAAGTCAGTGTTAGATCAACTACTCTTTCCATTAGAAAAATGTTTAAGGTGGTATGTATACTACAAAATTAATCATTTGTTGTCCTCACTGTTAAAGAACTTGGGGCAGAAGAGGAAAGAAAGATGTAAGTCTATATAAATGCAGTAGAAACGAAAAACCTTGAATGCCACATTAAAAAGTCTGTGGAAGATTAATGGAGAAAAGATGATTTGGTGCTTATGGTTGTTTATGGAATTGGGTGAAGGAAGGGCCTAACTTAGGAAAAGTATAAAAAGTTTTTGTTTTTTGTTGAATTGTTCAGGAACAGTAGAGGAACCATCCTCCTAAAATGTTGGTGTTATCAGGTAAAATAATAGGCAGCCCCATCCCCATTTTTTGCTCTTTGAAGAGAACATTTGTTAACTTTCTAGATTCTGTTACTGTGATAAATAACTATTTGTAGTCTGTTTTTGTCATTGTTGATTGAAACTCATAACTTGAAAAGGAAGACCTAATTTGAGAAAAGCATTACAAAAAATACAAATTTCTGATTAAAAAAATCTAAAAACGCCACTAAGGAGATTCACAATATTTTTAAATAAAACATGAACAGATTTTAAAGAAAGATGATTGTTAGGTCAAGCAAAATAGGTTTTTTTCTATAGTTTTTTTGGTATCAGGGACTGGTTTCATGGAAGACAGTTTTTTTCATGAACAAAAGAGAGAAGTGGGAGTGGTATGGGGATGATTCAGGTACATTACATTTATTGTGTACTTTATTTCCCTTGTGAAATAATTATACACTTCACCATAATACAGAATCAGTGGGAGTCCTGAAATTGTTTCCCTGCAGCTACACAGTGTCACTGGAGGTGATGAGAAACAGTGATACCCGAAGTGTCTACTCTGCTGTAGTCCATTTTGGTTGCAACCCACTATAGAGACTTCTCCTTCACAAAGATAGGATGTTGGAAATGAAACAGACTAGTGCTTTTGTGACAATGTGAGGATATTCTGCCTTGACCTTAATCCATAATGTATTCAGGTTTGTGGTTGTCTCAAAACAGTATTTTTGTTGTTGTTATTGTTTGAGTCAGGATCTTATTTGTATCTGTCACCCAGGTTGGTCTTGAACTCACAGTGATCCTTTTGCCTCAGCCTCACTTGTGCTGAGATTACAGGCGTGTGCCCCAATGCCCAGCTCAAACATATTTTTAAGACAATCATTTGTAGTTGATTCTCTTCTAGCATGGACAGTCCATCTGGCTTGCTCATAGGTGTGTTGTGGATCCATTCTTTCCCACTTCAGGAATCTTTTGTGGTTGGGAACTCTAACTCAGAACTCTTTTGTGAAAGCTGAAATGGTGATCATATACCAGGTGGGAGAAAAAAAGCTCTGGCTCGGTCTTTTTCAAAATCTCTTAATGTTACAAATATTACTGAAATCCCAGTGTTCACTTGATACCCCCAAAATCTCATTTTAGCTTGGAATACAGGCATTTTATTTGCCAATTTGAGTAGAGTTGTAGAGACGGAGTTGAAGAGACAGATATTGAGTAGATTGAATGTGTCATTTGTTCAAGTACAACTTTCCCAGTATATTAATATTTTGAAGCAATCAATAATAAACTTGTAATTTAAGAGAAAGCTTTTTAAGAGAAAGACATTGAAAATGCTGCAAAAATGTTCTCTTTCTAGAAAATGGTTAGAAATGGTTCCAGGCCAAGAATGCAGCACAATTGGAAGAGTACTTGTCCAAGGCCCTGTGTTCAATCTCCAACACCACACACGCACACAACACAAGAGGATGGTTACACATTCTACAGTGTTAAAACTAGTGAAGCCAGGCATGGTCACACGCACCTATATTATACTTTAATCTCATTGAAATTGGTCTTGACAGGAAGTGAATGTATAGAAGTTGTCCCATTTTTTTTTTTTTTAAATGAAGAAGCAAAAGGACTACAGTGTTACATGCCAAAGGATCAAAGATCATACTAGGTGCAAATTGGAGCAAACACTATGTGCTAGTATTTTTATAAGGACTTTTTATTGTTTTAGAGCTTCACTTTTTCTTCAGTAATTTTCAGTACTGTTCCTTAATTCCAACCCCCCACCGTTTTTTTCAAAAGACCTGTTGTAAACTCTGAGATATCCCCACCTTCAAACTGCCTTCCCTTATGTGCTCCCAAGTATTTTTTTAATGACATTCTAGAAGAAAGGACTCTGCCACATTATTATTATTTTTTTTTTTTTGTCTTTTTCGTTTTTATCGTACCAGGGATCGAACTCACAACTGCCTGCTTGCAAGGCAGGCGCTTATGCCGCTGAGCTAAATCCCCAGCTCCAGGACTCTGCCACATTTTACAGAAAGAAAACTTGAATTGTGCTAAACTTTCAGTTTAATTAAAATCTTAGCTGGTTGTGCTGATGCATACCTATAATAATCTCAGCTACTCACAGGGCCAAGGCAGGAAGATCCCAAATTTGAGGCCAGTTTGGACAGAGCAAGACAGTATTTCCAAAAAAATATAAATTAAAAAAGTTCTTGTTTGCCATGGCCATTTTGAAATCTATTAAAACTTTTGAAATTTATATACTGTTTTTATTTACTTAGTTTTGAATTGAGAATGTTCCAAATGTGAAATTTGTGTTAAATCAAGTATTTTTTTTGTAGGGTATCAAAATACCTCTAAGTGAACTCTGCTCTATAGCTATCCTTGGGTGACAAATTGTTGGTGTAAACAACATTTGGCCAGATACAACTTTTAAAGTATTATAGGATGTTTATGTAAGTTTGTTAACATAGAGAAAATGCCTATTTCTAAAACTCATTTTCTTACCTGAAACACTTTTTTAGACTATCAGCCTAAATTGAATATATAGAATTTCTGATTTAGTAGAGGAATCCTATATTGACTTGATCTCTTCATTTTCTTAAAATAGAAGATTGTTTTTATTTTATCTAGCTGTTAGCTTACTGAAGTGTTCATTTCAGGAATATTTTAAATGGAAAAGTGTCTGACATTCCATCCTTACAACTAATTACTGCCTGTTTCCTACTTCTGAGCCAGTGAAACCAGTGAACTTAAAATAAGGCCCAGTTGGTATTTTAAAGATAGAAATCCATAATTTGCAGTTCTGTTACCGATAGGATATGCTTTATCTCCATAACTTTGATACATTCATAAAGATATGTTTGTACTTTGCTAACACACAGCATTTTAGAGATCTTTCACTTTAAAATAAAAACACTTTTTTAATTGCAGAAAGACTCAAATGGGACCAGTAGTTTGCCAACTGGAAGTTCTCTTCTACAAGAAATTGAAGTACAGAATGAGGAAGTGGCAGCTTTTTGTCAATCCATTGCAAAGTAAGGAACTTTTCTTTATAAATTATAGAGTCTCTAAGTTAAATGCTCATTTCAAAGTAATTTGAAACTGGGTATGGTGAGACAGGCTCCTAGTAGACTCATAGAGGCTGAGGCAGAAAGATCAAAATTTAGGGGAACTTTGTCTCCAAATAGAAAAAGACTGGGGAAGTAGCTTAGTATGAAGGGTCTGGGGTCAGTCCCCAGTACTATGCACAAAAATAACAATAGCTTTGAGGAAAAAAATTCTTGAGAACGCACATAGTCCTAGTAATTCTAAAATTTTAAAATTCTTCGCTGGCTGTGGTGGTACATGGCTGTGATTCCAGTATTTGGGAGGCTGAGACAGGATGATCATGAGATTAAGGCCAGCCTGGGCAATTTGCAAAATGTTGTTTTTTAATCCTTGTTTTCATGTGGTTAAAATTTAAGTTAAGTGGTTAACTGGCACATTATAATAAATTATAGATGAACCTATATCCTCAGCCTGTTTGCTGAGTACTTAGGAAAAAATTGAAGTTTGGAGTAGATTTCTGATATGCTATTAAAATAACCAGTGAAAATGTGGTTTGCATGTAAGTTTTGATATGTTTAGAAAATGCCTGCCTGATGTGGTACACACCTATAATCACAACACTCAGGAGGCTGAGGCAGGAAGATCATTGAGAGTTCCAGACCATATGGGTTGCAATCCTATTGAGACCCTGTTTTAACCTTCTCTCCCAAAAGAGAAAAGTGCCTACTTTTATTTTTAGGAACACTTAATTTTCCCATAAACTTTCTAGTATTCAAAATGCTATCCTACTTACTTGTTATGACTTGTTATCTAGATGACTGCAAAGCCTCATGTGGTAGCTTTAGCATTTTGGAAGTGGCTGGATCTAGTGTGATGCTGTGTTTAAAGATGTGCAGTATTGGATTAGTCTGGTGATTGGTTTAGCATAGTTCTGGACATAAATAATGGGAAGACCCACTGTAGGTGTGGAACGATTCAAAAGGCTTGTAGCATGGGTAGGATAAAAAGGAAAGGGAGACTTGCTGCTGCCGCCTTTTGCTTGTCTTACCGAGAACTGTTTTTCCTCTGCGATACCCTGCTGTCATGCTACTCTGCTTTAGAGCTAGCTACCTGGACTGAAACCTTAAAAACCTTCCCACCTTTAATTTTGGGTGTTGGGTATTTTGTCGCAGCAATAAGAAAGGAAACAAGACACTACCTAAGAAGTGATATTACAGGTAAGATTAGAAAAACAAATATATTTTCTGGTGGTTTTATTTTGTTTCTTTGGTGGTAGTGGTGGTGGCGGCGGCCATTATACTGGGGATTGAACCCAGGGCCTTTGCAATGAGATGCATGCCCAGCCCTTTTTCATTGTGAAGCAGTCTCTCATTAAGTTACTTAGGCTGACTTGAACTTAGGATCTTCTAGCCTCATCCTCCTAGGGTGATTATAGGCACGTGTCACCATGCCCAGGTATTTTCTGAAGATTAGAAAAATGCAATTCTAAAATATTCTCTCAATGTTAAGTATGCCTAGTACTGTGCTATATTTATTTATTTATTTATTTTGGTCTTTTTGAGACAGGTTCTCACTATGCTGTTCAGTCTGGCCTTCAGCTCACTTTGTAACTCAAACTAGTCTGGAACATGGCAGCAATTCTCCTGCCTCAGCCTCCCAAGTGCTGGGATTACAGATATGTGCCACCATGCCTGGCTCATGTCCTTGTTCTTTATAGATGAGAAAACAGACATGAAGAAGTACCTTAACAAAGTTTTGGTGCTAGTTGTTCAATACAGAGCCAGGTTGCCTTTGCCTCCGGTTAAGTGTGTTATCTTCCCATTGTATCACATTATTAGAACTTGTGCTAGAAGTCTTGAACTAACTTTAATCAAGGAGGATCATATATTGGCTTGAAAACTCATATAGCAGAAAGTGGAAGGATAGGGCAGAATTCAATAGCAACAGGTTCAGAAATTCACATACTGTAAATCATCCTCTTCCTTTCAGACTCTTTCTCCTCTTCTTTTTCTTTCCTCTTCCTTACCTTGCCCATCCTTCATACAGATTTAACTTCAGTGTTTTCTACCTCAGATGGGGCTTTTGAAGTCAAGAATGGTAGTTACTGAGAGTTAATGTTATATTCCAGTGTTCTTGCTTTTAGAGAGGAAAATTAGTACTCTTCTGTCAGACAGAAAAATCTCTTAGAAGGAAAGACTGGGAAAACCAGCACCAAGACCAAGGAGATAAAATCTGCTACTTAAGGCAGTGAATGTTGATAAAACTGTGGAAGGTTTATCTTTTGTTTGTTTGTTTAAAATAGGGTTTTGTGATGTGTAGTACAGGCTGACCTGGAACTCATGACAATCCTACCTCAGCCTCCCAAGTGCTAGAATTCCAGGCATGTGCCATCACACTCATTTGGGAGATTTATTCCAAATCCACTGTTTGTCCCTGTGGCGTGTTTTAACTGTAGCAGGATTGGGGGTTTCCAGGTAGTGCATGTGAATACTATGCACATCATTTTGGTTAGGTTTGGAGATAGTTTTAATGTGTTTGGAAATCTATTACAGCTTTCTTAATGTTCTTCCCCAAATAAGCCCTGTGCACTTTGTTAGACTGGATTGACTACTGTGTTTAATCTAGACTGTTTATGGGGGCTGGGGATTTAGCTTAGCGGCATAAGCGCCTGCCTTGCAAGCGTGTGGTGGTCGTGAGTTCGATCCCTGGTACCGGTAAAAATACAAAAATACAAAAAAAAAAAAAATCTAGACTCTTTATGATATATCTCTGTCTCCAACTCAAATCTTAAAAGTTTTTACAAACTTTACCACTTAGTCCCCCCCTTATTTGAAGCCATACATTCCAGGACCCTCAATAGATTCCTAAAGTTGGAGAATACTGAAACTCTGTATCCACCATGCTTTATAGAAACATACATACGTACATAACTGTGACGAAGTTTAATTTGCACAGTAAATGATTAACAGCAACCTCAACATACAATTTTTTCCTTCACTATTTTTGTGTGTGTGAGTACTGAGAATCGAACTGTGCTGCTGAGCTATATCTGCAGCCCTCTTTTTTTCTCTTTTTAGTTGGGAACTTTTACCTTTTCACTTAAAGAAAGCCCTTTACAATTTCTCTTTGACATATCTGAATTATAAATAAAACTTCTTTTGTGCTTTGGGGCCATTATTAGTAAAATGAGGGTTATTTGAACATAAGCAACCGGGTTACCATGGTAGTTGGTTCTAATGACTTGAGAGTAGCTAAGTGCTAATGGGAGAGTTGCATACATAGAATGTGAATACACTGACAAATAATTCATATTCATATTGCATAGCATAATTCATGTCCTATGCAAGACAGATCAGAACACCCCAGTTTTATCATGCTACTCAGAATGGCATTGAAACTTACAAACTGTTTACTTTTGAAATTTTTCCATTTACTGTTTTCAGACTGGGGTTGATTGCAAGTAAGAAACCGTGGAAAACAAAACTGAATTGAAGAGTATACTATATTTTTATTTATACATATGTGCATTTATACACACAGTGGCTTATATAATTTAAAATTCCAAGTGGACTAAAGAGAAAATGAGTTCTTTTTGTAAAATTTTACTTCCACTAATTATGATTGCAACAAATATTTATCAGTACAGCAAGAAATAGATTTTTTAATAGTGAAAATATCTTTTCCCAAAGAGCAAAGGTACATTTTTAACTTTACTTTTTCTAGTTCATATTTGTCATACATAATGATCAAATTCATCATAGGGAATTCCTACCTGTACATAATACATCTTTTTTAAAATAACTTTTATTGGTACATTTTAGATATATATAGTGAGCTCTGGGCATGGGGGCACATCCCTGCAGTCCCAGCACTGGGAAGACAGCAGGAAGATCACTGTGAATTCGAGGCTAGCCTGGGCTACCTAAGTGAGTTCAAGGCCCCCTGAACTACCAAGACCCTGTGTGTGTGTGGGGGGGGGGGTGTATACATAGTGATAGCATTCATTATAGGGAATTTGTACCTATACATGATATATCTTGGTGCTGCTTTTTTCTCCCTTCTCCTGTCCTCCTTCAGCTCCTGTTCCCCTCTTTATTTATAAAAGCTCTTTTCCATTTTCCCCCTTTTCCTCCCCCGAGCATTTTGTTCCCCTTCCTATTTGAACATATTCTTCCTGCTTCCCAATATCTATCCTCCAAAAAATGGAGGTATTTCTGAAGCCATGTTCTGAGTTTTCTTGTCCCCTGTGACCATGGTGATTACGGATAGGTGTCTCTTGAAGAAATTTGTGTCTGTTTGTATGTGTGTGTGTGTGTGTGTGTGTGTGTGTGTGTGTGTGTGTGTATGGTTATTTTATCAGTGTATTTTAAAAACAAATTGTTTAATTAAGCCCATGAAGTTAATTTAAATTAACTGTTGACCTATTGACTTGGGAGCTTCCTTTGTGTGTGTGAGTAGGTTGTGGAAGCATGCCGTGAACTCTGTATCTATCTGGTCTTTGAATTTTGGCACTGATTCCCTATTCTGCCCCTCTAAGCATCATTGTTTCACCATGCCCTCTTGCCTTACTTAAGTCTTGCCTTTGAGCCAACCAACCATAGGTTAAAACCTGATCCAGCTTTGTGGGTGCCAGGGTCAGGGATACGAATCATTGTGAAGACCTTGTGTTCAGTTCCTGGTTCCAAAATTTTAAAAATAAATAAAGTTAGGTACCAGTAAGTTCTCCTTCTTCAATTGTGGTCCTTTAATATAAAATAAGAAAAAAAAAAAGATAAAATGAGAAACTACACTCTACACCTATTTGTCTAAATAGCTTTCTAATCACTCTTTAAAAAATATATAGTTCAGTTATAATGTGTATACTCTATAGTACCTTAGCTCCAAAGATTTTATCTTTGCATTTAACTAAATCTTACTGTAAACAATGCTCTATTTCCTATAAAGTAATGATGAAGTTTAGTATGTGCATAGAGATACTAAATTTCTTGTGCCAAAGAGTCCCATCTTTGATTGAAAGAGATGGAAATTTTAGAAAAAATTAAAAATACTTGTCATTTAAGAACAGTAGACTATATGTGGCTTACATTGACCATAAAAATAACTTATATAGCCATGATAGGGCATATATATGATTCTAGGCTGAGGCAGCAGGATCACAAATTCTAAGGTCAATCTGGACAATTTAATGCAATCCTGTTTCAAAATAAAAAAGGATTGATGTAACTCAGTGAGAGAGCATTTGCCTAGCATTTGCAAGGCCCTGAGTTCATTTCTCAATAATGCATACATGTGCACACATGCACAAAACCTTATTTGGTCCATTATTTAAAACGAATAATATACTTAGTAATTATTAATAATTTAATTATTTTGTAGTTTAAAAGTTTATAAACAAAACCAGAAAACCCCAATTTTAAAGAGTTTTTATTTTGGGTTTTGTTGTTTGTAATTTGTATAAGGCAAACCATAAAAATAGGAAAAATTAGCAGTTTTGCAGAAAAATAAAACATATTGCTGTATTTTCTTAGACCTGATAGGTTTCATAGTATCAAACAGATATAGGAAGGTTTCATTTAAAAAGCTTTTCTTAAAAGAAAACAAAATAATACCCAGGAGGATGAGGCAGGAGGAATGAGTTCGAGGCCAGCCTGGACTACAAAAGATAATCTTATTTGAAAAAACAAAAACAAAAAAAACCACAACCTTGTGGGTGGGGAGGAAGTGATACGTGAAACTGATGACTTCATTTTTTTTTTTTTTTTTTTTTTTAATTTTTTACTGGTACTGGGGATCGAACTCACCACCACATGCTTGCAAGACAGGCACTTATGCCGCTGAGCTAAATCCCCAGTCCAAAATTGATGACTTTAGTGTTTTTAAGTATATAGTTAGATGACATTAGGTACATTTTCATTATTGTGTAAAAGAACAAACTCACTTTAAGAAAGGAAAAATGAATTTCCCTCCCTCCAAAGCCAAATTCACTGATTGCAACATTCATCTTTGGACTTTTTCTAAAGAATTCTTGTCTTCTGAGCTATCAACAGAAATTTCTCCTTTTCCTTTTCTTTTTCTTTTGTCATTTTGAAGGGTTTTTGTTTGGTTTTTTTGAGAGAGTTTTGTAGCTCAGGCTGACTTTGAATTTGCTGTGTATCCCAGGATGTCCTCCAGCACAAGATTCCCCTGTGATGCCAGATTATAAGCATGGGCCACCACACCATGTTTTTATACTTTTTAAAAAATTGAAGACTTTCTTGGATGTAGACAGAATTCTCAACTATTTCATGTATTATTTAATTTAATGATGTGCTGCATCTACTTTGTAACATGTAGAAAACAAAATATTGTTGGGCCATACTGGCACACACCTATAATCCCAGTACTCTTGGAGCTGAGAAGCGAGAGGATTGCAAGTTAGAGACCAGCCTTAGCAGTTTAGTGACTTCGTTAGATCTTGTCTCAAAAATGAATGGAAAGAAAAAAAAAGTAATTGAGGATGTAGTTCAGTACAAAGATCCAGGATTCAATCTTTGGTCATAGATAGAATCAGGTATCTAAAAATAATGTATGTATGTCTGAACATCTGTTCCATTACCAAGTTTATTACTTAGATAACTTTTATTATTTCTTTTTAATATTGGACCCTTTGTTTTACTTAAAATCATAATGCAAAAACCAGATTTATTCATTCACTAATTCATTTGGTAAACGTGTTACACAGTATTTACCATATCCTAGACTTTTAAGCGTTTTGTAAATGGAACTCACTAGTGTAGAGCGTAAGTAGTTTACAGAGAAAGAAACTAAAGCAACAAGGAGATTGACTAACTTGCCTAAATTCACACAGCCAATGAGTAGTAAAATCAGTATTCAAATTCAGGTGGTGTGACCGTAGTTTTTGCACTGTTACATTTCCAATCTCACCCAGAATTCTTCCTGTCATGTCAAACTTTTATTCTACACATATAACTTGAATATTTCAATCACTACAGAAACTAGTAGACAATGTTCCTAGCATCATATCCCTCTCTGTCTTGATAGCAGCTGTGACAGATGAACTATACACCATGCCCATGGATTGAGGTGTAGACTACCTTGCTCCTGTACCATGCCATTCTGCAGGAATAAAGGCTTTGCGGTACTGTAAAAGCCCATTGTCTTTTTTTCTTTTTTTTTTTTCTTGTGTAGGAACCACAAATAATATTTGTAGCAAAAAGGCCCTTAAAAAAAAGATTTTAACAACAAGATAAACTCCCCAGTGTGGTGGCACACATCTGTAATCCCAGTACTTGGGAGGCTAAGCCAGGAGGATCGGTGCGAGTTTGAGGCCACCCTGGGCTACATAGCAAGTTCAGGCCAGTCTGCATTACATGATGAGACCCAGTCTCAAACTAACACAAACAAACAGATTTTAAGACCACAAACTTCATTTCCCTCTGGCCTTTATACTTTAGAGCTATGTTGTCTATATTATCAGTAATTCTTTAAAAGCATACCAGTTTGTATAATTGTATTTGTGGCAGAGAAATGTGAAGCAGACAGTCCACTTTCATACAGCTTATCCGTTTGTGCCTGAGTAATGTCGATACTGTTGCCAAAGATATCCTGGCAGTAGTTAATCTCTTCTTTCTCTTTGGGTTCCTTTTATTTAAAAGGCAAATGCTGGTATTTGGAGTTTTGACAGTGTTTCATTCATTGCCATTCTTACAAGCTGCTTTAGAGTTGAACAAAGATAGAAATTGAGTGGCTATAAGCATGTAAAGCCTTGTTCAGGGCTCTCAACTGCAGCTTTCTTTTTAAAAAGAATTTAATATGTTCTTTCTTGTGAACAGATTGAAGACCAAATTTCCATACTCCAATCATTGTACAAATCCAGGCTATTTGTTAAGTCCAGTCACAATGCAAAGAAATATATGTGGAGAAAATGCTAGCGTGAAGGTCTCCATTGAAATTGAAGGATTTCAACTACCTGTTACTTTCACATGTGATGGTAGGTTTTGTAGTTCCCCAAGTGTTTTGTTTTGCTTTGATCAGGAAGAAAGTGTTTAAAGTATCATTATATCATTTTTCAGAAACACATTTTGTTATCATTAGGCATCTCTTCAAAAAGTTGCCATTTATATGGCTTTTTTTTTTTTTTTTTTAAGAGCTAATGAGAAAACAAATTACCTTTACAAAAATGCTGAAATGAAAAATGCTGAATAGAACTTAATAATCAGTGATTCTTGGTCAAGGACCAAAAGCTTTGGCTAAAAAAGCTAATTATAGTCTAGCTTTTTGTTCCTTCTCATTTTATGGTAAGACAAATGCCTATTTTTAAAGAGCTATTTGTGAAATTGAAGTTTAGATATCTTGCTAATCCCCTCAAAGAAATAGTTTCTTTTTTGGTTTTAATTTTCTCTTCCAAACCTGAGTATCCTTTTTAGAGTCATGCCTTCCAAAGTGTAGGAAATTTGTTACGATTTTAAATGCTACTTTTATTTTCTGAAGTTTATTTGTAACATAAATTTAATAGGATTCCAAAGTAGAATAAGATCGATATTGCTTTAGTACTTTGGCCTAACAATTAGTCTCTTTTTAAAAAATGATTATGACTACAAGTTTGTCCAGTGTTTGTATACTTTTTTTGCCTTTGCACTTTGGAAAGCTCTTTGTAAAAAAAAAAGGTATCATAAACAGAAGAATGTTAGTCAGCTGTAGTAGTCATTCACTTAGTTTATGAAGGAAAAGTTACTCTTTAAGCATTGCCTTGTGTTTTAGTCTGGGAAAAGATTTCACTCCAGGTATGCTTCAAAAATTAATACTAAAAATTTAAAAAAGTAGGCACTTTAAAATAAGAATGACTGAAGATTTTATAACAAATTTTGAATTACATCAAAATCTGACCTCAAAAATTTTAAACACCTATTTGTAAGTTATAAATATGCACATTTATAATATAGATTTCTATTAATATATGTAACTATTATAAGTGCATTGTATGTTCAAATTATAAATAGTATCATGCACTTGTTTATTCACAAATATAGTTATTAGAACAGGTTATATTAGAGGCTTTTATGGTGAGCATAGGTGCTCTAAATAAACAAATAGGTCACTATAAAGGCTTAGTTTTTATTCTGTTATAAGCTTAGTAATTGGCTACTGCCAAGAATGATAGTACCTGTTTGCTGCTGTATTCTTATTCTTCATTGGAAAATTTATCAGGTAAATGTCAAATATTTCAATTGGTGGCTCTTTTTCATTATAATCTGTTTTTAAAATTGTTTGCTAGGGGATTTAGCTCAGTGGTATAAGCGCCTGCCTAGCCAGTGTGAGGTCCTAAGTTCGATCCCCAGTAACAAAAAAAAAAAAAGAAAGAAAGAAAAATTGTTTGCTCGACACTTGTGAGAATCATCCTGAAGGAGTCTAAAAAGGATATGGCTTTCTTAGTTGAAGCATGCATTATAAACATAGGCATTAGCCACATCAAGCACTGGAAATGTTGTTAATCTGGATTGTCATGTGCTGTAAATGCAGAATACATGAGTTCAGAATTTTAGTTTCAAAATAAAATATTTCTGTATTAAAATATTGATATGTTTAAATAATATTTTGACTAGATTGGGTTAAATAAAATATATAATTAAAATTAATTTATTTACCTCTTTTACTTCTTTTCAAATGTGACTACTAGAAAATTTTACATTGCGTATGTTGCCTACATTTGTAACTTGCACAATTTGTATAGCACTATCTAGATTACAAGTAATATAGTCTTGAAAAAGTGTATGCTTAGAGGAAGATGAGCAAAATGAAAACGACTTGACTCTTTTTCCAGTGAGTTCCACAGTAGAAATCATTATAATGCAAGCCCTTTGCTGGGTTCATGATGACTTGAATGAAGTAGATGTTGGCAGCTACGTCCTGAAAGTTTGTGGTCAAGAAGAGGTGCTACAGAAGTAAGTTTACTTTTATTTATTTATTTTTTTGTCTTTTTCCTTTTTATCGGTACCAGGGATCGAACTCACAACTGCCTGCTTGCAAGGCAGGCGCTTATGCCGCTAAGCTAAATCCCCAGCCCCCAGAAGTAAGTTTATTATCTACTTATTATCATCTTGAGGAATTTCATGTTCAACTTAAGGGACTTAGCTCAGTGGCACAAGTGCCTGCCTGTGCCAAGTGCAAGGTCATGAGTTCGATCCACAGTACCAAAAAAGAAAAAAAAGAAAGAAAGAAAGAAAGAAAAAAAAAAGATGCTTACATTAAAGGAAGAAAGAAATGAAATTTTCAACTTAAAGTGGTAATCCAAAAATACATTGGGTTTTACTGAATAATTACATTTGTATGGAGCTACATACTATATGTTAAGAGGTCTGGTCTTAGACAGTGGTGGGGTTTCAGAAGAAAGTAAAATATGTGTTCCCTAAGAAGCTTATAGTCTTATACAGAAGACTTGTGAATAATTAGCTAATAAGTGAAGGTAGTCTTTTTTCTTTCTATGAAAATTGAGTAGTCACATCATTGTAAACACAATTCTCCTTTTTGTAGCATATTGCTACTTTTTGCCCAGTAGTCAGCTATTATTGCCTTTAAGTTGTCTGAAATAATCACTGTATGCATCTTTTTCTGAAATAAGTAATTCTGTCTAGCAATTCATCTAGTGTTTTTATAGATTCCTTTCTCCTAGGCTACTGGAAATGGCTGGTCCCTATTTTTTTATTCCTTTACTTTCTTCTTCAGTCTGTTCTCACATAGAATAATTCTATGTAAGAACTCACATTCGGTTAAAAAAACTTTGTATTTTACCATTCCTTTCCATTTTTGGTGCAGATTTATATTTTACTCTCTCTAATAACTTCTAATTTGAATAGGATAACATGTGAGTGATTAATATATTTTAACAGCAACCATTGCCTTGGAAGTCATGAACATATCCAAAACTGTCGAAAATGGGATACAGAGATTAAATTACAACTCTTGACCTTTAGCGCAATGTGCCAGAATCTAGCCCGAACAGTAAGTGTGTGTGTACCTTTATAACTGAATTGCCCTTCGTGCATTTGAACAATTCTGCTAATCAACCAATTTCCATTGTGTACATTTTTCAAGAGTTCTGAGTTGAACTGGGGTAGTGTACTAGTTATTCCCATTAGGTGTCTTCTCAGCAAAGAGAGATTTTTCAATCACAGAGGTTTAGGAAGCATATCTCCTCAGATCTACAAGTATATTTGAAAATCAAAATGTGGGAAATAAAAAAGTTGGATTCATAATAATTTTATAAGGATGTATACGTTAGGATCTAGAAGAAATAAGGAAGAAAAGATTTTTGGATGCCTGCAGTGTATTAAAGGAAAAAGATCTACATTGGGCTTTATACTCAACTGAAATTATTTCTCACAAAAGCTCATTCTCTGTTTTAAAATTTCAGAACTTTAAAAGGAAAAGCAAAGTAAAATGTAGGAAATGTAGCTATCTTTGTAAAATTCATTTTGATTTTACTAAAAAAACTTGAATTTATAAATGAATTTTTAATTTATAAAGAGAATTATTCAGTTAGAATTTTGGAATTAACAGTCAATTTTACTTTCTTTTTTCTTTTTTTTAGAGTTTTGTTCTAAGGTATAATTTATTTCAGTCGGGGAGACAATATTTCACCAAATTTATTACCTTGTAGTAGTCATCGGTAATTTCTCTCTTCAGTTATCTATGGAATGATGTTTTTGCACATTCACATGGTGTGAAATGGTAGAAATGACAAGTGGTATCTTTTTTACGGTGGATCAGCACAGAATGGGAAAGAACATGATTATTATGAGAAAAAATAAAACAGAAATTCAGGTGATCTATTTTTCATCTGGTCCGCATTGTAATTTGCTTTAAATGGCTGTTTTGGGGCCACAGAGATAGGTTAGTTGCACAGTGCCTGCTTGGCAAGCATGAGGGACTAAGTTCAATTCCTAGTATCAAGAGAAGAAAAAGAGGGGGATCTACTTTTATATCAGAAACTAGATTTAAAAGCATTTATATTTCCCATTTTAAAATTAGGGGTCTTTTTTTAAAAAACAATATTGACTCATTTTCCAAATCAGTAATAATAATAATACATAATTTTGTTGCCATTTTATCTGCAGTTCTGAAAAGTCAGTTTACGTTTAGTTTCATAGACTGTAAAACGCATTGGGTTTTTTTTTTGTAAACTTTTGTGTGTGTGTTTGTTTAGGCAGAAGATGATGAAACACCTGTGGATTTAAACAAATACCTGTATCAAATAGAAAAACCATACAAAGAAGTCATGACAAGGTATAGCATCTAAAACATTAATTGTAGATTTTTGAACTTTATTTTGAAGCCAGTTGTGGTAGTGCATACCTGTTGTAATCCTTGCATTTGGGAGGCTGAGACAAGAAGATCACCCTGAGTTCAAGGCCTGGACCACATAGTGAGTTCAAGGAGAGCGTGAACGATGTAGTGAGACCCTGTCTTAAACAAAAAAATTTTTAAAACAAATAAAAATACAAACAATAACTTTACCTTGGATATGAGTACATTTTTTTGGTGATTAAACAAATTATTTGTGTTTAGTATCCTTTAACCATAATAACTATTCTTTTATTTCAGATACCCTGTTGAAGAACTCTTGGATTCTTACCACAGCCAAGTAGAACTGGCTCTTCAAACTGAAGTAAGTTTTAATTAATATTTTGGCATAATGGCTAAAAGGTTGTTTCTTTTATCTAAGTGCTAGTGTTGGCATTGGATTAAATATTTTAAGATTTCTTAAACTATATTTTTGGTGTCAGTGTGTGATTTCTTTTTTTGGTCCAGCTTCTTAGTAATACTTGAGTCTACATATTAACTCTCATTTCAGCTTTATTACTGAGAGATGCCTTAGTTCAATTAAAAAATTGAATTCAGTTCAGTTAAAATTTTGGATGCTTCTAATATGCTAGATGACTGGCATTATGGTAGCAGTTGTAAACGTAGCATACAGTATACATTGCGGTTCTGTGGAATATCATACACAATTATAGAATCCAAGAAAGGCTTCTGAGAAGAGGTACTGCTTGGCCAACTCTTACGTAATGTGAATTACCCAGAAATAAAGGTGAGAAGGGCATATAAGCCAAAGCACACACCCGTGACACATGGAATTACACTGGTTCTGTAATCATAACAGTTCATGTTAAGGAGTTTTACTTTATCTTCTAGGTCAGCTGACCGTATCCAGTCCACTTTCAAATTTTACAAATAATTGTTTTTAACACAACCATTACCATTTTTTCATACTGCCTGTTGTCATTTGCATTTCTGCTCTAACACTAGTTAAGTAGTTGGAACAGAAATTGTATGTCCTACAAGGCCTAAACTATTTATTGTTTGACCCTTTATAGAAAACATTAGCTGAGCTCTGTGATAGCCTCTTAAGATGTTTTTAGTCACCAGTGGATGTAGGGTGGAGTGGCTGACATTTTTGTTTGTGCTCTGAAATGACTGACCACACTGTGTAAGTTAAACTTTAGGGTGGGAGAATTGCTTTTATGGAGACTGCTTAAGAAGGATTTTTATGGTAGTCAAGGTTAAAGATAATGAATATGGTGAAAGTGAAAGAAATGGGGATTATTTGGATATTGAATTGGTAAGAGTTTGGTAGGTGATAGGGTATAAGAGAAAAAAGAAGGTGGGATCACTTTCAGATTTCTAGCTACTACTAATCTCCTTATCAGCATATCAGCATATTCATTTATTCAGTAAATACTGACTGAATATCTCCTCATTGTTAAGCAGTATTAAAAGATGGTGAAGATGCAACAGTGAACACAGAATTCCCTGATCTCAGCACATTCTAGTTGGAGGAGATGAACAGTAAAATAAACTAAAAATGTGTTATTGCCGGCAGCATTATAGGGAAAAGTATAGGAGGAGAGTAACACTGTAATTTTGAGTAACCTTATTTGAAATAAAGTCTCATTGAGGAGCAGAAATAGAGTGAAAAACTGGAGAAGGGAGAAGGGAGAGGCTGTTTGGGTTTCTGGGCTAGGCATATTCCTGGAAAAAGGGACATTAAGTACAAAGGCCCAAGGAAGAAGTATGCCTTGTGCATATAAGATCTTAGGCCTTTTAAACTGTAATACAATGAGGAGAGGGGCAAAAGTGAAAACACAACAATTGAGAAGGTGTTCACTTGCCACAGGAGAACTGATGATGGCTTTGAGTAGGGTGATGCAATAGAAGTGGTGAGAAGGGGTTCAATTCTGGGATATATTTTGTTCGGTTTGGTTTTGGTGTTTTCAGAGAGGATCTCCCTGTGTAATTCAGGCTGGCATCAAACTCACTGTGTAGCCCAAGCTGGCCTCAGACTTGTAGCGATCCCCCTGCCTCAGCCTCCTGAGTGCTGGAATCATAGATGTGAATCACCATGCCTGGCTGGAATATATTTTAAAATTCGTGCTAGAAAGATTTACCATGGATGTGGAACATGAGAAAAGAGAGTTTGGGGTAACTTAAGATTTTCCATCTCAGCAACTGTTAAGTTTAAAGTTACTTTCTAAGGAGTTGTAGAAAACTGAGAAGAGAGGTTTGAGGGGGAAGATCAGACACTAAATTTTAAATGATATGTTTGAGATGACTATTAAGCATCCATATAGGAATTTTTTTTTTCTTGAGATAGAGTCTCTATATGCAGTTCAAACTGGGTTTGAACTCAACTGTGTAGCCCAGGGATGGCTCAGATTTGTGGCTATCCTTCTGTCTCAGCCTCCCAAATGCTGAGATTATAGGCATGTACCACCACGCCTGGCTTAAATAGAGATGTTGAGCAGAAAGTTGATATGAATTTGGAATTTAGTGCAGAATTTCTAGCCTGGAGAATCATCAAAATATGGTGGTGTCTTGCTACTATAGGGGGTAATGAAATTACCAAAAAAAAAAAAAATCATGGCAGGTGGAGAAGAAAAGTTTAATTTGTTGTTATTGTTGACCCATTTAAAAAAAATTAATCCTGTGATCCTGAATCAACCACACTACTTTTCAGTCCTTTTTTAGAAAAAGGGTCTCACAATCTTGAACTCGCTTATGTAGCCCAGGCTGGCTTCAAACTCACAGTGATCCTCCTGCTTCAGTCTCCCAAGTGCTTGAATTACAGACTTACCAACTTGATTTCTTTCTTTTTTTTTTCCGACTTGATTTCTTGATTAACCAACTTGATTTCTGTTTTCTGAAACAGGGTCTCACTATATAGTTTTGAACTAGCACCTCTCCTGTCTCAGCTTCCAGAGTGGTAGGGTTACATTGCGCCATAATGCCTGGCCTGTGTTACAAATTTTAAAACCTGCCTTCAAATCCGTGCTTTATTACTTCAGTGCCCTCTATTGACAAAACTTAATATTGTCCCAAGTGGTAAAGAATGTAATAGCCTAGGTCTAGTGTCACAAAGTAAAGTAAAAGAAGGATAAGATTAGAATAGTGCATTTATATGTAGCACACAAAGAGTGATGGCAGCCTCTGTGTTCCCTTTTGCATGGTGATCCACCCTCACACTGTAGAGTGTGCTTCTTTTTCTGCTTTCACTTGGCTCAAACTCACTTTGCTGAGTCTGTTTCTTTTCCTACCTTTAATAAAACTTTACTATTATTAAAAAAAAAATTGACAGAGATCTGCACTTGGGAGGCTAAAGCAGGAGGATCACTGAGTTTGAGGCCAACTTGCACTACCAAGCGAAACCTGTCTCAAAAAACCAAAAAGAGGGGCTGGGGATTTAGCTCTGCGGCATAAGCGCCTGCCTTGCAAGCAGGAAGTCGTGAGTTCGATCCCCGGTACCGATAAAAAAGAAAAAGACAAAAAAAAAAAAAAAAAAAGAACAGCAACAAAAAAAATACCAGAACAGAGAATGACAAAAGCCTTAAAAGTGGAATGGTTCTTGGCTGGGTCTCATGTCTATAGTCCCTGCACTTGGGAAGCAAAGGCAAGAGTGACGTAGCAGAAGGAAACTCCCAACTTGCTAGAGTTTACATTCTCTAAAATCAAAGAATAAATTCTAGGAACAGCAGAATATATTTATTTGGGAAAAAAGCTTCTGGCTGAGAAAGACAGAAGGGGTCACAAGAGCCCTGCATTTTCAAGGGATTTTTATAGAGCAAACCACCAGGTGAGGTGAAGAAAAATGGAAAATCACAAGGCAGGCATGAGGTGGGGCATAACTATGGTCAACCAATAAGATCGCAACATTAATTGCTCAGGAAATAGTGATTAAATGAGGAAGACGCTAAGCAAGTAGGCAGGAAACAACAGGTGTTTTTCCTGCAGTGGGTGAGTCAGTGGCACTTTTTGGCTTTCCCAAGGTGACCTACCTATTTACAATATCAATCACTGTTGTTTATCCTTGGATGTTTGTGGGTACATTGGTTTCATCTTTTGTCTTGAGGTCTGGCCCTCAACAGATGTGTCTGTGCTCCCCCGTTGTAATGTATCCCATCCTCTGCTCTGGCTTCTTCAAGGGCGTATCCCTGTCTGATAATGTTTCTATCCAATATACCTGTCTATAACAAGAGGATGACATGAGTTCAAGGTCAGCCTAGGCTACATAGCAAGACCTTGCCTCCAAAAAGCAAAACAAAACAAAATAAATCCTCTAAACTGGAAAAGTTCTGCAAATAAAAGCTAACAGAAATATAAGCAAAGGTAAAAAACTAGAAAAAAAGTCCCTGAGGTAATGTGGGCTTTGGGACAATGAACTGGTTTCATTTAACCTTGAAGGTGAGGGGAACATTTGGTATATGATAGCCAAACCTTAAGAAAGGAAAAACTTAAATTTTTAAAGGATTGTGTAATACTGAGTTTCAGCCTTTCTGATAGTACTTGGCATAAAGGTTTGGCATAAATATTTTATGACTTCATTATATATAAATGTCTTAAATTTTTTAAAAAGGTACATTAAAAATTCATAATTGATACATGATAATTGTGCATGTGGGATGCAGCATGACATTTCAGTGCATGTATACATGTAATGATCAAATTAGGGTAATCACTATGACTATCATATGAAGTATTCATAATTTCTTTGTGTTGGAAATATTAAAAATTTTTTCTATTAGCTATTTTGACATATACAATTAATTGTCCCATAGTCATCCTACTAGTGCTATAGAACATTAGAACATTATTTCTCCAACTGTGCTGTACCTCTGTAAGAATGTTTTTAAGTGAGCTTTGTATTTCTTATTAAGAGCAGAGAATGATTTTTAAATCCTTAGGTAAGTTATTTTAAAACATTTATACGTGCACATTTTTGGATCATGGTGAAATCATGATCCAGTGGAATGGTACAAAAGAATTGTCTTGAAGGATTTTTTTTTTATACAGGGTCTCACTATGCAGTTCAGACTGGTCTTAAACTTCACTGTGTAAGTCCAGGTTGGCTTCAAACTTGCAGTGATCTCCTGTCTCAGTCTCTCTCGAGTGTGGGAATTGCAGTTATACCACGATACCAGCTTCAAGGAATTTTTTTGATCAAAGAAAACTTTTGAAATGCTACTAGCTTTACAGACAGTTAATTCTTTTTTTTTTTTAATTTTTTTAAAAATTTTATTTAAAAGGAAAAAGAGAAAAAACAAAACAAAGCGGTGTAAGGGTACAAGTAATACAGAACTACAAAAAAAAAAAAAAAAACCAGTAAGAAATCACCAGTTAATAGATTACATATTATCATCTTAGAGATAGTTGCTCAAATCACAGTATCAAAGCATACAAAGTGGACATTCAAACAGTGAGACTGCAAACAGTTGTGTTCAATGATCCAACCAAAAACATTAATATGGTCAGCTATTTAACACCCCTAAACACACTTGCTGTTGTATCCTTTAGAGCTCTTTTTTTCCCTCTCTTTTTTACAACAAAATTTACACATTTTGGGTTTTATTACTCCTTAGTTTTTATTACTTTTTTTTGGGGGGGGGAGAGAATAAAGTCAAATATGGCAAAACAAAGCTGTCAGTCAAAACCAAGGATAGACATAGCACATGATGTAAAACAGAGTACAAGGTTATCAACAATGGTTATCAACAATGTCTCTTGTTTCCTTAAAAAGAATTGTCTATCTCATTAGATATTATAAAGTTGAACAAAACAGAGAACAAGACCGATAAAACTTAAGCATTGTAAACATTATAGGACTTCCAAAGGAGACAATAGTCAAACCAGAATGGGCATCTTAGTGAATCTTATTGCCTTCAAAGTAGTTGCCTATACCCTCAAACTTGATACTATCATACAGAATGGAACAGAGTCTAATCAGTCAAAACAAGTTAGTGGGAGTATTACAGGACTTCAAAACAAGTTAATAGGAAATCAAAAAAAGTTACTATTATATATCCTGCTAATTTTTAAATTTTTCCCCTTAATTAAAAAAACATAAAAAATAACAATAATTTTTTAATGAATAAGGGAGAGATTGAGATAAAACAGGACATAACAATATAACAATACAGGTCAAAGCATGACTGTTTCAGCAACCTAGTGCTTCACCACCAAATAACCCGACTTAATAGTAGTTACCATAGTGTCAGACAGTTAATTCTTAATTTGCCCCATGTTATTTACATGTGGCCAACATAAAAAGTTCTGGAAGGTTTTTGTTTTTTTGTTTTTTTGTTTTTTTTTTTTTTTGGTAATAGAATTTAGTTTTTCTATGCTAGGTTTTTACAGGAGGAAAAGTTTCAGTGGCACAATTTGGAAATTATTTCCAAATGACAGTGGTTTATTACTAATTTATTGCTTTTATTTTTGATCCTAATATGAAAGAAATAACAATTGAATAATTGTGTCAAAGTACAAATTAACTCAATCATGCTTTATAATAAGACATAATTCTTTTTTATCACAAGAGTAAAGACTATTTAGGGGAGTAAAAAAGAAAATATAGTTACTATGTATCAAAAGCATGTACTGTACTAATAAAAACTTTAAAAAAAGAGTAGAGAATACCTCTTCTTAGGTGCATGTAAATCTTTTGATTTCTAACTTCATCTAAATTTTTTCTTTTTTTTTTTTTTTTTTTTGAGGCAGGATATTGCTATGTAGTTCAGGTTAACCTGAACTCACTCTGTAGCTCAGGCTGGCCTCAAACTTGTGATGATCTTCCTGCTTCAGCCTCCCCAGTGCTGGGATCGTAGGCACCCACCACCACACCTGGCTCATTAAATTTTATTTAATTATGTTTACTTTTTATTTTTAAAGAACCAGTACCGAGCTGTAGATCAAGTAATTAAAGCTGTAAGAAAAATCTGCAGTGCTTTAGATGGTGTAGAAACTCCTGCGATTACAGAAGCAGTAAAGAAGCTAAAGAGAGCAGTTAACCTTCCAAGGAGTAAAAGTGCTGATGTAAGTATTTTTATGTGTTTAAGTGGGCATCTATCAAACTGGGAGATTTTTGTCTTCTGTGAAGAAAATATTATGACTTTGACTTTTGAATTGGTCCTTTCTTCGGATATGTGGGGATTCTTTGAGAATGGGCTACCTTGGAAGAGCTTTATGAGAACTGATATTGAATAGGTAGATGGCAGACTGAACCATTTACATTTAAAGAAGGACCTGTAGCATAAATTGATTATGGGTTTAAAAATAGGTACAATAAAAGATAGATGATAGAAAATAGGGAGGGTAGAGTTTTCTAAAAGAGAAAGGGATCAAGAGATGGAAGGAAAGGGAGAGGAAAGGGAGGAAAAGGATGAAAAAAGGAATTAAGTTGTCAAATGTGCATGTGTCAACTCTGCACAAGGAATGTAAACATTATGTATTACAGACATGTCCAAATAAAAACAGAGAATCAAGATGGATGGAGAGAGGGAAGCAAAAGGGGATGAGAGAAAGGAATTAAGGAATTAAGATGTAAACATTATGTGCATGTACTAATAAAAAAATACAATGAAAAAGAAGATAGATACTGAATTTAGAGGTCCTACAGGATAAGAACTTTCTCTTGACGGAAATGTCCATGATGGCACTGGGAAACATTGTGCTGTGGACATAACCTCCTCTATTCATAAGACCGAGGAGCTTCCATACAAGTGACTCATTGCCTCAGAAGCAGCCAAGTTACAAGCCCTTACTTTATGTTATATGTCAGCCTTTACTAAAAGGTCTGCCTCATGACATTTACATGGGGGTTTGATGAATGCTGTGTAAAGACATGTTTATATCTTGGAAGGATGAAAAAAAGGTGGATCTCATAAACCACTATAAATTTAAAGGAAGAAAAAGTTATCTTTCTGTGCCCCTTGATATAGAGGACATAATTTAGTCTGCTCATCTCAGAAATCCTTTTCATATGGTATTTAGAGATTTGGGTTTCTCATAAGCTTATGTATAAAATTACATGGACGTTAAGAACTGTGATCCTAATGTCTGATATTTTTATTCTTTTTATTCAAAATTTAGGTAAAGGAGTGGAAAGTAGTTGGAAGGGGAGGTGAATTTAAAATTGAGAGTTATAAGAGTTTTTGTTTTGTTTTTTAGATACCAGATGATAGTAAATAGAGTTCTTTTTTTTTTTTTTTTTTTTGGTCTTTTTCATTTTTATCGGTACCAGGGATCGAACTCACGACTGCCTGCTTGCAAGGCAGGCGCTTATGCCGCTGAGCTAAACCCCCAGCCCTGTAAATAGAGTTCTGAATTCTTTTTTTTTTTTTTTTTAATATGGAATGCTTCATGAATTTGCGTGTTATCCTTGTGAAGGGGCGATGCTAATCTTCTCTGTGTCATTCCAGTTTTAGTAAATGTGCTGCCAAAGCGGACATGAGTTCTAAATTCTTCTAAAAATATTTTTATCATGCTATTGTAAGAGGATCAAGTAGAAGAAAAAATACTGTGTTAGTGTACTTACCACTTCTGATGCTGTTGTATTTCTGTATTTTTGAGTAATTTTCAATTGCTTTGATTTTTATTTTCTTTTTTATTTATATGTATATGTTTTGTTTTTTGGATTTTTTTTTTTTTTTTTTTTTTTTTTTGAGGCAGGATCTATGTAGTTAGCTGGCCTTGAACTCACTATGTAGCCCCAGGCTGGCCTCTCATGGCTATCCTCTTGCCATGAGAAACTAAGGCAAGAGGATAGTAAGTTTGAACCCAGCCTGGTGCTATGCTTTGATTTTCTTGATAAAAAACCATTTATTTACTTGATTTAGATTTTCCCTTTTTTTTTGCCTTTGTATATATGTGTATCTGTACTATTGGGTATTGAATCCAGCACTTTTACATGTTAGGTAAATGTCTAACCACTGAGCTGTATGTATCTTTAGTCCTTTTACATTTTTCATTTAATTTTTAGACACTTTGGGGGAAATTTTCCTGGGATCCCCCCTCCCCCTGCACCCCATATTCAGAATTGAAACCAGGATTTTTAACTGAGCTACATCCCAAGCCCTTCATAAATATTTTTGTTTAGTTTTCAAATTTTGAGAGGGGGGCATGCTAAATTTGCCAGGCTGGGTTCAAACTTAATATCTTCCTGCCTTAGTTTCCCAAAATGCTTGGATATGGGGCATGTTCTACCATGCCCAGCTTGGAAAGAATTTCTTTGACATAGCGTTTAATTAAATGTGTTGAACCTAGAGATAAGTATTTTCTGTTACATCAGGGGCATTTTTTGACTAACTGATCTGTGTATATGCAGGTGACTTCATTATCTGGAGGGGATACGAGCAAATGCTCAACTGGAGGTATGTCTTTAGATTCTTCAAATTTTAGCAATAGTGAGTTTTTTAGAGAATTATATTAACATTTTCTCCAAATTTAGGCTCCCTGAATCTTGAAAATCCTGTTCAAGTGAGCATGGACCAATTAACTACAGCAATTTATGATCTTCTCAGACTCCATGCAAATTCTAGTAGGACTCCTGAAGACTGTACTCACAATAGTAGGAACATCAAAGAAGCGTGGACTAGCACAGAACAGCTCCAGTTTACTATTTTTGCTGCACATGGAATTTCGAGTAACTGGATATCAAAGTAAGTAACTATTTAAAAGAAAACATGTACAGCTTTATCTAGAAGTAATTCTGATCTTAGTGACCACTGTTATCTGATATTTAAATAGATTATACAGGATCACCAAATACCTTTGTGGTTTTCAGATTTCAATATTGCCGAGTTTCAAAATTGCAGAGATGTATCACTCATTACATGCAAAAAGGGCAGAAAAATTCATTTTAAAACTGTAAATGTTATTTGATTAGTTTATTTAAAATTGCTATTTTTGCCAGGTATGGTGGTGCATGCTTATAATCCCAGCATTTAGGACACTGAGATTGGAAGATCCAGCAGTTGCCAGCCTGAATTACATAGTGAGATCCTGTCTCAAAAAAGAACAGCAACTAGGCTGGGAATTTAGCTCAGTGCCATAAGCGCCTGCCTGGCAAGCATTAGGTCGTGAGTTCAATCCCCCCCACACACACACACACAAAAAAAAAAACAAAAACAAAAAACTGGCAACCAATCCTCCCCCACCACTTGCGCTTTCCATTAGAATCAGAGTCATCTGAAACAATATAATGGGATTAGATTTCAGGACTTTTTCTTCCCCATCTTTACTAATTGACAGATAATTGGTTTCTCATCTTTGAACATAAGAGCATATTTTTTGTGTTTAATTTTAATATGGGCTTTACTTTTTTGGAGTAGGGGGAGCCTTAAGACATAGCAAGTTTTTTCCAAACTTACTTGAAAATAAATAATGTAAATTGAATATCCTGAAATGAATATTTTTAGTGAAATAATGATATAAACTCAAACCTAGGGGGATACCAAAGAAATTTTGCTTAAACTGAGCTGTAGATTAAAATAATGGTATTGAAATGACTTGAAAGTAGGTTTTTTATATTTCTTTTGTACTGGAGGTTAAATCCAGGACCTTCCTATTGAGCTGCATCTCAGCCTATTAATAATTTATTGAAGATAGAATCTTACTAAGTTTCGGATTTTCAAACTTCTACTTGCCTCACGCTTCCCAGAATGTTAATTACAGACATTTACCACCACCCCTAGATGAAAGTGGTCATTTTAATAGTCAGTAAATATTTATTGAACACCCATCAGTGGGCACAGGTTTTTTTGTTTTGTTTTTTGTCTTTTTGAGACAGGGTTTCACTATGCAATTCAGTTGCCTTGAACTCACTAGTATCTAAAGGTATTAGTTTACTACCATTCCAAACGTTCCATATATGCACACAAATTTAGAGACACTAACAAGAACAAATACCCAGCAAAAGAGTATCTAGAAAATAAGTACTAATTACTAAAAGTTTATAAAACACTAGATAGGAACAAATTGAATTAAGATGAATTAGCTAGAGGTATTTTGTGAACTGAGGAGATTAGATTTGGAATATAATTAAAATGATAAATGGGTTCTATATACAGAGTGGTTTGCTTGTAAACCTTTTGGTAAGTTAGACTGTCTGTAGAATATAGATTTAGTCAGCCTAAGAATTTTGCCTCACAAAATTGTTTACATGTCTGTAATCCCAACATTCAGGAGGTTGAGCAGGAAGAGTGCTATGAGCTCCATGCCAGTCTGTGCTACAAAGTGAGTTCAAGGCTAGCCCAACCTGCGTAGTGAAACCCTGTTTCAGGAAAAAAAAAAAATTGCTTACAGTATCTAACTAGCTCTTATAGCAGTTTGGAGCTAAGTCATTACTACTAAGTAAGAGAGCACAACAGCATTCACTCCTGATAGAAGCCTCCTGATACACTAGAAAGTTTAGGTTGATCATATCAGGCCCATGGACTGTTTATTTGTTTAACTGATTCTATTTCAATAGCTTAGCAAAAGGAAATGCTATTCATCAGTAGTCTTTCTATAATTTACCTGGAAATGAATACATAATCTATTCATCTAAAATCTAAAGCCAGTAACTGAGCACAACACTGAAATTCTCCAGCTCATGTCATTATGACACCCTTAAGACTAGCACATAAGGACATTTATTTCCACAAAAGTGGCTCTACCACTTCATATATTTTTCTATATTTTCATAGAACTTGCAATGATTAAAATGTCAAGTGGATTTCCAAAAATTCAAATGAATGGTGACCAGTTTCAGGTGTTAAGTCACTTTGGGGCAAGAACTGCTAAATATTTTTATTAGTTAGCTAATTTGGATTACTAAGATAGAAGTCAATTTATTTTCTTTTCTCAGTTACGAAAAATACTACTTGATATGTTCCCTGTCTCACAATGGAAAGGACCTTTTTAAACCTATTCAATCAAAGAAGGTCGGCACTTACAAGAACTTCTTCTCCTATCTTATTAAATGGGATGAACTGTAAGTGAAATTTTGGCTTTTTAACTCTTTAGTGTGCTTTATTCCTAATGTATACATCCTAGATTTATTATCATTTCCATCTAAATTTATTAAGTTCTTACTGATGCCTAAAAATCTTTTCTAGATAAGACAATATAGAACAAATTCTTGTTTAAAAATCTGAAATACTTGCCCAGTCCTTATAGTATCAAGTTACAATAGCATATTGTTAATTCTTCCTAGGCTTTGTCAAGATAGATACACATTTACATCTAATTCTTGAAAGATGTTATATTTACAAAGTAGGCTTTTAAGAAAGTAGGCTGCCTACAGAGTCAGGTGTGGAATGTTGCTATAGGTTTCTCTGTGTGTGAGAGATCTGAAGGTCCAGTCAAAAGTCATGCTTCACTGTAGAGTCCTGTGTGAGTCCCTATCAGGCAGCTGAAGGGTCTGTGGTGCAGGCCAGGAGATAGACATCCAAAGCAAAGGCAAAGACTGGAGAGTTCCCAAAGAAACAGAAACAAGCCTGTCTTTTTTCTTTTCTTTTTTATTCCATTCAGGCTGCAAGCCTGTTTGTTGCTGCCACTCACATCCAGTTGGGAGTCTAATAACCTCAAAAGGTGTAAACATTATATGTCATAAACATGAGCTAAGAATAATAGTAACAACAAGGTAAATCCATTCAGTCACACCCAGAACTGTGCTAAACCAATCAGTGGGACATTTCTTACAAAGTTGACACAATGGTCAACCATCACAGATGGTGTTTTATAACATTGTTTATTTTAGTTTTTATTGGCATAGGAGTCTGGCTTTTGATTAATAGACTTAAAAAGTTGTCTTAAATTTGTGTATAGAATGTTTTATAATACTACTTTCTTTGTTTTGCTTTTTTGAGACAGGGTCTCAATATGTAGTTCAGAGTGGCCTTGAATTCATTTTTGTAGCTTAGCCTAGGCTGGTCTCAAACTTGCAGTCGTCCTCTGGCCTCAGTTTCCTGAGTGTTAGGATTACACGCATGCGCCACCACACCTGGCCAATGTTACTATTTTAAAAATACTGTTTTTGAGTGGGAAAAAACCTATAATTTAGGTAGATAGGCAGTTGAAGAACTTTCTATTGTTTGTTATACATGTATTAAATGGTTTCCTGTTTTTTCTCTTATCATTAAATTACAAAAATAATACATGTCTATTAAAGCAAACAAAACAAAAATGCACATACGATGCCAAGCATGCTGGTGCATTGATAGTCCTAGCTACTTGGAAGGCTGACATGGGAGGATTCTGAATTGAAGGCCAATCTGGAAAACATGCAGATACCCTTTCTTTCTAAAATCAAAAGGTGAGGGTTATAGTCTGTTTTCAGTACATTATCTCAGAATGACCACTATTGATTTCATACTATTGATTTCATAACAATGTTCTTTTAGACTTAGGGGGAAAAAAAAATATAAATCTGTGTATATTTGTACATGTTTATGACCCAAAAGGAAATACTCATAAATATTCATCTAGCTCAGTTACAGTGAACCTTTTAGGGCTATCAGTGATACAAATGGCCAACTGTGGCATGTGAGCTGTAGGTTCACCACTGTTGAGTTGAAGTCTGTCTTAAAAGAAATAAAAAGTGATTTACTTTGCTTGAAAATTGACACTGCAGAAGTTAAAGGTACTTACAGATTTTTAGAAAAAAAATGTTATCCTTTAAAATTTCATGTGTTAAGTTATATAAGTTATCCAATCTTGCTATGTAGCTAAAGGTTATATGAGATTAAAAATTACTGGGTATTCAAATGAAATTCCTAAAATTGTCAATCTCATTAAGTTTCACACTCAGTCTAATCTGTTCTATTAATACATTTTTCCCTGTAGAATTATTTTTCCCATCCAGATATCACAATTGCCATTAGAATCACTTCTTCATCTTACTCTTTTTGGAATTTTAAATCAGAGCAGTGGAAGTTCCCCTGATTCTAATAAGCAGAGAAAGGGGCCAGAAGCTTTGGGCAGAGTTTCTTTGCCTCTTTTTGACTTTAGACGGTAAGTATCACTGAATTGTGACAATGAGTTGCCGCAGGCATAATCTCCATATTAGAATTGGCTGGAGGACAATGATGAACATGAGCCAGTAGAGCTATTTCAGTTTTTTCCAATGTGATGAGATCAGGGGAAAATAGTTATTCTGCTATAGGCTAACCATTGTATGAGTATTTGTTTGCTACTGACCGTTCAGTAGAAAACCAGCACCCAATGACTGTTATATATGTAAAGTACTATATTACTGATATAATACCATGATTTTATCAGTTCCCCTGATATTAATAAAAGAATTCCATTTTTCCTCTTTTCATCCTTTTCCTATAGTTCTCCAATTGGAGACTATAGATACACATTACCAGACTAATCTGTCCCCTTACTGTCATGGGCCTCTGACCTTCATTTTCCAAAGGTCCTATGTGGGTCAGAAACTTATTCTGGAATTCTTTCCTCTATCCTTAAGGGTAAAGAAATTTCTTTATTAGATAAAGCTTAAAGGAGTAACCATTGGGATAACAAGGTCATCCTAAAGAGAAAAGAGTAAGTTTGGGGTGGGTTGCATATAGGACATTGGGAATTTTCTACAGACTGATAGTATATGGGAGTGTGTTGAAAGCATATCTAAAGTTTTATAACCAAGAAGCCATTTAACTGCCTTATAATTATATATTCTCTATAAAAACAAACACTTATCTAGCCCTTCTTACTATGTGCTAGGCTTTATCTGAGCACTATACATATATCCGTATATTCCCCCATAACAGCTGTATGAACAAGATACTGTTAATACCTTCTTTTACAAAATGGGAAACCAAAGGACATAGGTTAAGTGCCTTGCTTCTTGGTGCTTACATAGTAATAGAGATTTGAATCAGGCATTTTGGCTCCAGGATCTGTGTTCTTAAATATTATCCTATCTTGACATTCCCAAATTTACTTGATACCATAGCACTTTTTTTATTGTTATAGAATGTATCATTTAAAACGTCATATTCATGGGACAATATGGGAAATGATTTAATGATGGGTCTTTTTTTAAGGGTGAAAATACTGTCTCAATCTACTTCTTCCTTTTCCTTCTTAAGTAGCAAACTGTTTTATTTTCCAGTAATCATTTATTGAAGTTGAAAACACTGAAAACAACAAAAAAACTCACACTGACTTCAGTTGCGTTTTTATTTTTTTCAATATTAGAAACTGAACCTAGAGCCTTGGGTGTGCGAGGCAAGTGCTTTACCAATGAACTACATCCCCAGCCCTGACTTCACACATTTTGATGTTGATGTATTCTTTTCTCACACACTTATGTGAAAAATACTTGTTAAATTACTTCCCTCATATTTGAGGAGGTAGTATAAGCTTTTTTTTAAAACTATCTTTTGGTCATTTTAATGTTATCTTTGGTACCTGACATAGTTCCAGACCATCAAAAACTAGAGAAAAGCAGCTGAAGAGCTTATTATTGATGATGTGTATTTAAAACTTTTCAGCTGGGGATTTAGCTCAGTGGCTCAAGCACTTCACAGTAAGCTTGAGGTCACAAGTTGTATCCCTGGTACAAAAACAACAAACCTTTCAGTAAATATAATACATAACTTCTCTAAAGAATACTGACATCGCTGGTACCATGAAGGAGAAGAATTGTATTCTCAATTTTTTTTTGATAAATTAGTGTTAGAGAATAGTTACGTGAGAAAATTTAATGTAATTCCAATCATTGATTTTTTATAAATACCGGAAATCAGTTTTGAAAACCATCATTTTTTTTCCACTTTCATTTTTTTTAATGAATGATACAAAAAATTCTTTCATAAATTAAGAGATTATAAAGTGAAGCTAACCAGGCATAATGGTACACACCGGTAATCTCTGGAATAGCAAGTTTGAGCCCAGTTTGGACAATTTGTCAAAAAAACGCCTGGGGATGTAGCAATCCCCAGGACAGATAATAGGATACATTAGATTAGGTAAAATCAAATCAGATAGAAGTTTGACTGTTGTTACTTTTGAAATAGTTTTGCTGGCTGGGAATATAGTTCAGGGCATGAATGCCTGCCTGGCCAAGGCAAGGTCATGAGTTTGATTCCTGGTTAACCCCCACCCCCACCCCCACCCTGCAAAAAAAAGTTTGCATCCAACACTCTAGTGAATAGATGGTTTTAGGTTTAAGACCACTGGGTATTCCAGTATTTCTAGGTAACTTAAAGCTTCACATTGAAGAGAAAACCAGAAATTAAAGAGACCTCTGAGTGTCATGCCCACACATACCTGTAAACCTAGTAGTTCGGAGGCTGAGGCAAGAAGATTGCTTTGAGTTTGAGAGCAGCCTGAACAACATAGTGAGTTCAAGCCAGTTTGAACTATATAGTGAGACCCTATCTCAAAACTTCTCCCGCAGAAACTAAGAGGGAGGATGATTTTACATTAATATATACAGAAAAACTATTAATGATTTAGTTCAGATAACGTACTGTGATAGTAATCAGTAATTTTGGCCTTAGAATTCTTTGTAATTTCTGTTGAGAGTGTAACCTGCATAGCACCTCAAAGCCCTGTCATTCAGTACAAATGAACGTTAAAACTCATTGTTCTGAAAACTGGTGTATAAATAGAATTAATCATTTAGTCTGCCTTTCCACTATCTCGGGACCACCAAATTTGATGTGAAGAGTTTTTATAGAAAAAATGTAGCAGATGCAGAAGGAATGATGAATGAAAGTATTACTTTTTTCATCTCTGCGTTAAATCAGAATTTCTCAATCGCAGCACTGTTGACAAATTTAGTCAGATAATTCTTTATTTTTTAGCCAGACCCCTCCTTGTGGGAAACTATTGGTGTGTATTCTAGGATATTTTTGCAGTACGTCTGGGTTCTACTCATTAGATGCCAGTAGTGCTCCTCCAGTTGATAGCTAAGAATGTCTAGTGGGAGAATAGTTACTGATTGAGAAGCATTGATCTCCAATGTCTTACAACCAACAGGCTTTTCTGGAACTTTATAGTGAATGGTTTACTGACAGTCCATAAACAAACTGATTCATCCTAGTGTCACTCAGAGAGTTAACACAAGCAATGTGTGCCTTTTTTGTTGATGCAATAAGAAACTAGCATACAAAACTACGTATTAAGAATTTTTTGGGAACATACCAAGAAGAGAAATAGCTGGGTCAAATAGAACCTTTTGTTCTAGTTTTTTGAGGAATCTCCACTGATTTCCACAGTGGTTACACCAGTCTGCACTTCCACCAGCAATGGAAAAGGGTTCCTTTTTCCTCCACAGCCCCGCCAGCATTTATTATTAGTTGATTTGTTAATAATATCCATTCTTTTTGGAGTGAAATGGAATCTCAGCGTTGTTTTAATTTGTATCTCTCTAGTGATTAGTGGTATTTAATGTTTGTACTTCTTCTGAGAAGTGTCTATTCTTTTTAGATGCCCATTTTTGGATTGGTTCTTTAAATTGGTGGTATCATCTGAAAAACATTAAAAGTATTATACCACAATGATATATGCCCATGCATGTTTAGAGCAGCATAGTTTATGATAGCTAAATCTTGGAAACAACTCTAATGCCCATCAATCAAATGAATGGATAAAAGTCATGGGTCTTTTTTTTAATTCAATAGAGTACTACTAAGCCATAAACAAGGATAAACTTGAGACATTTATAGCTAAATGCATGAACTTTGAGACCATACTCCTAAGTGAAATAAATTGGACATGTAAATATCACATTATCTTTTTGGTATCAGAAACTGAAAGTGTAAATAAGAACCAAAATGTATACTAGATCTGTGAAACAAGTAATTTTTCAAAGGGAAAGGAAAATGGGGAGGTGGGGCAAGGAGGGAAGAAAAAAAAATGGAAACAAAGCTTTGTAAATAAGGAGGGCAGAGAGATTAAAGGGAAAGAAATGGGGAGGGGGCTATGGTATATCATGTACAGGTACAAGTTTCCTATGGTGAATGTAATCAATATACATACCTAAATTATACCAATAAACTTTATTTTTTATTTATTTATTTATTTTTGTCTTTTTCCTTTTTTATCGGTACCGGGGATCAAACTCACGACTGCCTGCTTGCAAGGCAGGCGCTTATGCCACTAAACTAAATCTCCAGCCCCAATAAACTTTATTATTAAAAAATGTGATTTCAAAAGGTAAAAAAGTTTTGCCAGTTTTGCCAACTAAAATCAAATCAGGGCTCTAGATCTAATTACATACTTGAGCCCCTATCCACTTTTGTAAATACAGTTTGACATTCATTTATGTGTTGCTTGTAGCTACTTTGCATTATAACAGCCAAAGTCTTTGCAGCAGAGAATGAGTGACCCATAAAGTTCAAAATATTTACTGGCTGAACCTTTACAGAATGTTTGTAGACAGGGGCACAGATACAACTTCTCATATCAGATGATTGGTGCTGTGGCACTAGTAGTTACAAGTGTTCTTGGTGTGTAGTTTTTGTTCTGATGTTAAAAACCAAGAAGTAGTTCTGTAATCCAAATTTCTACTTTGATCTGTATTCCTTGGTGGAAAATCTGGAAAGACTGTCCTTCCTATTTTTAAGTTGTTTTGGATCTGATCTTTACCCTTGGTATATTCTGGCTTCACACCATTCTTCACAAGACATAGTTTTTCATTCTCCCTCTTTGTCCTTCCTCCTAGTTAAGTGTGTGTGCACTGACAGTACATTATCAGGAATAACTCCTGACCTTTTTTTTTGTTGTTGTTGTTGCAGTTGTTTGTTTTGGTACGGGGAATCAAACTGAGGACCTTGTGCTTGCCATGTTTTTTTATAAAACAGTGGATGGAATACTAATATTTCAAATTGATTGTCAGTGTTACAATGTTTAAAAAGGAAATCACTGTATTCTTTTTACATTCATAAAGGTTTTTAACATATGGAACTAAACTTCTATATCTTTGGACTTCATCACATACAAATACTAGTCCTGGAACAATCTCCAAAAAAGGATATGTCAAGGAAAAAATAGTACTGCAGGTAATGGTATTTCTTGGCACATGGAGAGGTCTAAATTTAAATTCTTTTATAAAAAGTGTGTATAGCCTGCCTTGCAAGCAGGCAGTCGTGAGTTTGATCCCTGGTACCGATAAAAAGGACAAAGACAAAAAAAAAAAAAAAAGTGTGTATACCATGATTTGGGTTATTAAAGAAAAATTAATTGATGTTTTAATTCCAGAATCTGTCTTAAATGTCACAAAGTCATTTCCAGTTTCTGAAAAGTAGTAGCAGCTGGGTGGCACACAGCTGTAATCCCAGGTACTCTAGAAGCTAAGGCAAGAGGATCATAAGTTTAAGGCTAGCCTGGGCAATTTAACCAACACTCTGTCTCAAAATAAATAATCTAAGCTGGACATGGTGGCACACACCTGTAATCTAGCACTCAGGAGGCTGAGACAGGAGGACCATTGTGAGTTTGATACTAGCCTGAGTTACAAAGTGAACTCAAGGCCAGCCTGAACTACATAGTGAGACTTAGTCTCAAAAAGACAAAAAAGTAAATAAATAAATAAATAAATAAATAATCTAAAGTATGGAAAATGTGGTTTAGTGATAGAATGCCTTTGGATTCAATCCTCAATACTGAAAGAAAAAACAGCATTATACCCACCCCAAGAAAGACATATATACACACATACTATATATATATATAGTATTGAGAATTACTAATTATTGGTAACCACCATCAACAGAAAGCCAAGAAGCACTAATTTAAGGTTCGATGTAAATAATCCTTTTTTTTTTTTTTTTTTTTTTTTTTTTTTTTTTAATCGGTACTGGGGATTGAACTCGTGACTCATGACCATGCGCTTGCAAGGCAGGCGCTTATGCCTGCTGAGCTAAATCCCCAGCCCCGATGTAAATAATCCTTATTGCTAAGAAAAATAAGTTTTCTTAAGCTAATGTGGCAGATATTTCAATTGTAATTTGATCAGTTTTCTTTGAATCTTTAAGGTTGATTTTCCTTCTCCTACATTTGATATTATTTACACAACTCCTCAAGTTGACAAAAGCATTATACAGCAGTACAATTTAGAAACACTGGAAAATGATAAAAAAGAAAAACTTCTTGATATTCTTCACCGAGACTCATCACTTGGGTATGCTTTGTTTATTCTTTTTTGTCTGTGTATCACCTACAATGTAAAGGTCCAATTAAGAGCTTATATTAAATGCCCTTAGTTACTTCACTTCTTAGCAGTCCTCTTGATGAGGAAAATTTTCTATTTAACTTTTAAAAATTATATTAAAAGCCCATTTGGGGAGTGGACGTGTGGTTGAGGTGGAAATCATTTGCCTAGCATGTGCTAAGTGCCAGGTTCAAGCGCTAGCACCACCAAGCAAACAGACACAAGCAACCTTATATAACTGCATCAATTTAGGAAACTGATTAACAGGCAGACTGAAAAATATATAGATGATCAGTATATTAATTTCCTTAGTCTATAAAGAATTTTTTCATATCAGTAAGATAGCAGTTCAATACTGAAGGAGCATGTGCATAGATGACACTGCTTTTTGAACATTTGAAAATATGTCCAGTTTCTCAAGGAAAAATAATTTAGTGCAAGATGTTATCTTACATCAGAACAGCAAAAAAAAAAATCACATTATATAAAGTGATTGAGAATTCAAAAAATATGTGAATTAAATAAGTCATAACACTTTTAGAGAACAGTTGGGCAAATTATACAAGTTACAGTTGTGTATATTGTGCAGTCCGTCAGTGGTCCTTCCATCTGTATTTCATAGAGAAAACCCTTGTATATTTGTTTATAAGGATAAAAATATTACAATATTTGGATTGCTGAAAAGCTGATTGGAAATGTCTAATGACAACAGTTAAGTCATTTGGTGGTGAACTATCACTATTTAAAATTAAGTTAAAGCTGTATCTACCTGTATATAAGATACATTAAATGAAGAAATCAAAGACCTACATAGTACATACAGTATGACTATTAGCAGAAAGGAAAAATTGAAGATCTAAGAAACAACATATATGTGCTTCTCTGTGAATAGACTGTCTCTTGAAGAATACACAAGCTTAGGTGATGAGTTGGAAAGAGAGACTTTACTATGCTCCTTTTCCAATATATGAATTTTTTAGTTCACCGTATGAAATGCATGTGTTTCACTGTATGTATTATATGTATAAAAATGAATGGGATATAAAGCAGTAAAATATTCACATGAATATTTTCATTAAGTTTAAAGCAAATGGAATGAAAATATTTAGAGCAAGTTGTTTTCATTTTGATTACTTTTAATTCAACTGTATAATCATTTTCTGAAATTTTATAGTAGTTGTTGGGATAGTAATACATGCCTGAAATCTAGCAGTGGGAAGCTGAGAGAGGAGGATCACAAGTTTGAGCCTAACCTGGGGAGCTAAGTAACTTAGACTTCGTCTCAAAAAAAAGGATCAAGGAATGTAGCTCAGTGCAAAGGCTTTAACCCCCAAAAATGATAGCAGCATTTGTTTTCCATATAATTTTAGAGTTATAAAATGGATGAAATCCTTGCAAACTTTTAGGGTGAGGTCTCCTAATTCATCTCTCATTTGTAGTACATGGCATTTGGTTTGAACTCAGTAAATTTGTATTGCACTGAATTATCTTTTGTTTTCATGATACTCTTTATTAGATAGCATGTTTTCTTTCCATGGCCAAATTAGGGTAAAGTTACCATACATTGCGTTTTTCTATTCCAAAGTAGTAGTAATGTTTTCCCCAAGAAATGAATAAATTTCTTCTTTGTGTTTTTAATCATTGAGGTTATAACTATGTTGCTATAGTATTAACGAGAAATAACTTAATTCTTTTATGAATGCAGGCTTTCTAAAGAAGATATGGCCTTTTTGTGGGAGAAACGTCATTACTGCTTCAGACACCCAAATTGTCTTCCTAAAATACTAGCAAGTGCCCCAAACTGGAAATGGGTTAATCTTGCCAAAACTTACTCCTTGCTTCACCAGTGGCTGCCATTACATCCATTGGCTGCATTGGAGCTTCTTGATTCAAAGTAAGTCAATTTATTGTGCTTTCCAATGTGGGCAAACATTAATTAATTTTTACAAACTAAATAATCCCCAAATTGAATCTGTAGTACAGTAACCTTTTCTTCCTGAAAAAGAAACACATTGCTTCTGAATAAAGAATTATGTGAGTATTCTTTGTTAGGAACAAATTGAAATTATATTTTTCAGGACATACGGCTTCAGTGGAAGGAAATCTCTGTTAAACCCTAATTTTCTGATATTCTAGATTTGCTGATCAGGAAGTGAGATCCCTAGCTGTGACTTGGATTGAAGCCATTAGTGATGATGAGCTAACAGATCTCCTTCCACAGTTTGTGCAAGTGAGTTTGTTACTAGGATACCTTACTCCAGGTTTTATGAGTTGGGAGATTAGTAAGAATCGCTTTCTATTTTGATTAAAAGCAGTTTTGTAGTATGACAGTGCTAAGGGGCATCACATATGGATTTAATGTGACCCCTCCCCCATTGTCATCTGCTCCACTTGAATAGTGTATATACATACTTGAATTTTAAGTTCAACTTTTTAGAGTCTCATAACCAGACTTGAACTTTTCCTTGATTTTTTTTTTTTATTGGCTAGTGAAACATTGCTAATATTTATTCCTAAATCCATTTTTGTGTTTTATTTCACCACTTCAGCCTATAGTAATTAACTTGTTCAGTTTTATAAAAATTATCTTTTTATTTAAGAGTAATGTTTCATTTACATGGTTCCTCTTTTGATAATTTCATCTGAATAGTTTATTTTGGGTTTGGCCACTACTAAGTCTTACTTTCTTTTACATGTAGGCTTTGAAATATGAAATTTACTTGAATAGTTCATTAGTACATTTCCTTCTGTCCAGAGCATTGGGAAATATCCAAATAGCACACAATTTATATTGGTAAGATTTTAATTTTATTAAGTACTTGATTTCCAATCCTGGTATCATTAGTGATGACATATTCTGTTAAGTTTAAATAATATGTCTACATTACTTACTGTGGATATCAGATGTTTTGTTAAAGGCACTGTTTTATTCTATGTTATGTTATGTAATTTTTTGTCTTTTTGAGACAGGGTTTCACTATGCAGCTCAGGCTGGCCTTGAACTTACCTTGTAGCCTGCAGTGATCTTGTCTCAGCCTCCAAGGTCCGGGATTACAGACATGTGCCATATGCCTGGGTGAATGCATTATTTAAAAAAGCTAAATTTTTATGTTTTTAGAAAGAAAACCAAAACTGGCAAAACCCTCTATTGCAAAATACTTGACAGATTGTATTACTCTTAATAAATGAGTATTTTTTGGTTTTTTGGTTTTTTTGGTTTTTGTTTTTTTGGAACCAAGAATTGAATTTATGACCTAGTGCTTTCCAGGCAGGCGCTTATACCACTGGGTATCCCTGGCCCATAAATGAGGTTTTACTTGCTTATATACTTATATTTTTAAATACAAAAAAGAGAACTATTTAAGTAGATTTTTAAGGGAGGTTCATCTAGTTCTCAAAAGTGACTGACATATATATTTTATTGTGTTAGGCTTCTCAAGGATGCCCTGCATGATACACAGTTTGGTACCCAATATGAACATGTGTTGGGTGCTCTGCTCTCAGGAGCAGGAAAAGGACTCAGAGAAGAACTTTCTAAGCAGACAAAACTTGTACAGCTATTAGGAGCAGTAGCGGAAAAAGTCAAGCAGGCTAGTGGATCAGCCAGACAGGTATGTGACCATGAAACAGAATGTGTTTTAATGTTAAAAGATCATTATGGTGCTGACAAAGTAAGTTTTTACTCTATCAGTAGACTCCCAGTAGAACTCTACATCTGTGTTATTTGGGGCAAATAAAATTCAAAGGTTTTTAAAATATGTAAGAAAAAAAATCTCATAGCCTAGTTCAAAACAAAATCAGTCATATCTCCATTACCCCTTTTCTCCACTGAACCTAGGACCTTTGCACTGAGCTCAGACCGGGGGTCCTTATGCCCCAGCTTCCTAGAGTGCTCGGGTTCCAGAGATGGTTCAGATTTTTGTTTGAACACCTGTTTTCACTTTGTCTAAGAATGAACTGCTGAGTCATATAGTAAGTCTATGTTTAATTTTATTGAGGAATCATGTAACTGTTATCTCTAGTAGTTACACCATTGACATTCCTACTAGCAATACAGATGAGCTCTAATTTCTCCACATCCTTACCAACATTTGTTATTTTCTGGGATTTTGAGGTCTGTAAAATTTTACATACATGCATATATTTATATTTTGCATTCTAGGCATTGAATACAGGGTCTCATGCATACCACTGAGCAATCTGCCCAGCCCTTTTTATTTTCTGTATTAATTTTGAAACAGGGTCTCACTGTGTGGCTCAGGCAGGCCTCAAACTTAAATTGTAGCCCAGCCCAGCCTCAAACTCAGTAGCCTCCTGTCTTAGCGTCCCAAGTAGCTGGAATTGCAGGTACATATAAGCCACACCTGGCTCAAGTTTTTGCTTTTTGGTAGTATTTCTTTTTTAATTTTTATTTTTTTATTTTTTATTTTTTTTTTTTTTTTTTGTCTTTTTCATTTTCATTTTTATCAGTACCAGGGATCGAACTCACGACTGCCTGCTTGCAACGCAGGCACTTATGCCACTGAGCTAAATCCCCAGCCCCTTCTGTTTATTTTTTAAAGTTGTGATTGCACTGTGATGCCTGGGATAGTTACATAGCCTTGGGCTTAAGCAACCCTCCTGCCTCAGCGTTGCAACCAGCTGGAACTGCAAGGCATGCACCACCACATCAGGCTTACTAGTATTTTTAGGAGACTCTTACGGGCAAATAGCTGAGTCAAGAGCTCTGTACATTTTTTAATTAAAATAATTTGTTAGATTGTTCTCTTTTAAAAAAAAAAAAAAAAAGCCCTGTGCCTGTGTACACTTTTTTTCTCCATCAAGCGATAATGAAATATTTCCCAACATTAGATGTTGTCTTAAATTGTTATCTGGCAACTGAAGAGCTGCATTACTTTCATTTCTTTATAATTGTTAGCAACCTTTAACATATTTTGTGTGTTGGTTGGCCATTTGTACTTTCCCCTCTGTTCATAGCTTTTGCACATTCCAATTTTGTTTGTGTAGTAAAACATGTGTAACAGCAACTTTTTTCTTTCCTATTTGGCAGTCAGACATTTTATAAATTGTGTCTACAGCATAATGTAATGTCTTAAAAATAGATCTGAATTTTCATTATGTATTTACAGTAACAATTTCTTTCTATAGGTTGTCCTCCAAAGGAATATGGAAAGAGTACAGTCCTTTTTTTTGAGAAATAAATGCCGTCTCCCTCTCAAGCCAAGTCTAGTGGCAAAAGAGTTAAATATTAAGGTGATGCGGTACTTACTAAGTTCATGTTAAATTTCAAAATAATATGTAAAAAGGAAAATGGGCAGGTATATTTAAAGTAAATAAGGATGAAACCTCTGTAGTTTGTTTATAAGTATATATATTTATACTTGTTTATGTATATACTTATACCTATGGAAGGACATCTGTGATTAATATGCATTTCAGCATATTTTTACTCAATCACTAGTCCTAAAAGACCAACAGCATAAAATTATTTATTACCTTGGTTTAGCTTATTGTTTCTCTTAAATTGGCCCTCCCCACCCAGTAGTAGGGATTGAACCAGGGCCTTTACACCCAGCTATGTCCAAGCCCTTTTATTTTCTATTTTGAGACAGATTCTGACTAAGTTAAGTTGTCTAGGCTGGGCTTGAACTTGTGATTCTCCTGTTCAGCTTCCCTAATGTAATGAGTTTACAGGCATGCATCACCATGCCAAGCTTGGTTTTATCATTTTAAATTAGCTTTTTAGTCAGTTTCACTTAAAAATGAGATTTGATTTCTGCTATTGAAATTGTACTTTTATTAATATTTGATTCCACAGACTATAACACTGTTATAAGTAGAAGTAGAGATCTCATCCCAGAACTGGCACACTTGGTCGGTCTTGTGGTCCATTCTGTACCTGGCTCCTTTGACTAGTAAAAGCACCAAAGCATGGTTTATGGGAGGAAGCGCTTTAAGACACCTACAAGGCTCTGATTTGAAACATTTTGTCTCAGGTTTTTAAGTTTTTGTTTCTCTGCTTAGGATATATTGCTCACTTATACTGTGTCTAAATTTTTTTTGAAAGTAGTAAAATACAACAGAACAAGACAGAATAAAGCCAACTATGTCTAAAACTATGTCTAAATTTTTAAAGTGTTTTCATAAACATATCTGCCAGATCATCTAAGAATCATTTCTTCTAGGTTCTTTCATTTGCCATAATTCAAGAACTAAGTGATAGGGGGAAGTGCCTAGGATAATAAATAAATCATGAATTCATTTTTATTTCAGCATTATTTTCCTAATATTTGAATGTTGTATTTGCAGTCCTGTTCCTTCTTCAGTTCTAATGCCGTGCCCCTGAAAATCACCATGGTAAATGCTGATCCTATGGGGGAAGAGATTAATGTCATGTTTAAGGTGAGCAACATAGAGTTACTTTTGAGGGAAATAGGATCTCACTGTGTTGTCTAGACTGATCTTGAACAGTTGGGCTCAAGAGATCCTCCTGTTTTAGCTACAGTTTCTTTTAAAAAATAGCAATTAAAAGAAATTGTTTTATCTAATTCCTTTCCAAAATTACAAGGCAATTTTGTTCAGTACTTTAATTTGAGTAATTAGATGAACATTATTATTGACATAAACTATTTTTTTCAGTACTTTTTGACATAAACTATTTTTTTGTTCAGTTCTTTCATTTGAGTAATTAGATGAACATTATTATTGACATAAACTATTTCCAAACAGATTTGAGAACCAAGTGCAGCTGTCAGTTGGGCCACACAGATTGAACATATAACTGCAGGCAGTATCTGTAGTGCAGACTATGATGTGAATGGCATCCCCTAGAGTACAAAATGAAAATCCACTGGTTTTGGGAAACGGATCACTATGGAGAGCATGTGATGAATGTGATCATTGTGTATATCTACAATTACTAATAAAATTAATTTTAAAAAAGATCCCATGTTGCCCCATTCTAATTCAGTATAATTCACATATTCTAAACTGTATAGTTCAGGAAAAATGAAACATTCATAGGTTAAGTAGCTTTCTCTAGAATGCTGCAGAAAAATCAGTTTGTCTCATTGTTACTTTTATTTCCTTCAAGGTTGGTGAAGATCTTCGGCAAGATATGTTGGCTTTACAGATGATAAAGATTATGGATAAGATATGGCTTAAAGAAGGCCTAGATTTAAGGATGGTAATTTTCAAATGTCTCTCAACTGGCAGAGATCGAGGTAAACCTGTTAGGTCTTTTTTGATACCTTACTTTTTTAAGTTTTAATTTTTTTTTTCTGGGAGTTTAGTGTGTACCTGCCTGAAAGACTCTGATACATATTTACTGTGGTTTTAGTTGTTTCTTGTTCAGTTAATTACTGTATTTTTACTATACTTGAGATATCAAACCTAGGACCTTATGTAAGCTAGACAAGCACTATACCACTGAGTTATACCCCTGTCCTTTTTTATTTTATTATGAGATAGGTTCTCACCAAATTGCCCCAGCTGGCCTCCAATTTGTAATCCTTTTTTTTTTTTTTTGGGGGGGGGGGTCTTTTTTTCCTTTTTTATCGGTACCAGGGATCGAACTCACAACTGCCTGCTTGCAAGACAGGTGCTTACGCCGCTGAGCTAAATCCCCAGCCCCCCCCCAATTTGTAATCTTTCTGCCTCATCTTCCCAAGTAGCTGGGATTACAGACATTCACTATCATGCCAGCATTTTCTTATTTCCATCTAGTGTTATTTTATTGGTGCAATTGCTCATGATTACATTTCTTAAAAAAGAAACAAAAACTCAATAAGCCAGTTTTGGTGGCACTCAGCTATAATTCCAGCACTCAAGAGGTTTAGGCAAGAGATTGCCACAACTTTGAGGGCAGTTTGGAACATGTAGTGAGACCCTTTCTCCAAAAAACAAAATCTCAGTGGGTAGCCCTATTAAATCCTTTGAAGTAACAAGACATATCAATTAATAAGGATTTTAAAGACACCACTTTTTTTTTTTTTTTTTTTTGAGACAGGGTCTTGGCAGTGTAGTTCCACCTGGTCTCACACTCACTATGTAGCCCAGGCTGTCCTTGAACTCGTGGCTGTCTTCCTGCCTCAGCCTCTCTAACGCTGGAATTACACGCATGAGTCAACACACCCAGCTAGATAGACTTCAGCTTTTGAACTAAGAAGAACGCCATGTCCAAGTTAAAACAACTTTGATTTCATTTCTGAAGAATAAAATAGTCATATAAGTTTTTCCTATGAGGAATAGATACTTAACCTTATTTACCAAGTAAGTTTTTGAGATAATGAATTTTAAACAACCCAAGATACAGATCATGTGTTCAGTAAATAGCAACAGTCTTTTTGTTATTATTTCAGTCCTGCGGATTGAACCTAAGACCTTCACACTGAGCTAGGTTTTCATCCTCCCTCAGCTTTTTTTTTTTTAATGGCAGTAAAAGTAAGTTGCCCAGGCTGAGCTTCAATTTGTGATCCTCCCACCTCAGACTCATCTCAGACTGCTGGGATTGTAGGCATAAACCACTACAATACCCAGCTGCTGCCAGCTATCATCATTCTCAGCAACAAATGTTTGTTGAGTATCATCTGTAAAATGATGTGATGAAGTCTTGTGAATGTTTACATTATCTTGTTATCCATCTAGTTTTCTAGTATACTTTCTATTCTCTTTGTGCTGAAATAATACCTATGCTGTAGGGATTCACTGCATTTCAAGGTAGGTCATCTTATCCAGGATAGCTCTTACAGTTGTAGAGTTCTTATATTTAGTTGAATAATAATGGAACTAATTCCTGATGTCTTTTACCCATTGATTCCATATCTATAAAAGGACTGTCATGTAATTACGTTGAATGCCTCTTAAAGATAACTATTATCACTGTCTCAGATTTTTTCCCCTCTCAGTATTAGACTGAACCCAGGGTCTTTACACTGAGCTACATTTATCGTCAGGTCTTTTAAAATTTAGTTTTATTTGGAGACAGGTTCTCTCTAACTTGCCCAGACTGGCTTCGAACTTTCAAATCTTCCTGCCTCAGCTCCCCTAGTAGCTGGAATTACAAGTTTATGCCACTGAGCCAACTTATTTCTTACCTTTAATGTAATGTTTAGCAAGCAAATTGCATTATAATTTTTTAGTATTTTATTATTTTGCAAAATTTTAATATTGCAATATTTTTATATTGCAAATTTTTAATATTTTATTTTGAGACAGTCTTGCTAAATTGCCCATGCAGGGCTTGAACTGATGATCCTCCTGATTCATCCTCCCAGGGTGGTAGGTTTATAGGTGTTTACAATACTACCAATCTCTACTTCAGATCTTGAGTTCTGTCTTCTTTAGTCATTTATCAAAGGAGACACTAAATTATTATCCAGTTGTGTTCCTTATAAAGGATATAAGTAACCCATTCTAAAAGTAGGACCTGGATTTTGTAGAATACACAAAGCGCCATATGTGTGCGTAAATGAAACAGTAAGTCTTTGTCCTACGTCTTGGCCATCCTGTACTTGTACGTTTTGTGTCTTGGACTCATGTCAATTAATTTTGTCATATTTGATCCTCTAGTTTCCAGTTTCTTGGGTTCTTTTTAAAATCTGATTCTTGTTACATGTTGTGGAACCTCTTTGTATCTTTTATAAAGAGATTGAAGAAAATATATTCTGTAGCTTTTGGTAAGTTACTGGGAAAAGTGTTTACCAAGAGCCAAAGACCAACAGCATGCCCATTAGAGACCACCTTCAGTTGATTGCTAAATCAAGTACAGTATTTTATTTAGTGTAATGTTTTTCATTGTATTATCAACCATTTCAAATTTTTCTATTTTATGTATCAGAATTGCACAAGAGCTGTAACTTTCCTTTGTTCAGCTTAATTATGCAAAGTTTGTCTTGTCAAAAAGAAAAGCAGATCTGATTAAGAATGCTTATTGAGGGGCTGGAGATTTAGCTCAGCGGCCTAAGTGCCTGCCTTGCAAGCAGGCAGTCGTGAGTTCGATCCCCGGTACCGATAAAAAGGAAAAAGACCAAAAAAAAAAAAAGAATGCTTATTAATTGTCTTTCACATAAATCTTCTAAGATGGGAGTTATTTTATCAAGTAAGACTCCTTAATAGGAGCTCCTCATCTCTACTAATTTTTTTTTGTCAGTATACTATTTATATATTTGAACTACTACTGTCTTTTGAAATTCCATGTAACTTCAGAGGTTCAGGCCCCTTTGGTTTCTTTTTTTTTATGTTGCTTGTAATGGTTGAATGTTTGCTATGTGCCTTGTCTTCTGTTAAACTTTTCATGTAATGAGTCTGTTCTTATTTGTAAGAAACCACAGCCATTTCCTCTACGAGTTTTTTTGCAAGCGCTTCAGCCTGTAGTACTCTCTTATTTCTTCAAATTCAATGATTATGTTTATACTTTCCAGACATTTATTCTGTATGACTGTACTTAATTTTTCAATTGTGTATGTTTATATCTTACCTAGATTTTTTTATGTTCCCTCAAGTCAGAATCTGTTACTTTATTTCACTTTGATCCAGTGTTTTCGTACATAGCAATTAGACGTAGTCACAGAAAAAAAGATAGGAGTACTCATTAAGAAAGGTTGTCACTGTGAACTATAAAATATATGATGGTACAACCAAAGCAACATAAAAGAGTCAAATGTGCTGTGAATACTGGCACCCTCCTTGTAAAACAGGATTGCAAGTTTGAGCTCAGCCTGAGCAATTTAGCAAGACCCTGTCCCCAAAACTAAAAGGGCCCGGGGATATAACTCAGTAGGAAGGCCCTGTACTGAAGAAAAATAGAGGAGAGAGCAAATGAATTCCCTCTGTTATGTGTAACTACACTGCTGGAATTAGAACCTGCCCTGGGAACTTTCTGTCATGGTGTCCTGGTGGTCTTGGTCAACTTGGTTTTCTCCAGTTGTCCAAAGCAAATCTCTGTTTCCATCTTTCCTTCCCTCTCCCTGCCCCCATGCTAGTGACTCAGCACTTCCTGAGAGAAGTGCTGAGCTACATGGCGCTCTTTTTCATTTCAAGATGATTGGGGGGTTCTAACTAAGTTGCCCGTGCCGGCCTTGAACCTGCAGTTGTCCTGCTTTAGCCTCTCAAGTAGTTGGGATTACAGCATGTGCTGCCATAGCTAGCTCCATATCTTTTATTTGACACAAATATATATCTTTATCTTTAAAATATATAAATCAGTTTAAAAATATGTAAGTAATATATGCACATATTAAAATATCTAGATAATATATAACAATAAATTGAAAAATAAATTTTAGTTTCTGTTACACCTCCATCCTTGACCTTAGACATCCTACCCCCAAATATAACCACTTGGATAGTTTTCAGGAAATATTCTGTGTGTATTCTGACATGCACAGCAGTTTTGTTGTCCTTTTTTTTTTTTTTTAAACACAAAGTACTCTATCTTAAATTTTAAAATGACATTATTTTAAAAATCTTTTTGCATGAGCATATAAAAAACTACCTCATTGTAGTTCATTATATAGATATCCCATGATTTATTAATTATTAATAATTACTTTTGCAGTACTGGGGATTGAACCCAGGGAGCACTGATGTCCATCTCCAGCCCCCCATCCCTCCTTTTTAAAATTTTGAGACAGCTTCTTGGTAAGTTGCCCACAATGGCCTCAAATTTGTAAGTCTCATCAGCCTCCCAAGTAACTAGGGTTATAGATGTGCCCCACCATGTCCAGGCTCCCATAATTTATTTGATGCTTGCTTTTAAGGAAATTACAGATTCAAAAACAAAATAAAACAAACAAAAAAGAAGCAGTTTGTCCAGCCAGCAATAATCCATTTTATAGGAAGATAAAATACAAACTTTTGTGTGTCACCAAGACAGTCTTCATGTGTTTTTCTTATTGAAAGAACTTAATGTGCTCCTATCTTGCACAAATATAGTATTGGGGACAGTTTTTCTTGTTGAAATGGCAATGTATATATGTAACTTTATCATCAGGGTCAGTATCATGTAGCTTGTCATTAAAATTACTAGGCAGGCATGGTGGCACACACCTATAATCCAGTATTCTCAGAGGCTGGGGTAGGAACTCCTTTTCTCAGGTCAGGGGTGGGAATATAGCTCAGTACAAAGGCCTTAGGCTCAATCCCCAGTATTGCCCACCCCACCAAAAAAATTTCCTCTTTGGGGATTAGAGCTCATACATATCGTCAAAAATCAACTTTCACATGTTGTGTACTTTTGAAAAGACAAAATAATTTTGATTACCCACATTTTCTAGTAAATCCTGCCAGGCATGATTTTTTTTTTAAAATGATAATTGCTAGATGATGCCTTGTGTCAAGGATTCAAAGCTGCTAAGTACGGGTGGCACACACTTATAGTCACTGACACTTGGGAGGCTGAGGCCAGAGGATTGGAAATTTGAGGCCAGTCTGGGCAACTCAGGACTTTATCTTAAAATATAGAAAGGGCTGAGGATACAGCGCAGCGGTAAAGTGCCTGTGGATCAATACCCAGTACTAGGGGATAAAGGTGAAGAATGAAAACTATATTTTTTTAAAGCTTGCTTTTGGGAGATATTTTTTTTTCACATGGCTTACTGTTTTATCATTAAAGGCATGGTGGAGCTAGTTCCTGCTTCAGATACTCTCAGGAAAATCCAAGTGGAATATGGTGTGACTGGATCCTTTAAAGATAAACCTCTTGCTGAGTGGCTGAGGAAATACAATCCTTCTGAAGAAGAATATGAGAAGGTGGTTAGCATATCTCCTTATTCCAAATAACTGTCAAAAATGTGTTAAAAAGTTTTTAATTGCATTGATTGTGTAGTTCTGGTGACTAAATAGACAGTCTATGTCAAGAAAACAGTGTATTTCCCTGTATAGAAAATAATGAGTGGCTGGGGGTGTAGCTCAGTGGCACAGTGGCTGCCTGGAAAGCATGAGGTCCTGAGTTTGATTCTTGGTACCACCCCAAATATATATATTCGCACACACACACACACACACACACACACACACACACACAGAATGCTTTAATGAAAAGAATATGAATGAAACCAATGTTAAATTACTTCCAAAATACTCCAAACATCCTTAAAGGCCACAATAACAGAGGGTATTTTATAACCTGGACTCTTCTTGAAAGAAGTTATGGAAACGAGTAAAAGTTGCTGCGTCATGGGTTTAAGAAAATAGATTATGGGCCTGACTGTCTAGGCTTGAATTGTGCCCAGCTGTAGGTTCTTTAACCTCTGTGTGCCTCAGTGGCCTTTGCTATAAAATATTATAGTTTACAATGTAGTATTATAGTATATACTATGGCTATAGACATGATTGTACAGAGCTAGTAAGTTACTGTGTTATAAGGAATTAAATGAATATATATATTTACAATAGAAAGTTCACAGCATTGAGAAAGGTATGTAATTGATAAATGTTTTTCTTACTGGAAACATCAATTTTTTAATATTTATTTTAGTACTGTTTTGAATTAGATAGGAGAAAATGGCGATCGCTTAGTGCACAGGTTGGTCATGACCTTAGCTTGCCTTAAGGAAAACTCAAAAGCACTTTGAATGGTGATGTAAGAGGATTCCAGTTTTCATTGTCATTTACCTGCCAAATTTCTGTATCATTATATCTCTTTTATAAATATACAAGTGCCATTGTTGATTTGTGAAGGTAAAGCACAAGAATTTTGTCCTTTGTGGATCTTTTAGGTTATATATAAAGTCACTACCTTTTCTTCTTTCTTTGTAGACTGGGGGAAGCAGTGCAGCAGAAGCCAATGCCAGTTTATAGTAATGCTGGCTTGTGATTTTTTTAGTGAGTTGTTTGACACAAGACAACTGTCAAGTAGTATACAATTAACTTCTTATGCTTCAAGCTTTTTTTTATTGTTTTGTTTTGTGTTTTGAGACAGGCTCTCGCTATGTGGTTCAGGCTGGCCTTGAGCTCACTTTGCACTACACACTGGTCTCAAATTTGCAATGATCCTTCTACCTCAGGCTCTAGAGTGGTGGAATTACAGGCATGCACCACTACGCCTGGCTGTGGATTTTTTATTGAGCAAGAAATAGTGTCAGAGTAGAATCAAATTGACTGAATTCAATTCTTGGCTTTGCCATCTAACAGTTGTGATCTTGGGCAAATAATCTCTCTGTTTGTTTCCCTTATCTGTAAAATGGCAAAAATAATAGTGCTTAAGTCATTATGAGATTATAAATGAGTTAATACATATGTATACATTACGTATATCTGTGTAGTGATTTCTGGAAGTTATGGAATACAATTAACCACACGGGCACATGACTGACTGTACTACTCAGAAATACAGTATTTTGAGCCGGATGTAGTACATTCCGATAATCTGAGCACTCTGGGAGGCTGGGGCAGGAGTGTCACAACTTCAGCCTCGGCTGGGCCATTTACTAACTTAGTGGGACTTTGTCTCAAAAACCTTTAAAAATTTTTTTTTCTTTGAAGACTGGGAATGTAGCTCGGTATAAAGACCCTAAATTTGATCCCTTTTACTACCACCAAAAACAAGGAAGGCAGGGGGATGCAGTACTTTGAAAATAAACTAAATGTGTATGCTTCCGATAAAAACACTCATTATATACATTTTTGTGTAGCCTAATGCCTTGTGGTAAGTAAGCAGCAGAGTATGTGAGGAACAGGGTTCCCACAGACATGATGCTTAAAGGCTGTTCAAAAGCAGTGCATGTTCTCAAATGGGTTCTGACGGGAGCCAAAGCTGGAGAGCAAGGGCAATAGTTACTTTAAGCAGAACATTGGTTTTTATTACTGTAACACAGTTTTTATTGTATTGAGAGAATAGGTTATGACTGTTTGCAAATAATAACTTAATCTTTGTAAACCCTGCCCTCTTCAAAAATAATTTGTTTCCTAAAATAATTTTACATCTTTATTATAGGCTTCAGAGAATTTTATCTATTCTTGTGCTGGATGCTGTGTAGCCACCTATGTTTTAGGCATTTGTGATCGACACAATGACAATATAATGCTTCGAAGTACAGGACATATGTTCCATATTGACTTCGGAAAGTTTTTGGGCCATGCACAGATGTTTGGTAGCTTTAAAAGGTACTAATAATGTTCTTACTATTGTTATGAAAGAAACGAAGACATATCATATTAATGACCTTCCCCTTCTTGCTCTACTTTGTTATATGGCCTCCTTTGAACAGAACTGGAGATAAAAATGCCTGAAGTGGGTTGGGGATACAACTTAGCAGCATGGCACCTGCCTGGCAAGTGCAAACTCCTGAGTTTGATTCCTGGTACCCCCTTCCCCAAAATGCATACAGAAATGACTTTATACTAGTATACAAAATGAGAGAATGTATAAATTTTGTTGAATTGAATTGACATTCATATCTAGTTTGTAGTATTTGTTAGAAATGTTCCCATCTGCATAATGGCATGAATATAAAATTTTTCTCTGTATGTTTGTATTCACTATTTATCTCTCTTTGGTTATGTAGATTTATAAATATCACCTTAGAAAAATTTTCATATATAAAATCTTTCCAAATACTGAAATATTATGTGATAGCTTCCCTGAAAATGTGAGTTTTTATAAATGAAAGAAATTCAAAACTGTACTTTTTCTACTTGGAAATCCTATCCTGAAATTGCTCAGATAGCTTAGTTTAATAACCATATACTAGCAGTAGCCCTACTTGAATATCTTCGTCTAGTAATATTGTGTGTGTACTTTCATTTTAAACAGGGATCGGGCTCCTTTTGTGCTTACCTCTGATATGGCATATGTCATTAATGGGGGTGAAAAGCCCACCATTCGTTTCCAGTTGTTTGTGGACCTCTGCTGTCAGGCCTACAACTTGATAAGAAAGCAAACAAACCTTTTTCTTAACCTCCTTTCACTGGTAACTATGTTTGTTACAACCATTTAATTTTTATTTCGTGTATCTGTATTTCATTACCTAAAAAAGAGTACTTTATCATTTTGGAATAAATGTACTGTAGTCACAGGTGTCACCTATGTTACTGAAGTATTTTAAAATTATTGCTATGTGAAATAAACCAGGCATAAAAATGTATATACTTTCTCCATTTATTAAAAGAAAAAGTAGTGACCCTAGAAGCTGAACAGTAATAGCTGAAGCTCAGGAGAAGTGTCTGGGGACGCTGGTGAATGTTCTGTGTCTTAACCTAGGTGTGTTCAGATTGTGACCATTCATTAACTAGACACTTAGAATTTCTACACTTGGCATATATGTTACACTTAAATATAAAATTTTAAAAAGAATAAAAACCCAAAACCCTACTATGACTATTGACTAAAATTGATTTTTGGTAATAAAAACAGCCCTAAAAAAAAGGTTTGGATTTCAAAGTTTTTATTCATACATGGGCATTATGATTTTTAACAAGTCACTTGACTTCCCTAGCCTCCATATTCTCATATGTAGGAGAAACACCTAGATTCTCAAAACAGTAATTAATTTATTTACTTTAATTCTAGTTACTTAACCAGCAGAAAATTTAACTCACATACTTTTCTTTCTTCTACAGATGATTCCTTCAGGATTACCAGAACTTACAAGTATTCAAGACCTGAAATATGTTAGAGATGCACTTCAGCCCCAGACTACAGATGCAGAAGCTACAATTTTCTTTACTAGGTACAGCATATTTAAGTATATTGTGGAAGGCACGTACAGTTTGGCTTTCATCTATTTTACCTTAGTTTAAACAAAAACTCTTTACCATAAAGTCTGATTGGGAGGAAAAACCTGTAATTCACAGCATTAGTAAATCATTAGTAAGCATTGAGCTATGGCTGTAGCTAAATGATAGAACACTTGCCTGGGTTGTGGGAGACTGTGGGTTCATTTGCTAGCACTGCAAAAAGCGTTATTTACTGAATAAACGTAAAGGATTGCTGGGTGTGATTGCTGACACCCATAATCCCAGCACTTGGGAGACTGAGACAGGAGGACAGTCACAAGTTCAAGACCAGCCTGAGCTACATAGTGAATTCAGGACCAGGCAACAAGAGTAATTTCTATGGATGGCTTAACTGGTTAAAATAGCAAACTATAGGATATAGCTATAATTACTTTATGACATGGCACTTCAATCATATATGCCAGTGGCTGGCATTTGAATTTGTCATTACTGCTTTAAAGTCAGATCTTCTGGCAGATGGGTTTTTGAGATCTGGTGACCAGATTGATCACGGACTGCTGCTGCCACATCATCATAACACCACGGCCAAGAGGGGCATATGAGCTCACATTCTCATCTCTCCTTTTTTCCTTGTCTTCTGCCTCTTATGGAAGACCCTGGACTAGACTTTCCTAGTCTCAGTAGTTAGGGCCAGAGTGAATTGAAGAAAGCTGACTTTCATTTGGCCTTCCAAACTAATCCTGACAGTTTAGGTGATGGTTTTGGTTTTTGTTTGTTGTTTTTTTGAAAGAGGTTCATTTACTGCTGGGTAAAACTACAGAGCAGATGTGCATTTGTTTATTTGGACTTTCATAACAAAATCCCATAGCCTGTGAAGGTTAAATCACAGACATTTATTTTCTCACAGTTCTAAAGTACAAGATCAAGGAGCAGTCTGCTTAGGTTCATAATGCCAGTTCCTTCCATAGACTACAAGTGGCTGCCTTCTTGCTGTATTTTCATATTGGATAGAGAAGGCTTTTCTTGTATCTTATAAGGACTCTGTTGCTGGACCTCATTTTCATTTAACCTTAATTCTTTAGAGGTTCCATCTCTAAATAAATTCACATTGAGTATTGGGCTTCCAACATAAGAACATAAGGAATACAAACAGTTAATCCATGACCAGGCCAGACACCTGTGTTGGAGGTTCTTTCACTTACCTTTTTGAATGAATCTCTTTATCTGAAATCAAATTCTAACACTGTACTTTCTGTTAGTTTGTTTTTTGAGATAAGGTCTTGCCTTGAAATCACTGTTTTAGGCTAGGCTTACCTCAAAGTTGCAATTCTCTTGTCATAGCCTCCTGAGTAATGGAATGTCCAGGGGTTCGCCACCCTGCCCAGGTTCTGTTATACTGCTTGATAGAAAAATTTTAAATTTTTTTAAAATAAAAAATTATGAATACATTTGAACAAAATTCTCTTGGTTTTCAATAACAAATGCATATTCCTATAGAGATAATCAGAATTGTCTCATTTTGTTTTCATGCCTAATTTATGACTATGAATTAACTTTTATTGTTTAATTTTTATTTTAAAGAGCATAAAACCTAACAAAATAAAACATAAAGCAGTGAAGCAAAACAGTGAAAGTGGTACAGAACTTCAAAACAGGATAACAAGAAATCTACAATGGCTACCATAATATCTCTTGTTGTCTTCACAATAGTTGTCCATGCCATCAGACATAATAAAATCAAATAAAACAGAATAAAACCAATCAAAATAAAACATTAAAACAATACATCAGAACAAAACTAAACAGAACAATATTGGATTTCAAAAACAAGATAAAATCCCCCATTTGCTATATTGCATACTATTACCCTAATAGATGCTCAGACTACCAACTGTAGGCCTATAAAGTCTAACAGTACGAGCATTTAGTTGTTTTTGTACCTCAGTTGCTATTAATTTAACCTGTCTACCAAACCAGCCAGTTGTTTACTGAAGGCAGTGGCAGTGGTAGTGGTGGGGGGGGGGGTAATTGATTCTTAACCTGTCAGCTTACTGGAGGGGGAAACTGGTGTCTCTATTCCTGGGCCCCACATGACTTGTGTAGCTTATGGGAATGGTAAATTGGCTTCTTGTTGTACCCCTCCCAGACCCAACATGGCTTCTGACAACTAACCAGAAGGGTAAACATGAGAAATTTTAAATTTGAACTAACTTTTTAATGGTACTATAATGAAATGCACATATACTCTACCACTAAGCCTATTTTTGTATATTGAGATGAAATCTCATTCAGTTGTCAAGGTGGGACTTGAACTTGTGATTCTCCTGCTTTAATCTCTCAGAGTGCCAGAATAACAGGCATGTGCCATGGTATCCAGCTTGGATTTTCATAATAAGATAGCCAAGTTACATTTCACACATTATTTCAATCATCTTTTTACCCCTAATAGGTCTTTCATTGGTATCGGACCTCAGAGGGCTCAAGAAAATTAAGCATCATTTCTTTCTTGTGTTAAAATTTTTTGGGATGAAGTATAATTTAACAGATCTTTGGTATAAAAAACAGAGGAAGTCCTTGGTAGAGGGAGAATATGTTTAATGTTTTTAAAAAGTGTTTCTTATCCCTTATGTTGAAAGACTATAGTATGTGCCCATGAAGATACATCATTAACAAACATTCTGATTGTTTTGTAGGCTGATTGAATCCAGTTTGGGAAGCATTGCCACAAAGTTTAACTTTTTCATTCACAACCTTGCTCAGCTGCGTTTTTCCGGTCTTCCATCTAATGATGAGCCCATCCTTTCATTTTCACCCAAAACATATTCCTTTAAACAAGATGGTCGAATCAAGGAAGTCTCTGTTTTCACATACCATAAGAAATACAACCCAGATAAACATTATGTGAGTTTGGCTTCAGTATCTGTAGACTGTCCTGAATGCTGTTGTTGTCTGTTATACGCCCTGTATTAACTCGGTGGAAGCACGAATAAGTGTTCTGTTCATGCTTGTTTCTTCTATGAATGGTCTAAAAGAAGTAAATGTACTTGAAGCACTCCCTCCCACCTTTTTTTGAGACAGGATCTTGCTATGTAATTCAGACTGAATTCACTGTATAGCTTAGGCTGGCATCAGACTCAGAGCAATCCTCCTTCCTCAGCCTCTGAGTGCTGGGATTATAGGCGTGTACCACCATGCCTGGCTGTTAAATTTATTTTTAAAATTATGCAGACTAAAAGATACTCTTTCTTTTAGAGACAAGGCCAAAAAAGTAGTTTTACTCTGCTCATGCTTGCTCTCACTCTCGCTTGCTGGCTCTCTCGTCTGTCTCTGTCTCTCTCTGACTCTTGGAGGGGGTATTAAATACATCCATACTCTCCACCGAAATATAACAGCAAGCTTTTTTAAAGTTTTGTTGTCCTTTTTTCCCACATGAAGGTATAACATTTTCTTTTTGCTTGTATTTTCTGCTGTTGTTCTAACTTTCCCCCACCTTTGCAACGCTGATACTCAAAGCTAGAGCCTCATGCATGCTAAGCACACACTCTTCTACTGAGCTATACCCCCAACAACTGGGCTAATTAATATTTTTGTTACATAATAGTTCTCAATATTGTTAGTTTTTAAATTTTTTTTTTTTTTTTTTTTTTTTTTTTTGGTACCAGGGATCGAACTCACAACTACCTGCTTGCAAGGCAGGGGCTTATGCTGCTGAGCTAAATCCCCAGCCCCAGTTTTTAAAATTTCTTAACTGATAGATCTTAAAAAGCCATTTCACTACTTTGACCATTTTATTGATCATTCTTTTCCCAGTGATTTATAATTGCACTGTAAATATGTTCAATTTTTATAAATACATATTCAATTTTTCTTTTCTTTTCTTTTCTTTTCTTTTCTTTTCTTTTCTTTTCTTTTCTTTTCTTTTCTTTTCTTCTTTTTGAGACAAGCTCTCACAATGCAATTCATGCTGGCCTTGTGCTCACTTTGTAACCAAGGCTGGTCTCAAACTCACAACATCTGCCCCCCAAATGCTGAGATTACCGGCATGCACTACCACATCCGGCTTATTTCTGGTTTTCTGTAGTTATGTCTTGACTCTTTTCACATCAATATTATAATCTTCAAAGCACCATAACTTGAAAGAGTAACTAATAAAATATGTTTATTTTCTGTCACTTTCTAACATTTTTCCTTCTACTTTTTTTTTTCCCCCATGGTGCTAGGGTTGAAACCCAGTTGAATTCCCAGCTCTCTATTTACTTATTTTATTTTTATTTATTTATTTTGTGCTGGGAACCAAACATAGGAACTTGCGCTTGCCATGCAGGAGCCTATGCCACTAAGCTGTTTCCCTGGCTTCTCTCTGTTTATTTTTTAAAGTGGACAGACTTTTTGCCATTTTCATTGGAAATGCACTAAATTTATAGATTTGGGAAAGTGCATTTACCATATTTAACCCTGGAAATAAAATGACTTTCAAGTACTTATTTATGTATTTTATCATGGTTAATGGTCACTCTTAGAACGTAGTTATAATTTGCTATTAAGTATAATGAACAACATTTGTGATTTCCTATAATGACATATATTACCAAATCAAAAGCACTTGCATTATAAATATCTTTTTCTGCTAGGAAAGAAAGGTTTTTTTATACATTTAATGGGGTTGTTATGGGATTCTTTTCAGATTTATGTGGTCCGAATTTTGAGAGAAGGACAATTTGAACCATCATTTGTGTTTCGGACATTTGATGAATTTCAGGAACTTCACAACAAGCTCAGCATTATTTTTCCACTTTGGAAATTACCTGGGTATGTACCTACCTATCCTTGTTCAAATACTTTTCTGTAAGGAACAATTTATTCTCAAATGTAGGTACAAATCTTTATGTTAACTTGGTGTGATGCCTGGCTTGTTTTCCTTTGTATCACAAGGGCCTAACATAGAAAAGGAGCTGCAAGGTTTTGGGTGTGGTTTTTTTGTTTGTTTGTTTTGTTTTTGTTTATTTGAGACAGAGTCCTGCTGTATACTTCAGGTTGGCATTGAGTTCACTATGTAGCCCAGGCTGGACTTGAACTCTTAGGCATCCTCCTGCCTCACCATCCCAGGTGCTGAGATTATAGGTGTTCACCACCATAACCAGCCTGTAAGTTTCTTTTGAATTAATAAATGAGGAGTATGTGGAATTCTAGTCTCCTAATTTTAGTTTAAATTTTTACTTTGTTGTCTTTGTACTGCAATAGGAAACACAAAATAATTTGTAATCTTAGTTTCAAAAAATCACATGCTGTATCTTACAGAATTAGAGAAAACAATCCTAAAATTCATCTAGGACCAGAAGATACCTACAATAGCAAAGGCAATCCTGGGCAATAAAGACAAGATAAGGGGCATCACAATCCCTCACTTGAAATTATACTACAAAGCTACTATGTTAAAAACAGCATGGCACTTGCAAAACAAAACAAAAAAAACAGATGAGAAGATGCAGAAACACTACAGACATACTAAGCCACATTATCTTTGACAAAAGTGCTAAATACATTCACTAGAAGCAAGACAGACTCTTTGATAATGATGATAATGATAACTGACACTGCACATGCCAGAGATTGAAGTTGGACCCATGTCTTTAACCATGCACTAAGCTAAACTCAGGATCAAAGATCTAAATATTAAAACAAACATTAAATCTTCTGGAAGATAGGGTAGGTAAAACTCTTGAAGACATTGGTGTAGGCAAAGACTTTATGAACGAAACCCTAAATGCACAGCAACTGTCACAAAGAATCAACAACTGGGATCTCATCTTATTGAAAAGCTTTTGCACAGCAAAAACAAAGCAAAACAAAAAACACCATCAGAGGTGAAGAGACGTTGGAGAAAACTTTCCAGCTGTTCCTCAGACAAAGGATTACTATTGAGAACATATAAAGAACTAAAAAAAATCAGTCCTCCTAGATTTAAAGACCCAATCCACAAATGGACATCTGAGATGAATACACACTTCACAGATGAAGAAATACAGCAAATAATAAATAGAAAGAATGTTCAACATCACTGGTCATTCAAGAGATGCAAATTAAAACAACAATGAAATTCCACCTCATCCTGTAAACAATGGCTAGTATCAAGAAATCCGGCAATAACGAATGCTGGAGGGGCTGTAACGAAGGAGGAACCCTTTTCCACTGATGGTGGGAGGATAGAGTGGTGCAACCACTGTGGAAATCAGTGTGACAATTCCTCTAAAAACTAGGAGATCCAATTAGATACAGCTATTCTTCTGGGTATCAGAAGGATTTAAAACGTACCACAGTGATATATGTGCACCCATGTTTATAGCAGCACAATTTATAATAGCTAGATCTTGGAAACAACCTAAATGCCCATCAGCTGAGGATCGGATAAAAAAGATGTAATTTTCTACAGTAGAGTACTACTCAGCCATAAAGAAGAATACACTGGAAACTTACAAGTAAATAGATGCAACTTGAGACCATACTCATAAGTGAAATAAATCATAAGCATGTGTAAACATTGTTATTATCTCACTACTGTTAGAAGCTGAAAGAAAAAAATGTATGTATACACAATGTATGTACCACTGTTACCCCTTAATTATTGTTTTGAATTTTTTTTCTCTTTAAAATATACTTGAAAAAAAAATCACATGCTGAATCACTTCCAAAATAATCTTGTATGGGCCATGCTATGCTCTTCTGATATATATAATAAATTGAAGTGGTTAGTTTTTTATCTGATACCCTTTAGAAACTTTACTGTAGCTTAATGAACGTATTTCTTGTGTCAAGTGAGGCGATGTTGGGCATAGTGGCCTGTAATCCCAGAACAATGGGAAGGAAGATTTCAAGCCCTACCTGGGCAACTCAGCAAGACAGTGTTTCAAAATAAAAAACAGATGGACATTTAGTGCAGTGCAGAGAACCTAAGCTCAATCGTAAGTACCACAGTACTACTACCCTCCCCGCCTAAATAAAAGGTAAGGGGTAGGCAAAACAGGTATTAAACTTGATTTTCAGTTACAGTCTCATCTTTATAACATCACTAAAATAAGCAGTAGAGCTGACATTATCCTTTCAGCTCCGGAATTAGTCTCTATGTCACCTGTGGATTTTAATGGTATCGATAATAACTTATAGCTGATGAATGTTTGTTTTAGAGGTCAGCTCTGGTGGAGTATTTGTGAGTGACTAAAGATAGGAAGAAGCAACAGAAAATAACAAGTACAGTGAACTAGTGACACATGCATCTTTGGCTCGTCTAAGCCACATAAATAGAAAGTGGGTAATTGAAATGTTTAATCTATAGTTCTTTGAAAGTAATTAATAAAAAATTATAAGGGGTGAAAACTTTTTTTTATCTTCAAAAGCATGTAACAGTATCATTATGGTACATATTGTTGATAATTCTATTAACTATTTCCAAGTGAAATAATTTAAATTGCACTTGCTTTTTTTCTTTTGTAGCTTTCCTAATAAGATGGTTCTAGGAAGAACACACATAAAAGATGTAGCAGCCAAAAGAAAAATTGAGTTAAACAATTATTTACAGAACCTGATGAGAGCTTCAACAGAAGTAGCAGAGGTGACCTTTTTAAATAAAAGCTGATAACATACTATATGTTTTGTGCCATACAGTAATTAAACTAACAAAGTTTTTGTTCTCTTCAATCACAGTGTGATCTTGTTTGTACTTTTTTCCATCCTTTACTTCGTGATGAAAAAGCTGAAGGAATAGCGAGGTCTGCAGGTGAGATGACTTTTTTTCTCTTTGTGGATCACTCACATTGTGTCTGTGACTTTTCAGTGAATGGGATATAGCATGGCAGTGGGCTTGCTGGTTCTAGCCAGTGAGAATAAGAGGGTGATATTTTGAAATGAACCTATTTCTGGATAAACTTTGCTAATATGCAGAGTGTGATTACTGAAAAAATACCAAGCAGTGGCCTACCAAGTTCTTTATTTCTCCCACCCCATATGCACAGTGGTCCTGAAAGGAAAGCTAAATTCTTAGGTTGAAATTTGAACCACTCCATGCAGAATAAAATAAAGATAAAAGTATTCATGTTTTCAGGTGCAGGTCTCTTCAGTCCTACTCCAGGCCAAGTGGGAGGAGCAGTGAAATTATCTATCTCTTACCGCAACAGTACTCTCTTCATCATGGTGATGCACATCAAGGATCTTGTGAGTGATTACAAATAGTGCTAATGGTAGAAGAAATCTTCACATTGGTGGGATGCAGTACTGTAAAGAGACTGCTTTTCTTTATAGGTCACTGAAGATGGGGCTGACCCAAATCCATATGTCAAAACATACCTACTTCCAGATACCCACAAAACATCCAAACGGAAAACAAAAGTTTCACGGAAAACTAGGAATCCAACATTCAATGAAATGGTAAGTTAAAATCATTCTAGAAATTTCTATATTTAAGATTTATGACTTTAAAACATTTTAGAAGTAAAGATCTTTAGCCTTTTAAAAAGACGTTAAGAGGCTAGGCGTGATGGCACACGCTGTCTGTCAGCCCAGAAGTTGGGAAGTTGAGGCAGAAGGATTACGGCAAGTTCAGGGCCAGGCAGCCTGGGATACATAGTGAGACCTTGTCTCAAAAATACCACAGAAGCAGGGAGAGGGGAAAAAGAAAGAGGGAGAGAGAAAGGAAATTAAAAAATTAAGACCGATGATTCAACTAACCTTTCCATGTATGAATCCATTCTAAAATAGGCATAGAAAGTAGTTGTCTGTATATAAACACTGGAGAGACATCTGATTTATCTTGGGCAGCTAGAACTCTTAGATTCTAGCTAGAGCTACATTTTAAAATTTTTATTTATTTTTGTGTGTGTGTGATTGAGATTGAACCCCAGGCCTTGAACATGCAAAGCACAAACTGTACCACTGATCTGTACCCTTAAAAGTCATATTCGTTTTCCTGAATGCTGAGGTTATAGGCATGTGCCACCATGCCCACTAACCCCTTATTTATTTTGTACCAGGAATTGAACTCAGGACCTTGCGCTTGCCAGGCAGGCAATGTGCCACTGAGGTATACCCTCACCTCCAGCCCCTTATTTTCATACTAATCTAAAATCTTGACTTCAAGTTACGTGTGATATCTCCTATTAAAACATTTCAGTACCCTTTTGTTCATTGATAGGCTATAGTTTCAAAAATCATTCTTATTTTTAATTGTGGGAATTGAAGTTTAGGCTTTGCTTTATGCTGAGCATGCATGAGGCTGTACAAAGGCCCTGAGCTTAATTCCCAATACCACTCAAGAAGCAGCAGAGTAGGGTGGTAGTAGAAGGGATGTAGCTCACGGGGTTCACTTCTCAAGTAATGAATACCCCGTATCTTAGTTGCTTTTCTCTCATTGCTGAGACAAAAGACCAACACCCAAAGTTAAAGGGGAAAGTTTCAGTCCATAATCAGCTAGCTCCAAGGCAGGGGCCATGGCAGAGGGACAATAGCCATAGTGGCAGAAGACAGCAGAAAGCAACAAGAACAAAAGAGGAAGAGCAAGCCTCTTTTTCCCTTATATTGTATGCAGACTACCTGGCCTATGGCAGGTGTAGCACTCACACCCTTAACCAAGCAGTAGACCATGAATCAACCACAAACTAGATTCAGCTGTCTATGAAAAGCCCACCTCCTCATGACTATGTGAGGCTTTGGGGAGACCTCTAGACACAAGCCATAGCACCCAGAAAGAACAGAAAAGAAAAAGTGAAATCAGAAGTAATGTTTCTCAGAAGTAATGGTAAGACTTCCTGGGGAAATAAAGTTTAGGTGCTATGATTAGAATATAAAACAGAATAGCTTTGCAGCGCTCTAGACTCGCTGCAAACTGCATTGTTACTCAGAATTTGCATTGAATGATAACTAATTCACTACTTCATGGTACATAAAGTCCCAAGAGAGGCAGCAAAAAGACATTTTAATCCCTCTGTATTTGTAAAATAATTGTGTAATGACTAACTTGCTTCCTCTTTCCCACTATTAGTCATCCTAAGGTAACTTTGATTCCCTTCCCTATCACCTCCATCTCAGAAGAAAACCATGTTTCAGGTTTTTAATTTTTAGCCTATGGTTGGTCCTGTTTGCACATCTGTATGTCAAGCATTCATAGGAATGATAATATAGCACTAGACTCCTGAAAATATAAAATATGCTTCCAAAATAGTGACAGAGACCTTAGTACTTGTAATCAGTGTTGCCCATTATATCATTGTGTAACTGCTAATCTCACTTTGTTGCATTGAATATATTCCAGCAAATCAACCAATAAATTGTAATTTACTGGGTTTTTCCTTTTTTTTTCCTCTCTGCTGCAGCTTGTGTACAGTGGATATAGCAAAGAAACCCTAAGACAGAGGGAACTTCAGCTAAGTGTACTCAGTGCAGAATCTCTGCGGGAAAACTTTTTCTTGGGTGGAATAACCCTACCTTTGAAAGATTTCAACTTGAGCAAAGAGACAGTTAAGTGGTATCAGCTGACTGCAGCAACTTACTTGTAAACCAGTTTTTGAGCTTTGGAAGCAAGAACAGTTATAAATTTGTGTACACATGTACGTACACACACATTTGTGAACTTTGTACAGTATTTTTAATACTTGGGCAGAAATTATAAAGTTAAATATATTCATTGCATTTCAGTACATCTGTAGGACCAGCAGTCACGTAACTTTTATAAATTTTGGAAAGCCGTTGATATTTTAAAATCATTATATTGAATTCTATAAACCCTAAACTTAATATATAAGTCCTAAAAAAGACTGAAGTAGTACTACATCAGTTTGGCCACCTAGTTTTGATTGTTTCTTATACCGACATCATGTATTTGTTTTCCTTTTATGCACCTTTTAAAGCCTTTACCACTGTGTATGTTCACAACCACCAAAGTAAAGAAAAAATGCAGAATTTTACCATAAAACACAGCTGCTATTCACTGGGCTGAAAAGCAAAGCACAAATAGTAGATAGCTATGTTAAAAACTACTAAGTAGTTTATAAAAGTAGGGGGAGATACTGTTTTTTATTATTAAAAGCCTTTTCCAGAGTAAGTGCCAATCACTGAAGTTGTAAATAATAGTGCCTTATTTGATATGCTTCCTTGGCACTTGATTTCTGACTTTTTTTTCCTCACTTGATAAATAGTAGTTTTCATTTACTTTCAGTTTACTGAGGATAAAGATTTTGTTCATTTACTAATTTTTTCCCACAAAAATTTTTTTCTCCATTAGTGATATTATTTTAACATCAAGCTATTTAAGGTGTTTTTGTTTTTTTTTTTATCCCTTCAGTAACTGAATGAGATTCACTGAATCATTGCATACAATTCTTTCATTCCATTATACTTCTCCATTTATTCCCAGGGCGTGAGTTGAAATTGGGTAATTTCATGTGCGTATGTTTATACTTTATTCCCTTATTAAACAAGTGAAAATCGTTCATTCTGTACCCATTCCTGCTTGCTATAACCTCCAAGAGTAGAGGAGACTCTTCAGAAGAGGCCACCAACAGGGCCTATTGCAGTGATGACGAACCTTTTAGACCTTTCAGTGATACAAACAGCCCACTTCAGCACCTGTGCTGTAGGTTTGCCACACTAGCCCATAGGGTCCAGACTGATTTGGGGAGAAGAGGATGCTTAGGGATGGAAGCCAGGTTTTTTGCCCTGGGCCTAACCACTACCACTCCTGAGTTTTGTTTTTGTTTCTGTTTTTTCTCTTTGAGTCAGCAAGTTGCTGAAGTGCCCAGGTTGGGCTTGAACTTGGGATACTCCTCCCTCATCCTCCCAGGGTGCTGGGATTATAGGCATGTACTACCATGCTCAATTCAGACTGAATTTTAATATAGACTTCTTTATTAAACTTTTATATTAAAATGATATTAATATAGACCTTATGGAAGTTTGTGTTATAAACTCTTGTACATTCATGTGAAAGAATTATTTTCCATAATACAGCAAAATTCAGAATCAGAGGATTGAAATTATTATACAGTAACCATTAAGAAAAGATTCATTTTTATTACTTATTCAATTTCTGGCATAACTGTCTTTAGATAAATTACGTATATGTATATGTATAGAATAATCTTAATGGTTACAGTAGACATTCAGATACTTTTGAAAATGATAATAGAAATATAGCAATTTGGTTTTTGCAAGAAAACTAAAAAAATAGCAATGAAGTACTCTTTCATGCTCTTCATGAAAGAAAAAGGACAATCTCCAGTTCAGTTGACCAGAACAGAATTTTTATGAACTGTGCACATGTTTAATATAATGATACCTGCAAAACAAAAATAAAAGACTTGAGAATTTGTCTGTGTAACAGGTTTTAAGAAAACAAACTTGAAATTTTTGGTGCCTAACACTAAATGGTCCATTTGTAGGAAAACCCATAATTATAATGAATGTTTTTTTTAATGTTCAAATGTATTGTCTATTTAATGTTAATTAAAATGCAGATTAAAGCATCACTGTTTGCTTTTTCCAGTTAACTTTTCCTCAGTGTATGTAAATAGCTTTGCAAATGTAAAGTTAGCACTAAAAAATTTCACTTAAGCTTTTGAAATCTGATTCCATTCCATGAGATGTCACTTAGCCATTGTTAAAAAGTCTTGTTAAAAGTCATTGTTAATTGTCTCAAATGGGCTGCATTTTTGCAGTCTTTTATAGCAGTGTCTTTTAGCAGAAATAATAGAGCTAGAAAATTTGCTTTCACGTGTCAGTTACAAGAAGTCTAGATTCGGGGCTGGGGATTTAGCTCAGTGGCATAAGCACCTGCCTTGCAAGCAGGCAGTCGTGAGTTCGATCCCCGGTACCGATAAAAAGGAAAAAGACAAAAAAAAAAAAAAAAAAAAAAGAAGTCTAGATTCATATCTAAAATGCATATTTAACACTGTATAATTAACAAGAACTCAGAACAAATGATAATGTTTCTTCATTTGAACTCCTTTTGTGCCTTCTTTGGTCACTAAAACAAATATTTTATTTTAATATGTTATTTATTTGTGAAATGCTAATCTTCAGCCCATACCAAAACACAAAAAAGGAGAGGAGCCTCTTTGCACTATTATCACGATCAGTCAATTCTAAATCAGTTGAATTTCTAAACATTTTTTACAGCTTATCTTAAATCCAAAAAATAAGTCTGATAATGATGACTTTTATGTAATCACAATATTGTATACCTATCTTTATTGAGTAAAAATAATACTACATGTAAGTCCTGAATCAGAAGGAATCTTCCTTCCTGCCCATGTTTGAGACCAACAGGTGTGGGTTGTCCCAGAAACTGTGTGCTTCCAGCTGTGGGACCCAGGCCAGGACAGCCACTGTGCCTCTCTATTCCTCTGCACTTGAAGGCACCTCAGAGTCAGAGAGGCATGGTTTTGATAAAGTCCTCCTTTCTTCATTGGAAGTTTTGTGAAAGTTTCAAAATCTGCCTTAAATTGTTTGAACTATTCTTTTAGGATTTGAGTAATGTGGCATTTTACAAAGAAAATGTTCACTTTTGATAAACTTTAGATGAGAAAGGATTGAAGCCCCACTATAATAATGTATAGGTTTACTCACATACTGTTTTACTAGCAGCACAAATATGAATAACTAGTCACATCTATAAGAACCAAATACTTTAATTAGGATAGTGATTAAAGATGTATAATATTTTTATTAATACTTTGAATATGTTTCAGTGGATTGAATGTGACTTCATAACTGTACTATGATTGTATTATTTCTGGAATAAAGGAACTCTGCTATCACCTCTTGTTGTGGTATTTTGGTTTCATCTTTGATTTGAGCTCACTGTTGCTGTTTACATCTTAGCAGTGTCTTAAGTGTGATAACCCTAAATTTTAGGATATAGAGAAATTGGAACCCTCATGGACTGCTAGTAGAAGTATAAAATGAAACAACCATTACAGAAAACACAATTCCTCAAAACGTTCAGTGTAGAATTACCTATGATGTTACAGATTTTGGCATTTCCAGTCCTAGGAACTAAAACCAGTTGCTCAAATATTATGAACTGCTACATTCACAGCAGCATTTATTCATAATATCCAAAAAGCAGAAATGTCCACGAAGTGATAAATGAATAAACAGCATGTGGTATACTCATAAAATAGAATCTTAGCCATAGAAACAGATGAAGAGGGCTGGGGACATAGTTCACTAGGAAAAGGTGTGTTCAGTATGTGGCTTTGATCCCCAGCACCACATGAAAGAATTGTTCTTAATCCCGAAGAATCTTTTTTTCCTCTGGGTATGGAAATCAAATTTAGGATCTCATGCTTGCCAGTAAAGTGCTATACCACTGAGTTGTATCCCAGCCCTTAGGAAAATCAGTTTGACCCTCAGGAATTCCAACCTCAGGCTTAAGCCATAGCAAGACCTGTCTCACCTGTGCTGGTGGTGCACACCTATAATCCCATCATTCTGAGAGGCTGAGGAAGATAGCAAGTTCAGGCCCAGCTGAGACAATTTAGGAAGACATTATGCTTGCTTAGCATCCTCAAGACTTTGGATGCAATCCCCAGTATCAACAAGGAAAAAAATACACAGAGAAAGCAAGTTAGGGATGGGGAAGGGAGGCCAGAAAATGGAGGGTTTTTGTTTTGTTTTGTTTTGTTTTGTAATAAATTTCTGCAATCAAGATTGTCAGTGTAAAGTGTCGTCGTGTATTTTTAAATGATTAAAATACTGAGTTTGTAGCTTGTAAAATTTACCTTAAAATAATCCAAACGATTTTTAAAAATATTTGATCATAGAATTTATGTCTTCAGAGAATGAGTTAACAGTAACTATTCTCTATGTAATAATGGTTTTGCCCTCTTCCTTTTGTCTTTAAAACATCAAGTTTTCATTGAAAAGTTCTCAATACCATGCTCGAATCTCAGTCCTCAGGAGGCTGAGGCAGGATTGCCATGAGTTTGAGGCCAGCCTGAACTACATAGCAGGACGCTGTCTCAAAACCCTACATTGTGCTATGCGTACAGGCAACAGCATGGCTTAATAGAAGGTAAACACGATTTAATTAAAATTCAACACGCTTATATCATATTGATAGGAATATACATTCACACACTTACACTGTATTTTATCTTGTTATTAAGTATACAAACATTTACGAATTTAAAACTACTCAAAAACAGGCTGAAGTGGGCGGAGGATTGTCTTGAATCCAAAAGTTGCAGAACAGAGTGGACAACATAAACGTTTATCTCCAAAAACAACAAAAAGGGTGGAGAGTGTTTAAAGACAATTTATAGGAGATGCTGACGTTAGAAATTACGTATAGAAATGAGGAAAAACAGATTCCTCTCTGTATTTTGGACAAACAGAGCAGTGCTTAAACAAAATGGAATGTGGAGAAGAAATGGATGGGAGGCAAGGATAGAATCTTGAGCCAAGTTTGAAATACCTATCCTGTATATGGGCTAAAAATGTAAATTTGGTTAATGATAGGACTACTGGGTGATTGGACAAACACCCAATTTGAAGTTCCTAATATTTTGCGGAAAGTTATTCACAAAATAGTGTTAGGTTACAAGAATTAGCGTTTTAATGCCTAGGTTTTTTGTTTTTATTTTATTTTATTTTTTAGCTTCTTATCAGTTAAGGTTGATTTCACTGAGATCCACCTTTCCAGGACTGCTTTTTGTTTTGAACAAGTAGCTTCATTGTCCATTCTTCGGAACGCACTGTATATCAATGCTGGATCAAAGAGCTTCCTCAGTGGCGGTTCCCCTATTTCCCTCAAAAGATCAAAAGCGGACTCCTTTTCTCCCTCATCCTCCTGGCCTTCACACTCTTCCTAAAGCTCTCCTCCCTCCACCGCTTGTTCATCTAGGCATGCAAGTCCGCGAGGCTCTAACCTTTCCTGAGCTCCACAGCCCCGGGCCCAGGAAGGGGCTCTGCAGGGCACGTTTACCGCCAGGATCTTCCCATGAGTTCACTTAGGATCTGAGGGCTGCCTGGAGAGCAGTCACTACCATTACTTCCGGTGCAGCATTCTGACTACAGCTCTGTGCCCGCGAATTAAGTACAGAGGCCGACAGGGAACGTAACATACTCCGTACGAGACAAACCCAGGCTTTGGTGGAGGAATGAACTCTGACCCCTGCAGCTCTAAGTCATCTCCTACTCCCGGGCCAGGATTCGGACCCCTATGACTGGGACTAACAGCACGTAGTCCTAGAGGAGCCCGCGAGATACGAACTTTGAATGAAAGCCGCCTTTCCTTCAATTACCCCCTATGGCTCGACCCAGACCTGGGATCCAAGAAGTCTGACTGTTCTTCTGGCCAATGGAGAACACATACTCACGCCGAAGTGCATTTTGGGAATTGTAGTCACCGAGGCCACACAACATGACCCCACCTCCCACATGTGAGGACACAGATACGTGTGAGGTCACTTCCGGCGCGAGGGATAGTTTCCTGCGGCGTTTCCACACTCGCTCTCCTTTTGCTTCTAGACTGCCGCCATCATGGGTCGCATGCATGCTCCCGGGTGAGCTTGTGGCGCCGAGCAGGGCTGCCGGGTTGGGTCGTGGGCTGGGGAGAGAGAAAGGAATCTGAGTTTCTGGTGGAGGGGATGATGTTCCTGGCTGCTGTGCTACGGGCCGCGCCTCATTCCATCTGCTTCTGTTTCCAGGAAGGGCCTGTCCCAGTCGGCTCTGCCGTATCGTCGCAGTGTCCCCACCGTAAGTAGTGCTCTGGGATTGGGGCGATCGTGGGAAGGAGAGGCGTTTATCTAGGAGGAAGCGGCGCCGGAACGAGGGACCGGAGTGCGCGAAGAGCGCCGCTTTGTAGCTGGAGGCGGCGGGGGGGGGGGGCACTTAGGCACCTCCCTGGATTCTTCTCATCCTCGCTCGGTTTCCCTCCCTCTCACAGTGGCTGAAGCTGACGTCTGACGACGTGAAAGAGCAGATTTACAAATTGGCCAAGAAGGGCCTGACTCCCTCACAGATCGGTGAGCGCTCCTGGTAAACGTAGCTTTTGCGGTAGGCCGGCGTGTGACTTGTTAAAAGACCCCAAAATGGATTACTCAACGCCTTGAAAATCACTTATAGGCTTTTTGGCTTTCTTGTTGAGTACCAAAATTTGACCTTTATTTGTTGAAGTTTAACAAGTAAGTTCTTCTGACGGTACTTTCAAACGAAAATTGTTTTTTCTCCACAGTTGCGGAGGTAAGGTGAAGCTAAATATTCCCAGTCACAGATTTTTGACTGGAGGAGTTGGGATCGACCGTTTGTACCGAAAGTCAGCTTTTGTGGCTTTCTGCTGTTGGCAAATGTTTGCCTGAGATGTAATGTACATCGTTCTGGGACCAGAGAGTGATTGATCTTTTTCTATTAAGGCAAAATAATCTACCCTCCTAGAGATTATAGTCTAGTGGAGGAATAGCATAGAAAAATAATAGGATATCAGGTAATGAAAGTAATTTGGCATTTAAAGGCAAAAATGTAACATTTTTAAACAATACTTAATGTGTTCTCAGTAAATTTTCGTAATGGTTGTAAATCAGGCATACAGAAATCTCATTGATTACTTTGGGCAGCTGTAGTCCATCAAACTCACTATAATAATGGTTTTCTGACATTTGAAGTTTTCACCAGAAGGGTTTTCCTCAGTACCAAGTAAGCTTCCTTGGATGTCTTGAGTTTTGCCTACCTTCTCCTGTGATTTGTAAAAGTAGACCCCAGGCTGAACCTAGTGGTACATGCATCTAATCCCTAGCTATTCAGAAAGCTAAGGTAGGAGGATCTCAAGTTCAAGGCCAGCCTAGGCAATTCAATGATGGCTTAACCCAAACAAAACAAAAAGTAAATTCCATTTTACAAAGAAGAAACCTGGAAAGTGACCTAACTGAGTCATGACATATGTCAGTTTGCTTTTAGTGTTGAAAGTTAAAATGATTGCTCTTTTCAGGTGTGATCCTGAGAGACTCTCATGGTGTTGCACAAGTACGTTTTGTGACAGGTAATAAAATCTTGAGAATCCTTAAGTCTAAAGGACTTGCTCCAGATCTCCCTGAAGATCTCTACCACTTAATTAAGAAAGCAGTTGCTGTTCGAAAACATCTTGAGAGGAACAGAAAGGTAAGAGGGTAAATAAAACCCAGGTAGTAGAATTGTTTGAAGTATTTTATTTTGGTAAAACTACTGCATCTGATTTGAATTATCTAAAGGTGACCCAGCACACACACTAGTCAGCACTACAGTTTCTGTGAAGTAAAAATTACCCAGAGAGATTTTCTCTGATTAAGTTTTAACCTAGGAGCCTAAAATTATTTTAAGGATTAAATCCAGCCATGGGAATTGTAGGCAGTTGGTTTATTGTAAGAGCAGTACTTGTGGCTTAGAAAAAATGCTTGGTAGCTATATAGTGTTAATGTTTGTTTAAGGTTTCCTTCTTTGGAGTTTTTTTTTTTTTTTTTTTTTACTTGTATCAATTTTATTTTTAGGATAAGGATGCCAAATTCCGCCTGATTCTCATCGAGAGCCGGATTCACAGATTGGCTCGATATTATAAAACCAAACGGGTCCTCCCCCCAAACTGGAAATAGTAAGTATCTACTTTTTCTGATGCTAGATCTTGAGTCAGTCAGACAGTAAATATTAGTAAGTAATAGTAAATGTTTTGGCCTTTATGGACCGTATCAGTAACTAGTCTTGTAGCTTATCTGTGCCCATGCTCTGGTAACAGGCAGTAAGTACATAATTAAATGCACATGGCTGTATTCACTTAAAACTTTGCAGGCCTCCAGTTTGGACCATGAACAAGCATTTTCACATCTGTGTAGACAGGGCTAACATTTCATTTCCCACGTTGGTCCCAGATATTACTGTAGTTTTATTTGTTGCATGACTTGCTCACTGTGATGATTGATATCCAAACATTCGCAGTTTCCACCAGAAAGGTTTTCCTCATGTTGGTTGTTCTTCCTTGGATGTCTGAGTGAGCACTGTGATCCATTATAGTTGAGCATTGTGAGCTGATTCTGGAACTCAATTTGGTTCATTTTAGAGTCTTTACATGGGTACCCAGGTCCAGTATTAATCCCAATTTTCTCTCTTTTTTTTTTTTTCAGTGAGTCATCCACAGCCTCTGCCCTGGTGGCATAAATGTGTTTATGTACTCAAGCAATAAAATCATGATTTAACTAAAGGTGTGTTTTGTGTTTATTTCTCCTAAAGAAAAAAAAATAGTATCTACCAGTGATTTGTATGTTGATCTTTTAAGTATGTGTGTTTGATATATTTAATGTTAAATAACATGTTCACCACAGTGTAGCATCAGAAATAAGTATCAGTGGAAGAATCTTTGACGTGGAGAGATCTTGGGTCTTGCTTATGAGGCTTAAAATAATACTTTTTTCCCATTACCATGGATTGAACCCGGGGGTGCTCTGTCACTAAGCTTCATTCAAAGCCCTTTTTATGTTTCAAGACTATAGAGTCAAGTACTATTGCCCAGCCTGGACTAGATCCCCTTGCCTCAGCTCGTAAGCAGCTGTGATTACAAATGTGTGCCTTCATGCCAAGGGAAATGATACAAAGCTTTTTCCTTCAGCTTTACTCTGAGCCACAGGCAAAACTGTTGGAAATCACTGGAGAGCTGGACTTAGGCCTTCATGCTGGAACTCACTTTGAACTATGACTTTTTTTATGAGACAAAGTCTTGTTTAGTTTCCCAGGTAGGACTCAATATGAAATCCTCCTGCCTCTGCCTTCTGAGTACTAAGATTAAGATGTCCACTTCCTCTCAACTGTGACATTTTGGTTTTGCTCCTTTCCCTGGCATCCTCATAATTCTGTCATGTTTCATGGTTAAATCTGAATTCTTTGTTGACATTCATGTGACTTATATACACTGTTGGTATATCCTCTAGTTTCTGCAAACATTTACATAAAGTTAGTAATTATGTCTTCTGTTGTTTAGTGTTTTCTAAATCATCTTCAAACTTAGAACCATAGTTTTGTTTTGGTATTTTCAAAAGTGAACAGTTGTACTTTGCTTTTTTGTCTTTCTAGTTCTCATTTAGACAGCTTACTCTTTCAGACCTGAGGTTCTAGAATTTTTTTTTTTTAATCGGTACCAGGGATCAAACTCAGGACTGCCTGCTTGCAAGGCAGGCGCTTATGCCGCTGAGCTAAATCCCCAGCCCCGAGGTTCTAAAATGTTTCACATCAGTTCAGGGATTCCTTCTGCCTCTGACATTAGGTTCCCTTGTTCATGTCTTCCCTTTTTTGATTTCCGTCTTCCTGTGCACCTTCCTACGACCTGAGGAAGGGTTCAGGCAGTCCTTGGGCCTTGTGTAGGTGGTTTTATGTAGCCTGTGTAGTACATGTGGCGCTCCCTGAGCTGTGTCCCTTCCACTTAATCTGCCTATCCCACATCTCCAGTTGGGTCTCAGATAAACACCCGAATTTCCCAACACCACTTTTGATTTTTGCAGCCTAAACCTACCTATCTCACTTAGGCAGTGACAGCTGAGCATTAGGCAGAACTTTCACCTCATTTCCAGTTGGGTCAGGAAGTCCTCTTTGCTCCACTGTCATCCATCGTAAGCTGAAAACTTAAACCTTGGTACAGCCGCCTGAGTCTGGATCACCTCTTTCCCTTACTACTGTGAAAGCCGATTTCCTCCCAACTTTGTGCTCAACCTGCTTAAACCCCACCACCCAGCGTGATCTATGTCCCGTGTTCTGAGGAACCTCCAGTGCCTTCCCACCCCGGCTCTGCACATAGAATCAGAAACCCTTGGTTTTTGCCATAAGGAGGAGTATCAGGTTTCTGATGGAGACCGAGTGCAAGTGCACTCAGGACATCGGGAATTCACTGAGGACTAATGAGGCACACTGGTTCGGGTAACCGCCAGCTAGGGGAGGCACGAAGCCCTCCCACTCTAGGAAGTGCCTGAGAACACGTGTGACTGAACCTGGCGGGGTTGTCTTTACCGAGGCTGTAGTCCCAGTAGAGGTTCCTCTTGCCATTGTCTCCCATTGGCCAAATCTCAGGATGACAAAAGTCAAGGAGCTTGGTGTGGTCCAATCCTCAGTTTCCCAGGAAACAGCAAGTGGGGACTGAACAGAGTATAGGGACACATGGGAAAAGTCCAGTAGCAAGGGTTCCTGTGCTGGGCGTGGTGGTATACATGTATAAACCTAGCATTGGGAGGCTGAGGTAGGAGTATCACCACCAGTTTGAAGGTAGCCTGGGCAATATAGTGAGTTGCAGGCCAGCCTAAAATTCATAGACCCTGTCTCAAAGGGAAAAAAAAAAAAAAGGGAGAGAGGGCTCCTGGGACCAGATCTCTCCAGCTCTGTGTTTCTTCTGTCAGCCTCCCTAGTCACTTAACACAAATGCTGTTTGCATGGCCCTCATTCTTGTTTAAGGCTCTTCCTAGACGGCTTGTGCTTCTGGTACCACATGGCCTGTGCCTTCTATAGGTCATTGTTCAAATGTGACCTCAGCAGAAACTATCCCCAGCCATTGCTGAGACAGCTCCTTCCACCAGCCTGAAGGCCCTGGGCCTGCTGTGTGACTTTGGAGCACTTTTACTGCAAGACATGTTACATCTTTTTATTCATTGCCTCCCTCTTTTCAGACTGAAGCAGACCTCATTATGACAGGGACCTGGTTTGTTCCCTACTATGTCCTTCTTATTTTGAGAATGCCCCAAGTGCTCAGTAAATGTTAGATGAATGAATTTAAAGGATGAAAGAAAACTTGAGATCTTGGAAAATTACCCTTTTCCAATTCATTGTTGAGTGAAAAAATTTACCAAGGGGATGCAAATAATGTCCCCTAAAAAATTCAGTGCTGCTTATTGTGTCTAGCTTTAAGATAACTTATTTTTGCTGTTTGGGGAATTGAACTGAAGCAGTGCGGAGCTACATTTCCAACACCCCCTCCTTTGAGACAGGCTGTAATTCACCCAGGCTGGCCTCAAATTTGCTATCCTGAAGGAGAAAGGGGGCAAGGACATAAAGAATTAAAATGTATTAAATGTATATACCAACTCCCCATGAGCAGTGTAATCATGTGCTGCAAATATGTACCAGTAACAATTACAAAAAAACTCCAAAATACAAAAAATCTACTGTCCTGCCTCAACCTCCCAAATAGTTGGGATTAAAGGCATGTATCACTGCCAGGTGTGGTGTTACATGCCGGTAAGCCTAGCACTCTGGAGGCTGAGGCAGAAGGATCGCTACAAGTTGAAGACTGGCCTAGGCTACAAAGTGAGCTCAAGACCAGCCTGAACTGCATAGGGAGACCCTGTCTCAAAGGACAAAAAAAATGTATCACTGCCCAACTATAGCTTTAAAAACGAAAATGTGCTGTTGAGAAGTCTGATGCCATTTGGAAACAACTCCTTTGTGATCTGGTTGCCTTTTTAAATTTGATTTTTTTTAAGGACCATCTTGTTTGATGTTTTGAAATTTGCAAAACATTATGTGTTCTGGTGTTTGACATGTTTAGGATGGTGTCTCACAGTGTAGTCCAGGATAGCCTCAAATTTGCTGTCCTCCTGCCTTAGATTTCACCCAACTAATTCTTTACTTTGTATTCTTCCTGGTGCTTGGCGAGGTATTTCAACCTCAATATTGTCTTTGTAGTCCTGAGAAATTTTCCTGAGTTATCTTTTAGTAAATTCCCTACTGTTTTCTGTGTTTTTCTGGAACTGATTTGCAGATTCTGTAATTTCTGTAATTTCATTTTGATTTTAGAGGCAGGGTTTTGCTATGTACTTCAGACTGGCCTTGAGCTCACTATGTAGCCTGGGCTGGTGTTAAACTGGCGATCCACCTGCCTCAGCCTCCCAAGTTAGGATTACAGGTGTGTGCTGCTATGCCCACGGGCCTCATCTTTTACCAACTGTACAGCTCTTTCTCAAAGTTTCATATTTATCTTCCAATCTTGATCATTTTTTTTTCTTCTTGGTTGAGACAAGGTCTTGTTAGCCCAGGCTTTCAGTTTGCAGTGATCCTCCTGCCTCAGCCCTGAGTGCTGGGATTATAGGCTTGTGCCACCAGGCCTGGCAAAGTTTTTAAAAAATAGATCACAATGAGTTCCCCAGGCTGGCCCCACCTGTCTCCATAAAATGCTGGGATTGAAATGTATGCCATTGCACCTGGCTTACCTTCATTTTTGTCATTTCCCAGAGCCAGTGGTACATGGTTCACTGCTTTATAGCTGATTGTCTGGGAGAGGACAATAGCAACTCAGTCTTCAGCATTTCTCTATTTCTACAGTGTAGAAATGCCTGTGTGGCCGATCGGCAGTCAAATTGGGAAAAGACAGTGACACCATATGCAGTATTTCCCTGCATGGAAAAATGGGCACAAGTTGAGACCATGGGTCACACTTAAACTTTGTGCAGGTAATTAGGAAATGGTGAGTTTTGAGTACTGGTCTTGAGTTTCCATAAGTTAATTTTTTATGGTGCCTGTGTTTAACTGCATTGCAGGATTCTTGGGGTTTTAGTGTTGGCTCCTAGAGCCTGTACAACCCAACTCCAGCTCACCGCTGCTCCAAGTGTGTGTTTTCCTTGAGTGTTCTGTTCTAGGAAGTATGTGACTATTCTCCAAATGTCTGGAGCTGAGATCCTCAAGAAGTGTCTTGGTCTCAAAACTTCTATGGGGGAAGAATGTGTGTTTCAGGTACCTGAATGCAAAGAAGACCATCAGACATTGGGCCGAATTGCTTTGCCAAACAGAGTGTTGATTGAAATGTTTCAGCCAAGTCTTTTGTTTATACTTAGGTCTTGCTAATGAGATCCTAGCTTTTTTTTTTCTTTTTGTGGTACTAGGGATTGAACTTACAACCACGTGCTTTCTAGGCAGGCAGTTATGCCACTGAGCTAAATTCCCCGCTAATCCTAGCATTTCTTTTTTTTTTTTTTTTTTGTCTTTTTTTTTCATTTTTATCGGTACCAGGGATTGAACTCACGACTACCTGCTTGTAAGGCAGGCGCTTATGCCATTGAGCTAAATCCCCAGCCCCAATCCTAGCATGTCTGATCTCCCTAAATATCCTTAAATATCCTGGCCATTTTGCTCCCACCTCTAAGCTGTGAGAAGGAAAAGAAAGCTTAGAGGAGGGGAAACTGAGGAGGCTCGAGGACTGCATGTTTGGAGCGGACAGTGGGCACAGGTGGCATCTGCCTGAGAAGAGGAAAGAGAGGGAGCTAAAGGCCCTAGGGTACTTCAGGATGATGGCCAGAGTTTGGTCAGTGGCAGAAGATGCCACAGACTACACCTATTGTTTAACAGTTGGGTGTTTTCTGCCAAGTGGCTGCAGGGTCAGAATGACCTCAGGGCCTTCTGACCTCCGTAACTAGAAGGTACAAACCCTATCCATCGGGGGTTGGCAGCCCTGTGAGTAACTGCTTCTCAGAGCTGACTTGTGTCCTGTCTGGAGAAGAGGTAGCTTGAATTCAGCTGGATTCCAGAAGCAGGGTGTGGGCACATCAGGATTTTTTTTGTCTTTCCTTTTTATCGGTACCGGGATTGAACTACATCAGGATGTTTTGTGAAAGAGAAGGAGGCATCTAGAGAACTGGAGGGCATTTGTCATCCTCCCAGTTTAGGACGGGAGTCTCCATCCTGTTGCCCTGGGATATGCCTTGGAGCAGGTAGAGACAAAAGAGGTCTGAGAAGGTAACCAGTAATGAGAAAAGGCTGCAGAATAAGGAAGGAGGTCAGAAACCTAGGGATGGGAGAAAGAAGGATGAGATGGGAACAAAGATGGCAAAAGGATGGAAACCTGCAGTGCAAGCAGGGATTTAAAAGATGAGATCTAAGAATAGATGGGGGAGAGGTGACTCAAGCAAAGGTCCCCTTGTAGGCAAAAGGTGAGGGGACAGTGGCAAGGAAAATTAGGGGCAGGTGGTTAATGCTGGAACAATGGCTTGGCAGGGGACTCCAGTGGAAGACTTTGAAAAAGGGAGCTGGGTCCAGATGATCAAAGGCCAGATGGGTTTCTGTACTCAAGCCTGTAGTTGTACCCAGCTTAGCCCTTCAGCCCCTGGCCAGAAGATGAAGAAGGACTATTTGTCCAGGCCCGCTGAGAAGCTGCAGAGCCAGCAGGGCAGCTGGCTCCAAGAATGGCCCAGCTGCTGTGGAGGAGCTACGTGGGCTCAAGTAGGCTGAAGCACAGGGCCTGTCCTCAGAGCTTTGTGGGCACTGCTCAGCCTTCCGCAGGCACTGGAGGTGCTGTCGTGGAGATTCCTGGCCTGGGATGGGACCTCGAGGGCATCTGATCTCCTAGTCCTGGTTATTTGCTTCAGCCAGGCTGGTCTCTTTGGGCAGTACCAGAAGATCCACTTCTTGGCCCCTCTACCTGGCCAGTGACATAGAGGACATTAAGATCCTAAAACAGACACGTTCCTGTGGGAAGAACCTTGCCCAGGAGTCCCCATTCCACTACCAGCCCATCTGCTACCTGTGCCTATGCCTGGGGTGACCTGGCAGGAGTGTGAGGAGCTCAAAGCTTCAGAGCCTGAGCTCTAGGTGTGGCCCGAGGTTGCCTGAGCAGTGAGGATACTGGCCTGAGGATCTCTGGGCACAGGGGAGATGTGAGATTTGCTCGTTTTTCTGTGATGGAGAAGAATCTAGACTTTTCTAGCAGGTGCCACATAGAGTTACATTGTACTTCCTGGAGCTGGGGACTCTGTGGAGGGACAGGGAAGAACCAGTTTTTCCAGTAGCCTTCTACATTTTACATTCTGCATTCAAATCTCCCCAGGTAGAAATTTGAAGTCTGCTTTTTTATTGAATTTGTTTCTAGTCTTGAGACGATTTGAAAGTGACTGTAGAGGGTCAGATTAAGGGAACTACTTTAAAAAAAAAAAAAAAAAAAAGGTTTCCAGGAGTGTCAGGATGACTTTAATATACAGTGTAAATTTTATTGGTTGATTTTGAACATATTGGCCATAGAATCATTACTATAGTTTAATCAATTTTGAAAATCTATAGATGTTTATATTTGCCCTTCTTACAGCGTTCTGGGTGGGGTATTAACTGCTATGTGCATAAATACTTTCTTTTCCTAAAGGCTTTTATGCACTGTACTTACAGCTTGATCACGCTGACCACTAGGGGGCCGAGTTACAGATGGGGTAAGGGCCAGCAGTGTCTCCCAGGTTCTTATTTGTACCAATCCATTAATTGTTCAGAAAAATTGATGGAGTGAAAGATTACAATTTTAGGGCAGAAATAAGGAAATTAAAAGGAAAAGAAGTGCTCAAGGAGAAAAGGGTGTTTTAAAAAAGAGAAGATGCATCCTGTAAGCAGAAGGGGCTCTGCAAGAACAAGAGGGCAGGGGCCCCACAGTCACTTGCTGCCATCGTTTCGTCCTCTTTCACAGTTGGTCCAGGTAGCCCCACCCCACCACTTGCTGGAAGATTGATGCCAGGTGCCAGGCTCAGTGTGTCCTTATATTAGAAAACTGGTACTGGTGCAGGGCTCGGCTTGACCCCATGTCCAGCTCTGGAGCTGCTGTTCTACATGTGTGGTTAATAAGTCTCCTCCGATACACTGTGAGTTCAAGGCCAGCCTGAATTACACAAGGAGACATCAATAAAGGTTCTCCTCAGCAGGTTGTGCCTAACTGCTTAAGCCACATTACCAGGCCCTGGCTTCCTATTACAGTAGTACCGTACCCTCCAATCTTACAAATACTGCTTTTTTGGGGAGGGATTTGCTTTTTTTTTTTGAGACAAGGTCTCAATATGTAGTTCAGATCGATCTTGAACTCACAGGCTGACCTTAAACTCACAGCAGTCCTCCTCCTTCAGCCTCCTGAGAGCTGGGATTACAGGTGTGCAACACCATGCCCGGCAACTTATTGCATTTTGTTTTTCACTATTAAATTGTGACAATGAGCTAGAGGTTTTTTGTTTTTGTTGTGTAGTCCAGGATGGCCTCAAACTCACAGTGAGCCTTCTGCCTCAGCCTCCCAAGTATTGGGATTATGGATGTGTGCCATCAAGCCCAGCTATGCTATATTTTTTTAAACCTTGTTTCATCATTGTATCTCATCTGTGAAACACATTAATAGAGATCTGAAGCTGTTTTTGTCTCTACACTCTTTCCTCTGAGCTGCCTCCTTTTGATCTGTTTACTATGTCAAAGACCATCACTAATGGCAGGAATCCGTGGAAGGACCTGTATTGTCCAGTACTGAGTTTGAATTGTATTGAGATTCAGATACTCGTTTCAGCAGCAGGTGGCGCATATCGTTCTTGCCGGTGATACCGGCAGCTGCCGTAACCATGCAGCTTTTCAGAATTTGAAGTGTTCATAGTTGGTAAATTTTGATGCTCGCAACTTGCTAAAAAGCTGACACCACTTTTTGTTTTTTTTTTAAGGAGGCTGGGCCTATATTCATTAATTTTTAAAACAAGTGCCCTCTCCACAGCCCCATTTTAAAGATGAAGAAATTGAAGTTAGAGGAATTAGCTGGCTGTAAGGGCTCAGCCTGCACCCCAGCACCTGGGAGGCACAGGTAGAAGAGTGGGTGACTTATGTGAGACCTTGTCTCAAAACAAAAAATAAAGGGATGAGCATGTAACTCAGTGTGAAGTCCCTGGGTTCAATCCCCCAGGAAGGGAGGGTGATAAACTTTGAGACTCAAAGGGAATTAAGTGATCCAGTGTTCATATTACTTTAATGCTTTCAATCCGTTTTCTCAGTTTTAAAAAAAAATAAAAACCCATGTTTTACTACACAAATCAATTTGAAAATTACTAAGTTTGTAGTGAATTCTTGATGCATGAAGATACACCCACTAGAAAAATCAAATTTTAAAATTCCCAGAAACCCACAGTGCTTCTCTGTTTTGATGCTGGGATGGAACCCAGGGCCTTCAGATGCTAAGCACATGCTGTAGTACTGAGCTGTCCCCTCTGCCTCCCTGATCTGTTACACTGGCTCTCTCTCATTTGGTCACCAAGAAGTCAGAATTGGAAGTGTGTGCAGTTAGGAGAAGGGTCTGGCCTCCTGCCCCCCCCCCCAGTCACCCGGTTCTCATGCTGCCACCTAGCTTCTCATACCATTACCTGTTGCTATGGCTGCAAAGCCGGTACTGAAGCTAACCAGTGAGAATAGCCGTCCTGCCCAAGACTGGGCAGGCTCCCAAGCGGCTACTGTCAGCTGCTTCATGCCTCCTGCAGAGCGAAGGCTTTTGCTGTAGTCTCTGTCTTCTGCATGGCCAGTGAAACTTGCAGGTCCAGAATATTACAGTAGGCACACACTTGAGTCAATGACATTTTAGGGTCTGGGTTCCTTCTCACTTCACTCAGCGCCCTCACTCAGGGCCTGCTGTGTGCAAGGCGCCATGCTGGATGCTACTAAGAAGACTCAGGCCTGGTCCTGCTCCTGAAGGCTGGAGAGTGTGTGCCTCTGTGGGGCCCACATGGGGATGTCAGAAACTTGGAATGCTGTGCCTCGTGGGGGCTGGGGACAGAGACACTGTCCTGGGGTTGGAGACTCGAGATGGTTCTGCCTGATCCTGGGTAACTCCACTGGTGTTTGCTTTCCTGGACCCAGGAAAGAAAACTTTCTACTGCTCTGGGGTTCTCTCCATATGGCCTGTCAGCATTGGCCCTCACACCCTACATACATGGATTTGGCTTAAAGAATGAGCACTCCCCTTACATGCACACACAGTGTTTGCACATGCCTATAATCCTAGCCCTAAGGAGGCTGAGGCAGGAGAATTGCTGGAAATTTGAGGCCAGCCCTGGGCTACAGAGGGAGACCTTGTCTTGAGAAACAAGAAACAGTAAAAATAGACAATATATTAATTATAGTGATGGGAAAAGAAAGAGATCAGGTCCCCTTTGGGGTCCTTAGAGCACCTCCCCTTCCCTGCCCCTCTCCAGCCAACTGGGACAGCACCTAGAGTCTTGTCCCGGGATTGGTGCACTTCCTAGTTCTGCCATATTACTTGAGTACCTACACTAACTTACTTGGCTTCACACAGATTCACAGAGCATGCTTGTTACAGTGAACTATAGATGTCTGTGATAAAGTATCATCATTTCTGCAAGTCCCCTTGAGAAGTGCTGCTGCCCGAACCTACTCACCTGCGCATTGCGCTGGAATCTCCAACTTCTCTGTTTCCTGCTGTAAGATGGATGTCCGTCACCATTGCATGGCTCAAATGAGGCCACATGGGCTAAGACACACAAAGGTTATTTATTTATTTATTATTTTTTGAAAGGCTATTGATTTACATTTTCTCAGTGTAGCCCAGGGCTCAACGCCCTCTGGCTTGTGGAAGAGCCATGCTGAGGATGGTTCTTTGGAATCAGGATGAAGAACAGGCATAGCTGGGAAGCAAAGACACAGTCAGTCTGGGTGCACTGTGGAGGCTGGAGCTTGTGGTGCAGTTAGCTGGACAGGCGGCCTATGTAGCAGAGTCTGCACCCTGTTTTCTGCCTGGCTGAGCTTCACGTGGAAAGGATGGAGGGTGCACCTGGCTGGCCAAGGAAATCTATTGGTACAGGAGAAATGTCTCAAGTCTCAAGCACCTTCTGTTATGTCTTGTGTCTAAATGTCCCCCAAAGCCTCATGGCGTCATAGGTGGGCTTTTCAGAGGTGGCTGGATCTAGAGTGTGTGATGCTGGGATGAAGAGTGTGTGACTACTGAATTAGTCTCCAGATTGGTTTGTCATAGTCCTGTGTACATAAGGGGGAGACCCACCCTGGGTGTGAGTGCTACCTGTCCCCAAGGGCATGTGGCCTGGGGCCTGGATAGAATATAAAGGACAGAAAGAGGGCCACAAGGGCAGCTGCTTCACTACTTCACTGCTTTGCTGCCTTCTGCCTGCCATGAACCGTTTCTTCTCTGCGATGGCTCTGCCATGCTACCCTGTCTTGGAGCCAGCCCACTATGGACTGAAACCTCTACAACCATGAGCTACAATAACCCTTTCTTTCATCCTTTAAATTTGAATGTCAGATATTTTATCTCAGCAACAGAAAAGTAACTAAGCCACCTCCAAAGAGGGCCAGGGCAGGGAGGCCAAGTGGCTCCAGTTCTGAGTCCTCTCTGGTCTGCCCTCTGAGGCTGAAAAATCAAGTATATGGAGGCCTCCTCTGGGCTCCCACATGCTGCCATGTCTTCCTTCCAGAGAAGTCCCTAAGCCCAGCAGATGGTCCAAGGCCCTCTTCTCTCATCCCGCCACCCATGGAGAGTTGCTGACTCTGTCAGGTGCTATGCCTCTGAGGCTCTGAGTGACAGCAGTGAGCAAAGACAGACATGGTCCCTGCTATTGACTTTTGGAGGACAGAAGTTAGAGAACCATGAAGCAAATATCCTAAGTGCTGAGGAGAGAGGTGAGGGTGTTTCAGGAGCCCAGTGGCTGGGTGTGGAGTCTCATCCTAGGGAACAGATGTGTAGCGGTGGGTCAGTGACCAAAATAAGCAGGAGAGAAACAGCAAAGGGAGAGGGTCATGATGGCCCCATAGGACACCTGCCACCCGCCAAATCACAGGCATCCTGGAATGCACGACACCCCGTCACTCTTGGGCCCTCTCTGATTTTTTTTTTTTTTTTGAGACAAGGTTTTACTATGTAGTTCAGGCTGGCCTTGAACTCAGTATGTAGCCAAGGCTGGTCTCAAACTCATAGCAGTCCTCTTGCCTCTGCCTCCTAGTGCTAGGATAACAGGTGTGCACCCCCACGTCGAGGTCCCTGTCCTAACTCAACCTTGAGTATAACAAATCATTGTGTTAAGTCACCATGTTTTGGGGCTTGGGGGGATTTGTTGATAAAGAAAGTAGACAGAGAGAGACACACACAGACAGACAGACAGACAGATGGGGAGGGGAAAAGGAAGGGAGAGGGGGAGGCAGAGGGAGAGAGAGAAAGAAAGTAGAACACTTTGCTGAGGAGGGGAAGCTATGTTTCTCCATCCCATGGCAGCTGCTGACAGGGCAGCAGCTCCCACCTGCATCTCCCATGGCCATGACTCGCAGTCCCTGCTTCTCCGCCTATGGCAGGACTTCAGGCGATGTGAGCACTTGTGGCTGTGGCTGTAGATGGTCTGATGCTTGTTTCCCAGGCAGAATCTTCAGGAGAGGCATCTTCAGCTTCCTCCAGGGACACTGTGAGCTGGCAGGAAGCTCTTCCCGGCTATCGCACATGGTTACTGGACCGAAGGCCAATTTTCTGAAAGTCATCTTTTCAATACAGTGTTTTGATTAAAACAGTGACTGGATTAGAAGTGACTCTTCTCCAATCGTGAAGTTTTTGTTCCTGTACTCATGGTTGTTTTCATGCTTCGGAAAACAATTTTCAGCCCTCCAACAGTTTTTAAGTATTTCTGGCCATTCTTAGAACTTTTCAGAAGTTTTTCCTCATTTCTAATTTGCTAATAGCTTACTGTGACTGCTTTTCAGCATTTGAAACAGTAACCCAAAGGTCTATTAGTGGGCTGCTTAGATAAATTAACTTGTGAAACATACACAGTGATTCCATTTTTCTAGGAAAATTATGCACGCACATGTGTATGTAGAATGACATTTACCAGTGCTTCTCAACCAAGAGGCACTCACTGGAATTCTCCCAGCAGCTTTCTAGGTACTGATTCCTCAGTTTTGCCCAGGAAACAGACATCCACGGGGATGGCAGGGAGCAGCAGACATCTGGATGTTTTTTCCACTCCAGGTATTGAACTCAGGCTGAGTGCTGTGTGTGCTGGGGATTGAACCTAGATCGTCATGTATGTATACCTCATAGTAGGCATATGCTCTACCACTGACCTGCACCTCTATTTCTTTTTGGGTTTAATAAACTGTAGATCTGCAGAAACTCTTTATATATCCTTGATATAAGTAGCTAAACTGAGGTATTAGAAATAATTTTCCTACATGGCTTACCTATTCACTTTTTTTAATGATGTCTTTTGATGATTTTAAGTTTTTTTGTCTTTTTCCTTTTTATCGGTACCGGGGATCAAACTCAGGACTGCCTGCTTGCAAGGCAGGCGCTTAAGCCGCTGAGCTAAATCCCCAGACCCCTATGATTTTAAGTTTTGATGAGCTCCAATTCTCCTAACTGTGCTTATAGAATATGACTGTTAATTGGCCTGTCAACTTGACCAGAGTAAGAAATGCCTGGTGTACTAGAAAAGCACAGTTCTGGTGGTATGTGTAGATGACCAACATGTAGGCCAGCACACTGAGGGTGTAGGGGACCTACCTGGGTTGTGGGTGGCACCAACCAATAAGCTAGTGGCTTGGGTGGAATACAAAAGGGGAAGAAGAAGGAAGTTTGCCTATCTTTGGAGAATTCCAGATTTTTTCATTATAAAGATATTTTCTCCCTTTGTAGTTTATATGGAACAATATCTACAGTCTAGGTACATGTTCTCTTACCCAACCAAATGGTTTTAATATTCACTAATGATTCTTGCCAGGACTAGTCATTGTGTGGTACTTGATAACTGATTTTCTTTTTTTTTTTTTCCTGTTTTTTTTTTTAAATTTTATTTAAGGAGAAAAAAGAAAAAAAAACAGAAAAAGGGTACAAGTTATATGACTTTCAGAAAAAATAAATAGTAGGAAACCACTAGTTAGTTACATATTGTCATCTTAGAAATAGTTGTTGAAGTTACAAAATTAAAGCATATAGAGGGGACTTTCAAACAGTGAGACTGCAAACAGTTTTGTTCAATGATCCAAAACTCAGTAATATGGTTATCTATCTTATACACTTAAATATATATGCAGTTATATCAATCTTGGCTGGAAGTTATTATCTTTCAAAGCTTGAATTATTTCCCCCCCCACGCTCTTCGTGATTTGATAGTTTGTGCCGAGAAGTCTGCTGTAATTCTGATGGGTGTTCCCTTGTAAGTGATCTGTTTCTTGTCTCTGACGGCTTTTAGTATTCTGTTCTTATATTGGATTTGTGGAATTTTGATTATTACATGCCTGGGTGTAGCTCTGTTTGGGTTGTAGGTGGCTGGGGTCTTGTATGCCTCATACATCTGAGTATTTTTACCTTTTGCTAAATTAGGGAAATTCTCCTGGATTATTTCTGTGAATAGCCTTTTAGTTCATTTGTTTGTGTCCCTACTTCTTCTTTTATGTTCTTAATTCTTAAGTTATAGATCCTCTTATCATCTTCTAGCCTTTGTATTATTGCTGTTTGTTTTCTTGTTATTTTTAAGAAGTTTTTCATTTCATGCTCCCACCTTACAAATCTGTCCTCCAGTTCTGATAATCTATCCTTAGTTTCTTTCAAGCTGTTATGCTAGCTTTCAATAGAGTTTTTAGTTTCCTGGTAATCTCTCTGAACCTGTTTCATGTATTCTATGTTTTCTCTATTTTCTCCATCAAACAATTCTCCCCTTTTTTTCTGTTCTTCCATTCCACCATCTGTTTTTTCTTGGGTTGTGCTTAGCATTTATCTAACTATTATAATTATTTCTTGCTTTATTTCATTAAATACTTCATTTTTGAACTCGTCTATGAGGCTCCAGAGATACTGCTTTAGTGTGAGTGTGAGTGCTGGCTTTCCTTCCCTGCCAGTGTCTCATGATGTGACCAGCAGTGGTGATAAAGCAGGTTCTGTCCAGAGGGCTCAAACACACATTGTATCATTGAATCCTTTCAGTAACTCTCCCTCTTCCCTTTTGTTCTTTTGTGGCATTGGGGTTGGAACCCAGGGGCTTGAGGCAAATTTGGCAAGGACTCTATGTCCCCAGCCTCACAGTAACTCTTCGTGAAACATCTGTGCTTTCATTTTACAGAGGTTCAGGGTAGCTAATAACCTGTGGGACTAGGAATTAGACTACATGTGACTCCTGAGCCTTTGCTTCTCTGACTGACTACACTAGACCAGTGGTCAAACAGAAAATACCAAGCAAAACACTGTGGCAGCGTTTGGAGGGGATTTTTGTTTTTTTGGGTTTTTTATTTTTGAAACAGGCTCTTGTTATGTAGTTAGGAGAACCTTGACCTCACTGTGTAGCCTAGGCCAACCTCAAACTTGCAAGCCTCCTGCTTCAGACTCCTGAGTGCTCAGAATTTTTTTCATTTTAAGATCACTCATGAACCACACATTTCACCAAATGACGTATTGCACTATGATGGTGGTCCCATGAAATGGTATCACCTAGTCACCCTGAAGTTGTTTAAAACCAGGTGTGTGGCACACGCCTGTAATCCCAGCACTCAGGAAGCTGAGCCAAGAGGATCGCTTTGAGTTTGAGGCCAGTCTAGCTACATAGCAAGTTCAAGGCCAGCTGGGACTACTTTGTGAGACCCTGTCTCAAAAGACAAAACTAGGGCTGGGGATTTAGCTCAGCAGCATAAGTGACTGCTTGGAAAGTACAAGGTCATGAGTTTGATCCCTGGTACAAAAAAAGAAAAGAAAAAACCTAATCTAAACAAAACAAACCAAAACAAAACAAACTGTCTTAGTTCATTTGAGCACTCCATGATCTATGCAAGGATGAGATCTAGGGAGAGTTGCCAGACTGTCTTCCTGCTGGTAAGCCATGTGGCTGGAACCAGCGTGGGTGTCCAAGTGGCTTCAGGTGGGAGACCTGATGCTAAAGCAGGAGCGTGCGTATGAGAGGATTTGGAGCTTTTGGCCTTTAACATGATGTCCTTCCAGGTGCTCTGCAGTGACTGAAAGCCAGTAATCAGGAGTTGAGGGCTTGTGATGATTAGGTGGGTGCTCCAGGGTCTGGGGCCAGGTGTGTGTCTCTGCTTGGTCTGGACATCTGACTAAAGTGGCATGATAAAGCAAATCTGAATGGGCCCTGGGTGGTGCGGCAGAGTTTCATAGACAGCCAGCTCTTAGGACTCTAGGATGTGTCGGATGTGTCACTGGTCATCCGCTGCAAGTCTGGGAAGAGGCTGAGGTAGACTGATCAAAGAAGAAGGGGCATTAGTGGCTGTAGGGGGCCTGCCAAACAGCTTTGAGGGCTCTTTAACTGTTTGCTTCCTCTCTTGAAAACAATCATGTCAAAATGTATGAGGGCCTCTGGGAAGACAGGCGCGTGGCAGGGTGTGTTGGGAAGTCAGTGATGGAGGAGGCCTCTTTGACTGAGAGTTGGGGGGGGTGGGATTCTTGAATTCAAGAGGGAAGAAAAGAGTGCCCGGTTAAAAGGGTGGCCCATGTGGAGAAGGGGCACATGTGGGTGGCAGTGATAAGTGGACACTGTGCTGCAGTCAGGGCTGAGTGACGAGGCACCTAGGTCTGGAGGGCCTGGGGGGCAATGCCAGGGCCAGAGAGGGCATTGTGTGGGCAGGGACCTGGGCCCAGGCTGATTGCTTGGGCCAATGATGAAATAAGGGTTACTGTAGTTACCTGTGGTGTTGAATTAGAATTGGAGGTATTGACAAGAACTCATTATTCTCACCTACAGATCTCCATGTAGATATGGACTTATTACAGACATAAATGTCTGGGAATGGCAATATGCTAATAGCAATGAGTACACGTAGCACTGAAATCTTGATTCCTAAGTAATATTTTGCAGTAAAAGGAGAGCTGATGCACGCCTGTAATATTGGCGTTCTGGGAGGCTGAGGCAGGAGGATAGCAAGTTTGAGCTCAGTTTGGTCAACTTAGTAACTTAGTAAGATTCTGTCTCAAAAACAAAAAGGGCTGGGAATTTGGTTTATTGAATTCACTGAGTCTAATCCCCAGTACAACAACCATAAACAAACAAACAAACAAACAAACAAAAAACCAAAGAGGTTCCCTGGAAAAACAGATGTATCAGATGGATCAGAAAAATGATGTAAAGTGAGCCTTTATTTATTTATTTTTTAAGACACAGTGAATTGCTACATTGCCCAGGTTGGCCCTGAATTCATGGGCTGAAGCAATACTCCTGCTTCAGCCTTCCAGGTGCCTGTGACTGCAGGCATGTCCCACCATGCCCAAGTAGCTTAGAACATCTTATTCTAAATGTGGAAGTACTCAAAGAATGACAGGGACACTGTCAAAAGGACACTGAAGACAGCATGTAGGACTTACATTGGCCAAATCTGGTATGATTTGTGCAGCAAAATAAATGATAATAGTAATACATTAGTATATACAGATCTGAATAAATGAATCATTGACTAGGTGATAAGAAATGGATTGTCTACTTTTTCAAAGTACACTTTTATATATATTTCCCAAATATAAAAGGAGTTACTTCTTAGTAGAGAAGGCTAATGAAACTACCTTAATCAAATGATCAAAGCAAACATCACTAACTGTGTGCTACACTGCAGTCATTTGTCACCGATAGATACCAGAAGAACACAGCAGCTCTTAGGTGCTATTTCTGCCAAATAGGGAGAAGCTAAATCCTATCACAAGGAACCATCACACAAACCACACATGTAGGACATTTACAAAATAACTGGAGTATGAGCTACAGAGGTATCAGGATAGTACAAGCCAAGGAAAGACATTGGGAATTGTCACAGACTGAAGATTAAAGAGATATAATTTTTAATTTTGACTTCTGATGTACTGGGATTACAAAGGAGAATGTTGTTTGTAGGAAACATTTGGGGTGCAGTTAGGGCAGCACACGGACAACTGATGTGTGAAATGGTTAAAACTTACTGTGCCTGCGGCTCCCAAAGATTGCATAATAAAATTAAAGGGAGACAAATAAAGATGAGTAAGACACAGAGACAGAGAGGCAGAGAGAGAGGCAGGGAGAGACAAAAGGGACTCCTGAGTGAATTAAAGGGAAAAGAACAGGCTGAAATGCTGGGAATTGAGGCGCTGCAGGATGAGGTAAGAATACACAACATTCTCTGTAGGGACCCGTGGAAGCTGGAGACTGATCACATGTGTGGGGCTAATGCAAGGCCAGCCCTGAAAACACAGAGAGCCCAAAACAAGCCATGTAAACAAGCTGTTTCAGCTCCAAGAAGGCAAGGGGCCCAGGCCAGCCAGACAAACAAGTTGCTGGGCAGCAGGGCTGCAACTGGCCTCATCCTTCTAAGTAATAAATAGACCTGCTACAGTGGTTGAACAGTCCCTTTTCTTCTGTCAGGAGACAGGGCTCCTCCCGACCTCAGGTTTCCCCCTTTTTCTTTGTTTTCTCATCCTCTTATTATCCTTCACCCTGGGAATATCTACAGAGCTGCAGCTGGTCACTACACCTCATTTTTACTAACTTTACTTTTTTTTTTTTTTTTTGGCACTAGGGATCGAACTCATGACCTTGAGCTTGCTAGGCAGGTGCTTATACCGCTGAGCTAAGTCCCCAGCCCCCTTCTTTTGTTTTTTGGGACAAGGTCTTGCTAAGTCACTAAGTTGCCCAGGCTGGTTCAAACCTTCCAGTCATCGTGCCACAGGCCCCAAGTGCTGGGATTACAGGTGAACCTAGCTGGCCACTTTTCATTTTTTTGAGACAGGGTCTGGCTGTGGTGCCTAGCTGGGCTCCAGCAACCTTCCCACCTCAGCTTCCTGAAAGAGGCGATTAGCAGGCCGCTCACCTGGCTCTCATTTTAACTTAGAAGAGAGAAGGCTCACAGATGGCTTTCTTTTTCCCAGGAAACCCCTTGCTGGTTTGAGAAGTGCACAGTGCTCTGTACAGTTTCTCTAGGCCAGAGATCTTTAAGGAAGAAGCTTTGGCTTATTATGAGGATTAATTAATTAATTAAGTTTAGGTCCATGGGTGCCTACATACTTCACCAAATACTATGCTGGGTGCTCCTTGAGGGTGAGGATGAACTTAACATTTCAGTAGATTGTGCTCTCTTTTGTGGGTGGTCCTTATCTAATCAGGGAAACATTTCTTTTCTTCTTCTTCTTTTTTTTTTTTATCAGTACCGGAGATGGAGATCAAATTCACCACCGCTGGCTTGCAAGGCAGGTGCTTATGCGCTGAGGTAAATCCCGTCCTCATCTAATCAGAAGGAGAGCTGAATAGAAAAGAGTGACCCTCTCCAAATACATGGGAATTCCTCCTGCCCCAGTGCCTGCAAGCTGGGGCATGAGTTGTTTTCCGTTGCTTTTGATCTGGAATATTGCCACTCCTGGATCCTCAGCTTGTTAAGTGTCAATCTTAGCTCCATAATCACACACACCAGCTCCTTATAAAACAGCCTCTCAGGGGCTGGGGATTTAGCTCAGTGGCATAAGCGCCTGCCTTGCAAGCAGGCAGTCATGAGTTCGATCCCCGGTACCAATAAAAAGGAAAAAAGACCAAAAAAAAAAAAAAAAAAAAAAACCAGCCTCCCTTCCCATCCACCTTTAATGGCTATGTTTCTCTGCAGAACCCTGACATACACTTATTTCCTCATTCTTTCTTTCCTTATACTCACCTATGGGGCAGACACAAAACAGATTCTTAGGAAAAAAAAACTTTTTTAGACAGGGTCTTGTTATGTAATCCAAGCTACTCTTAACTATGTAGCCCAGGCTGGCCTCAAACTCATGGTGATCCTTCTGTCACAGCCAGGTAAGAAAATGTTTTCAAATGAAAACAAAACAAAAATACTAGATGATCTTATTGGAAGGACGAGGAACAGCACAGCAACAGAGATTGGGAAGCCCTGCTGCCCTGTCTCCCATGAGGCCGCCTGCAAGCCATGGCTGCTGTAGGGAGGCAGAGACCAGCACTGCTGAGCACCATGCCCAGCGGTCTTCTCTGTGCTCCTGAAGTGACCTCCTCATGCTAGCTCCAGAGCAGTTCTTGTCTTCTGGCACTGAAAACACCCATTTCTCCCAAATACTAAGAGCCTCTGAGGCTGGGAACCATGACGTGTGGGCTACCAGATCACTAGGATTTTTGTACTGTCTACCATCAGCAGGTACTGGGTAAATAGGAGTGGCATGGCCTATGTCATTCAGCTTACTGAGGGACAGTACCTGGGCTACTCCCAGATCCACTGGACCCCAAACCCCATGCTTTGTCTCCTGAAGAGTAAAGGAGAGCTTTTACAGGACAGTAATGAATTTCTGCTTACCTGGAAGCTGAAAATTGTTGTGCACACGCTTGGTTGCTGGCAAGCATTTTGATTAATCTTCTCAGATTAATCTCTGATTATGGACTATTTTGCATTTAAATTAATGGATTAGTGCCACAAGCATCAGTAGGACCATCTAGTGTGAAAGTTCTTGGCTAGTGCCCATCAAAGGAAAAGCTGGACAGAAAGCTCCGTTTACCTAGTGGGTGATTCATTCCAAGGTATTAAGGTAGGAAAAGGGCTGTGGTCAGGTTTCAAGAGGTGAGTGTATTTTATTTTATTTTATTAGCTACATGATCTTAGACAAGCCACCATCCTCTGGGGCATTCAGTATCTTCTTTAAAAATGAGGGACAAGAACTCTTGCCCTGCTTACCTCCTAAAGATGTGATGATCAAAAAAGAAGAAGAAAAGAAGAAGAAGAAGAAGAAGAAGAAGAAGAAGAAGAAGGAGAAGGAGAAGGAGAAGGAGAAGGAGAAGGAGAAGGAGAAGGAGAAGAAGGAGAAGGAGAAGGAGAAGGAGAAGGAGAAGGAGAAGGAGAAGAAGGAGAAGAAGAAGAAAGCACACACTTTTTACATCTCAAATCCATCATAACCTCCATCCCTTGGAACTAGTTCAAATATTATTAAAGTGTACTCAGGGAGGATTGTGTAAAACTAAAAAAAAAAAAAAAAAGATTCATTACTTTGTTTTCATTAACTGGAAAACTTTCCAATTTCAGCTCTGGTAATCAGCTGAGAAAAATTCACATCTTGTACAGGAGTCATCAATCCAGAATGGCAATGGTATGGCATCTTTGAACCCAGATTTAAATGTTACTTCTTAGCCTACAGAAGTTTTCTCCTTAATTATATGGAATGAAAAATGTGGAAAACAATTCTCTAAGGCCCGACTGCTTAGGCTGATAGCAGCGGTTACTAACCATGGGTGTACTTTAGAGCCATCTGGGGAGACTTCAATAACAAAAGTTGTCACCCAACACCAAATGTATCACTTATGATAGAACGTGGTCAAAATGTTTTTAAAGCTCCCAGGTAATACTAATGGGCAGTGAGGTCTATAGCTATACAAAAGAGTGGTATGAAAAAGCTAGTGCTTTGTTGTCTAACAGAAATATAATTTGAGTTACAAAAGTGAGCCAACATGTTAGTTTAAATTTGCAATAACCACGCATTTAAAATTCATACCCAATAATCCAAAATATTACTTCAACATGTAAACGTATTTTCAAAGAGATACTTCACATTTTACTTCATACTACGTTTTCAAAATCTTGTATGCAGAAAACAACAATTCAGGCAGTGCAGACTGGCCACAATTCATTGGCTAATGACTCATGTCTTGGGCATGCAGAACTAGAATATACAACATACACTTATTTATGTATTTATTTTTGAACAGAGTCCCACTATATAGTTCAAGCGGGCCTTGAACTCACTGTATAGCTGATGCTCGCCTTGAATGGCATGCTGATGATCCTATCTCAGCTTCCCAGGTGCTATGATTACAGGCATGTATCACATAAATATTTCCGGTAAGAATTTACTGGACTATGTTAGTAGGAGCCCAGGATGGCCTTGAACATTTAGGTACCTCCTTTCAGGAATGTGCCACCATACCCAGCTAAGTTTCTAAATATTATAGACCATATGTATTGTTTTTACTGCTGCCTTTATATTTTCATGTTTAAATATGAAACAAAGTTGTTAGTCACCATCTCTCTGTAGAGTTTTGTAGGTTTTACCAAATAACTTTATGTAAGTATATTCTGTTGGGGTTATTCCTAAACTTATGTATTTTCTATTGTTATAAAGGGGAAACAGAACGTTAATTCTGTGATATATTATCGTGATCCTGAATTCTTTATTAATTATAAGAGTAGAGACTGTCCTTCATATTTTATGGCATTATGTCATATTGTCTGGAAATAATTTTATTTCTTTTCTAATAGTTAAATCTTGTATTTCTATTTCCAGTCATTTTATTGGTAATAGCATATATATGTATATAGTATGTAATATATAGCATATATACTATGTGTTATGACATATATATGTTATACACTATATAATTGTGTGTAACTGTTTTCCAAACAGGATCTCATCATATATTCTAGGCTGGGCTTGAACTCTCAGCAATCCTCCTGCCCTAGCCTCCTGATTGCTGGTATTACAGGCACTTACTACCTTACGCAACTTCTAATACAATATTAAACAATAACGTTACTAATAGATGTGCTTGACCTGTCCTTTTTCTTTCTCAATTGTTTAATTTTAGGGAATGTCTATACTATTTCATTGTTTTTTTTTTTTCTGCAGCAGGGTATCTTTCAAAAATACTATTTCATTGTTACAGAATATGTACGTCGGAGACATACTCTTTGAAGAAACATCTGGTTACTCTGTAACACATTTTAAAACTTTTTATTTTGAAATACAGACTTGCAGGGGTTTACAAAGATTAAAGTAAAGAGATGCTAGTTTACTCTTCACTCTTTTCCTCCAGTGGTTACATTTTATGTAACTAGCATAAAACCCAAACCAGAAAATTAACATTGGTATGTGTCTGTTTATACCCCTATGTCATTTTATCCTAAGTGTCAATTTGTGTGGAATATACTTGTGTCATTTTATCATGAGTGCCAATTTGTATAACTATAATTATAATCTAAACACAGAACATTACTGGGCACAGTGGTGCATGCCTGTTATCCCACCTACTCTGGAGCCTGAGGCAGGAGGATCACAAATTTGAGCCCAGCCTGGGAAGTTTAGTAAGAATCGGTCTCAAAAGAAAAAATAGAAGGGCCTGAGGATTTAGGTCAACAGCATAAGCACCTGCTTTGCAAGCAGGTGGTTGTGAGTTCAACCCCCGGTACCGATAAAAAATAAATAAAATAAAATAGAAAGAGCTGGAGATGTCCCTCAACAGCAGGACCCCCTGGGTTTACAAAGATTTCCCTCACATGCTATTGCTTTGGAGTTGCATGCGCTTTCCACATTACCTTCTCTAAACCCTGACAACACTGATCAATTCTCCATTGCTATTACTTATTTATTTATTGATGGTGCTGGGGATCAAACCTCAGCCCTTACACATGGTAGGCAAGTGTTCTACCACAGCGCTCAATGTGTACTCTGATAACAATATTTTTATGAAAGTTAAGAAACTGTCAAACAGTTTCGAGAGTGGACGTACCATTTTACATCCCTACCATCAATATATAATTTTTATGGTGTCTCTGCATTATTTACTAGCATTTGATTTTGTCATTTAAAAAAACTTCTTTACCTTGTGTCACAATTTAAACAATTGATGACAGTACTGGGTTTTGAGAAAGTTCTGTGACCTTTGCATATTGGCTTTCTTTTTTCTTTTAAACTTGGTATAATGCCTTGACATTCATCCAAGTTGCTGTATGTATTAACAGTTTACTATTTTTTTGTTGTCAGGTTGTATTCCAGTCATGTGTGATGGCATATGCCTGTAATTCAGCACTGTAGGAGACAGAGGTAGGAGGACTGGAAATTTAAGCTTTCCCTTGGCAATGGAGGGAGAGACCCTGTCTCAAAACAACAAATACAAAGGGTTGGAGATGTAGCCCAATGTGAAGTCTCTAGATTCAGTCTCCAGTACCTCAAGAAAGAAAAAAAAATTCTAAGACCAGAATTATTTAACCATTCTCCACTGTAGAATATTTTGTTTCCAGTTTTCACCTGTTACAAATAAAGCTGGTATGAAAGATTATGTTCAAGTTTTTATGAAATGTTTCATTTCTCTAGAATAAATTCAGAGGAATGCAACTGCTGGGTCATTTGGTAAATATTTACTTTTTAAAGAAACTGCCAAACTGTTTTCTAGAATGGTTGTATTATTTTACATTCTCACTAGCAATGCTGATACAGTTCTTTTTATGTTCCCTACTCTTTGATATTGTTACTGTTTTCTTCCCTTTTCCAGTTTTCCCTCTTCCTCCTCTTCCCCTTCTTTTTTATTTATTTTGCTTCTTTTTTTCTTCTTGGTAGCACTGGGGATGAAACCAGAGCCTTGTATGCCTGGCAAGTGGTGCAGAACAGAATTAAACACCTAACACCGGATAATTTTATTTATTTATTTATTTGTTCATTTATTTGTCTTTTTCTTTTTTATCTGTACCAGGGATCGAACTCACGACTGCCTGCTTGCAGGGCAGGTGCTTATGCTGCTGAGCTAAATCCCCAGCCCCAGCCGGATAATTTTGTTGCTGAGACAGGGTCTCACTATGTAGTTCAGGCTGGTCTTGAATTCACTTTGTAGCCCAGGCTGGCCTCAAACTCATGACAATCCTCCTGCATCAGCTCTTGAGTGTTGAGATTATAGAACACATAGTAATAATGAAAAACAAACAAACAATGATTACAGGCATGTACCACCATGCCTACCTGACTGCATATACTTTTTACAATTAGTGATGGGTATTGGCTTTTTTTTTTTTTTTTTTTTTTGGTCTTTTTCGTTTTTATCGGTACCAGGGAACAAACTCACGACTGCCTGCTTGTAAGGTAGGCGCTTATGCCCCAGCCTTGGGTATTGGCTTTTTGAAGATGCACTTTTGGCCTTTATCGAGATAATCAATTTAGTGGCATCCCTTACAGGTTCTATTGACAAATTATTATTTTATCTTTAGATATATATTTATTTTTTTCCAGTACTGGGGACCTAATCCAGAGGTACTCTACCACTGACATATCTTCAACCCTTTTTATTTGAGACATTTTCCTATTAAATTGCCCAGGCTGGTCTTGATGTGATTCTCCTGCCTCAGTCACCCAAACAGATCACATTATGGGCATGCATCACTGCACTTGGCTACATTTATGTTTTAAATGGTAAAAATACCTAACAGAATAAAAGGTGCATAAAGAGAAGTAATGTGTCATTCCTAACACAAAGTTTCCTTCCTCAGATGCAATCACATTACCTGTAGGGACTATGTAAGTTAATAGATCTGTATCCTAGCTTTTGACTTGATATCTTAGGAACCATCCCATATCAGTACATAGAGATCTCTCTCCCTCATTCTTTGGAACAGCAGCAAGGCATTCCACTGAGGACTATGTCATCATTTCATTAACTTGCTCTTTGCTATATCTGCCTCCAGTCTTTTTTTTACCACTAAGGAAGTTGCAGCTAACACTCTAATACACAGGTCTTTGTGCTTAAGGAAGGACTAATGTAGGATAAATTCCTGGCAGTGGTAACTCTAGGTCAGAGAGATAAGTTTTAAGAGCTGCTCCTGAATTGTCCTCCAGGACAAAAATAATAACATCTTTCTCCACAATATGTAGTATCTTTGCCAATCTGACAACTAAAAACAGTTTCACCTTAATTGTGATTTGGGATTTTCCTATTTTGAGATGGCCAAGTTTTTTTCTCTTTTTAATGCGTCATGAATTTGCATGTCATCCTTGTGCAGGGGCCATCCTAATCTTTGCATTGCTCCAATTTTAGTACATGTGTTGCCTAAGGGAGCACTCAAGTTCATTTGCCTAAAAGCTACTTTTATTTTTGCCTTATTAACTGTGTTCATTACCTTTGTCTATTTAATATACTGTATTAAATCAGTATTTAACAACAGTCACTTTCTTGTTTTCATTTGCTCAAGAACCACCTCAGAGACAGGAGACTCCCTCTGCCAGATATTCAAGATCATCCAGCTCTCCTACTGGTCAATAACCACCTCCTTCAAGCTCCACCTTCCAGCACTCAGGAGCCTGAAGCAGGAAGATTGCTATAAATTCAAGGCCAGCCTGAGCTGCATGGTACATTCAAGGCTAATGTGAACTACATTATGAGGCCGTGTCAAAAAACCAAAAAACCAAAACCAAACTAAACCATACCAAACCAAAATACTGCAAACCATTAACCACAACAAAACCAGCCAATCAAATCATCACACTCCCTTTGTGATAATCCATGTCTAACCCATGTCTGTTCCCATGGGCTCAACATTTCATCCCCCTCTCCTCCGGAAAGTTCTTTCCCTGCCCCGCCCTGCACACAGCCTCACTCCTCTCTCTTCTGAGCCTCCTCCCACCACCTCATGCCCTAGGTCCCCAGGGCCTGGTGGCAAGGCTGGTCGTGACACCTGTCCAGAGCCAGCATCCTGCTCTGTTCTTGTCCAGTCCCTGAGGGTGTCCGAGAACATTTTTCATTGATTCATACCATTCATTGGATGCCCACACGAGAGTCAGGTGCTCTTCCATGAGGCTAGGGCAGTGCACAAGGAAGAAGACCTTTTTTTTTTTTTTTTTTTGGTACCAGGTATTGAACTCACAACCTTGCGCTTGCCAGGCAGGCACTTATGGCGCTGAGCTAAATCCCCGGCCTCAGAAGACCTTTCTTCTCATCAGTTGACATTTTAGGGATTTTTGTTTTTGTTTTTTTGTTTGCAGGGGAAGGAGTGAATTAATACACAACAAACAGGACAAAAATAAACATATGCAAATAAGAATGTCACAGAAGCAGAAGAACTGCAAGTTGGAACCCAAGCTAGGCAACTTACCAGACATTATTTTAAAAAATAAAGGGCCGAGGGAAGTTACTCAGTTGGAAGGCTTTGGGCTCGATCCCCAGTACTGTAAGGAAAAAAAAAAAAAAAAAAAAAGAAAATAATACAGCAGAGAGTTTAGGGAACAGACGGAAATATGTCTCTTCCACAGAGCGGCCAAAGACTGAGGTGGGGCGAAGACCCGACTAGAATGCGCCAGCCCAGTACAGGGCCTGCAGGTGGCTCTTCAGAAGAGGTCCAGCCTAGCCTTTGGCACCGCGCTTTCCGTTAGGTGCCGGGAACTGGGGGTGCTCCCTGTCATTCCAGGAGTGTGCGTGATGGTTTGGGGGGACCCACGTCCCCTGATCCACGCCCTCCGACGAACGCGGGAAATGGGGGGGGTGCTCAGAGCTCCCTGGGCTTCACTTGTTCACAGCCCGCGCAGACGGCATTAAGTTTGCCGCGCAGCGCAGGGCTCGGGCCGCAGCCCGTAGTTCCGCGACGCCGGTGCTGGGCAGTGCGCGGCGCACGCGGTGGGCGCTGCGGCTCCCGTGCTGTGCGCTCCGAGGCTCCCCCGCCGCGCCCATCTCCGCCCCGCCCCGCAGGGTCTCGGGCCACGGGACGCGCCCGGGCCGGGGAGCAGGGGGCGGGGAAGGCACGGGGACAAAGGCCGCTGGCCCCGCGCTCAGACGGGCAGGGAGGCGGCGGGTCCGTGAAGCCCACGAACCGCCCGCTCGTCGGCGCCGCGAAGGACCCGCGCCGCGTGGAGAGCACGGAGCGGCCGGGAGGGCCGCGGGGCCCCGCGCAGGGCAAGCGCGCGCCCGCCGCCTCCTCCTCCTCCTCGCCGTCTTCCCCCTCCTCCTCCCCCTCCCGGCCCTCGGCAGCTCCGCGCTCGGCCAACATGGCGACGGCGGCGGTCGGGCGGGATACTTTACCTGAGCACTGGTCCTACGGGGTGTGCCGCGACGGCCGCGTCTTCTTCATCAAGTACGGCGCGGGAGAGCGGGGACTGGGCGTGGGTCGGGGCCGGGGCGGGGGCCGGGGTGGGGGCGCGGGGCCGGGCGACGTCCCGCGGCGGCGGCGCTGGCTAACAGGTGCGCCTTTCTCCTCAGCGACCAGCTGCGCCGCACGACCTGGCTGCACCCGCGCACGGGTGAGCCCGTCAACTCGGGCCACATGATTCGCTCAGGTGGGCGCCAGCGCCACGGGGCGGGGAGGGGTGTGGGTGGGGAGGGGCGCCCGCGGCGGCGCGACTTTCACAGACTTTTCTCGCGTTCCCGCAGACCTGCCCCGCGGCTGGGAGGAAGGCTTCACGGAGGAGGGCGCCAGCTACTTCATCGAGTGAGTGAGTCGGGCCCCGCCGCCCGCCGCCCGCCGCCCGCCGCCCGCCGCCCGCCGCCCCAGGAGAGTTGGCGCGCTGCGCGGCGCTGCGCGGCGCGGCGCGGCGGCTGCACGCTAGGGTTTTGTGCCGGGGTGTGTGGCGGGCTCCGAGCCCAGGCGGGCGGGGGTCCCTTGAGCTGCCGGGGAGCTTGGGCCGAAGCCGGGTGCAAACTTTGCAGACTTCCAGACTCAAGTGCCGCGTGGGGCGGGACACGCCTCCCCGCTGGGCTCTCGCTGCTCGGAGCGGGGGACGCTGCGGGGCGGGGACGGTGGAACAAGGAGCGTTGTCCCGGGGCTGAGGGCTGAGGAGTCTGGGAGTGAGGAGAGCCCACCGGACCTCTCCCGGAACCCTTCGCCTCCGCCGCGCACGCGAAGGTGGGAGGGGGGTGTTGGTGGTGCCCCGGGCCTCTGTCCTTTCGCGGGCCCCGGGTGAGGTGGAGATGGACGCGGATGCGGACGCGAGGCGGTCAGCGGGTAAAACTCCTCGAATTCTCAGTCCGCGCCTCCTCGGCTGCAGCTGAACCCGGACAGTTGCTCCAGCCTCCGCTAGTCCAGCCGTGGCGTTTCCGGAGTGTCCCCCGCGCCCCCTCCCAGATCCACTGAGTCTGTAGGGTCTGCATAAATCCGATCGCGGGGTCGTGAGTTAAGGAACAGTGCAGACACGTGTGTGCTTTCTGTTTTCCTGCTGTGGGAAGTTACCTGTGTCGCTGCGTGTCTTACTCTACCTGCCCCCTGTGAGTTCCGCAGGAACTGCCTGCTGCCCCTTGCCCCAGTGCCGGCTCTGTGGCAGGCACTCGGTAAATGTTTATTCACTAAATGAATGAACTAGCCAAAGGTCTGGACGGTGGTTTGACTAGTACTGGGTGTGTTTTGAGAGACTATGAGTCAGAATTCATTGCCTCACCAGCTTGGAAACACTAATAGTGGTGCAATGTATTTGAAGAAAGTCCCAGAGCTTCCTTCCCTAGTTTAAGTTCTGGAATGATTGTTGAAATACTGACAAAATTAATAGAAGCGAGAGTCTCTCTCCCCTCAGAGCTTACAATCTAATGGACTGAAGGGAACAGCAACAGAAAGTAAACAGTATCAGATTGATGTAGCTACTATGCAGAAAATGGAAATAAGGTCATGTGATATCACGAGACTAGGTGGCTCCTGTGGATTGGGAGGTCAGAGGTGGTGTTTTCAAGTAAGTGACATTTAAAATTTCAATAAGGAGCTTTGTGTGTGGGAAGGCAGTTCTTGTAACAGGTATTCTTCAAGTTCATGCATGGTTGTGCGTGCCTGTAAGCCCAGCACTTGTAAGGCTGAGGCAGGAGGATTGCCCGAATTTGAGGCCAGCCTGGTCTACATAGTGAGTTCAAAGCTAACCTGAACTATATATAACAAGATCCTGTCTCCCCCCAAAAAAAGTTGCAAATAGGCTGGTGTGGCTGGAAAGTAGTGAACAAAAAAGTGACCTGAGAAGAGCTCATAGGTAGCAGAGAGGTAAATGATGGAAAACTTTGTGGACGGGCTAGAGTTTTCAAGTTTCAGTCAAAGCCCAGTGAACAGTCATAGACTGGAGGTTTTTTGTTTCTTTTTTGTTTTTGTAGCACAGGGGATTGACCCTAAGGCCTTTGCACTGAACTTCATCATGAGCTCGTTTTTATTGTTCAAGAACAGGTCTCACCAAGTAGCTAAATTGCCGAGGTTTGACTTGAACTCCTGATTCTCCTGCATTAGGGTTTTAAGCAGGCAAGTACAAGGATGCAGTGGTCAGTTCTGGAATGATTATTCTGCATCCTTAGAAGAGGATGGATTATAGGTGACACCTCTTGGGAGGGAGGCATCGAGAAGTAGAGGGCTGTGCTGGGATGGAGGTAAGAGTTAGTGGCTTACCGAGCTGGAAACCCTGGGGATGGAGGACAGTGGCTGGACTCAGGCTATGAGGAGGATGTACTGTCCATGGGCTTTCCCAATAGGCTGAGAGCAGAGTCAAAGATGACTCCTGGGGGTTTGAGTATCTGAGTGGGTAGTGTGTGGATTGATGAGGTAGGAAGGCTGCAAGAGGGGCAGGTTTGAGGTTGTACAGAAATGATGTTTTGCCAACTTCTGTGTAACATGTTGGACATATCTGATAGGCTTATGAATAGAAACTTGCAGGGCAGAGGACGAAGAGATCCATCTGGGTAGAATAGTAACTGTTCACGACCATAGGTGTAGATGTAACCTAGAATCAAAAGGACAGAAGGTAGAACACTTTGTGTTTAGAGACTGGAAAAGAGGCAAATCCAGCAAAGGAGACTGAGAAGGAAAGAAACAGCTCAGGAGAGTGTGTGGTCAAGGAACCTCAAGACAAAGCCTGGCAGGCAGGTAGAAGAGGAAGTGCAGGTAAGGCCATGCACCCAGAGGGAAAGGCACACATGCCTTCAGTGCAGAGACATCATTAGCTGATGATAATTGGAGAGGATGTGACCTGAGGGAAGATTTTTCACTTTTGATGGGAAATTGTAGCACATATTTTGTGCAATGGTAATGAACCAGGAGAGAAGGAGCAATGGATGGTGCATATAATAGATGGGACCACTGCAGGAGAGCAGTGTTTTTGAGGTGAGAGGGGAGGGAGTCCAGGGTGTTCATCTCGCTGGCCTCACACAGGAGCAAAACTTATATATCCATTTGCCGGGAGGAAAGGCTGTGTGTACCTTGTAAGTACTAGGCTGAGCCTTGAGCTGGGCTTTTTGAGGTGGTCTGTTGGACTCCAGTTAAGTCACAGCCTTGTCTCCTTTATCACCTTTGCCCTTCTTCTATGGTAACTGTTTGGGTGGTACCTGATAGTTTCTCTGCAGCAGGATAGGATGGGATCCCTAGCTCCCAGATCCTCAGCTGAATCCTCCAAGGCCTACAGGAAAGCCTATCGGACAGTGTCCGATACCCTCAAAGGCAAGCTGTGTACTTCCTATCTTCTTTTGTGACAAGTTTTTCAGAGACCAAGGATTTGGAAGTGCTTAGCTGTATCCCACATTAAAAATGTCTGCTTTCTGTCTCCTTTCTTAGATTTGCTGTGACATTTTTGCATGTTTGCCTTTTTGGTGGAGGAGGAGTCACACTAGTGAGTCACTAAAGATGGACAATATATTGGCAGGGCTAATTTTATTTTTTTCTGATGTTCCTTGAACAGGAAAGTTGTATGAGGTTTTCACAATATATCAAATACTTTTGGTACTTAGTAGAGGTTTTTGTTTTGTTTTACGGCACTAGGGTTTCAACTTAGGGCCTCACATGTGCTCGGTGAGTGCTGTACTACTGATGCACATCTCTAGCCCTCATAGAGGTTTTAATTCTCTCCAGAGACCATTTCTTGAAGCAGAAAACTCAACTAAGGTGGGTGGATTTCAGTTCTGATTTCTGTACTTTTGGTTCAGTGTACTAGAGTAGTTAATGCCCATGTATTCTATAAGAAGAGTTTTTGAGTTCTAGGACTTTTTCCTTTTTTTTTTCTTTTGATACCAGGGATCAAACTCACAACCTCACGCTTGCCAGGAAGGTGCTTATGCCACTGAGCTAAATCCCCAGCCCTGCCTTTTCCATTTTACCATGAGTCCTTTGGTGAGGGAGATAGGTATATTACTTACTTTCCCATCACTGGGACAAAATACCTGACACCCACAATTTAAAGGGAGGGAGGTGTATTCAGAGGATTCAGTCCATGGTTTGTTGGCTCCAAGTAGAATGGCTTGGTAGAAGGGCCTTGCAAAAAAAAAGCTGCTCATTTCATGGCAGCCAGGAATCAGAGGAGGAACCAGAGACAAGAATATACTCTTCTAAGCTGGATATGATGGCATGTACCTGTAATTCCCACATTTGGGAGCTGAGGCTGGAGGATTGCCATGAGTTTGAGGCCACCTTCGGCTACATACTGAGTTCAAGGCCAGCCTGAACTACACAGTGAAACCCTGTCTCAAAAAAAAAAAAAAAATCTGGCCAGGGATATAGCTCAGTGGCACAGTATCTGCCTGGCAAGTGCAAGGTCCTGAGTTCGATTCCCAGTACTCTCCTCCCCCCCAAATCAGTCTATTTATCCATCTATGCCTTTCCAGGTAATATACCTGGTGACCCACCTCCAATTAGGCCTCACCTCCTGACATCATATTTAGCTACTAAACTCATCAATGGGTGAATCTATTCATGAGTATAGCGCCCCTGTGATTGTCACCTTCCAAACACATGAGACTTTTGGGGGGACACTTTAGATCTAAACCATAACATAAGGTATGACAGTACTTGTGCTTATAGTCATTCATACCAGCAATAATAATAGTAGTAACAGTAGAATATTAGTTTAGTCTTTTTGAGTTTCTGAAAAGAATACCAGGAACTGTTTCATAACTATTGTCAGATTTAATTCTCATAACATCTTGAGATGGGAGCTGTGACTAGTCCCTTTTTAGTGTATCTGCTGCCAAAGTGAGCATGACTAGTCCTTTTTTATGCATGTGAAACCTCTGGTCATTCCAGGGATTTCTGGAATGCCTTTTCATGTACTTTTTTTTTTAATCAGTACCGGGGATCGAACTCACGACCGCCTGCTTGCAAGGCAGGTGCTTATGCCACTGAGCTAAATCCCCAGTCCCCTTTTTCATGTACTTTTCCCCCCTCTTAATCCTTTTTTTTCCCTCTTTCCTTCTTGATCCTTGTAATAGCAGGGAAGAAAACATCTCCATTTTTCAGATGATGAAACTTGGGTCCATGAAGATTTGGTGATATGACCAAAATGTTTGGGCAAGGAGTAAAACACAAGTCTTCAGGCTTTCTAAACGTAATCTAATCGCTGGCTAAGTCTTCAGGCTGGGAAATGGCAGCTGTAACAGCAGTGGTAGTTTCTGCTACTATAGCAGCCAGTGGCAGTGCTGCATGGAGCCTCCTGCCCATGTGCCATTGCTCTGGTTTATCTGCCTTGTCACAGGGCCAGACCCTTCTTTGCATTTGTTGAGTGAGGTACCTT